CATTCTTGAGGGAATCCTCACAGTGGTCGTTTCCCTCATCGCATATTTCATTGCGCCGACTTGGTCTCACGAGGCAAAATTTGTGCGTTTTATCCTTCCGTCTTCGTCAACCCCAAATTTCAACTTGTTGCAGCTATCTGAAGCAGACACAACACAGCCTGCTAGATAGATTACGAGCAGACTCCGATGCAGGAACTGACCAAAGCCTTCAAATGGTCGTCAGTTCTAGATGCTTTCAGCGACCACTTAGTCTGGGCATATGCATTCCTTTTCCATGGATTTTCTTTTGTGCTGTACTCGCTCAGCCTTTTCCTGGTACGTTCGTCGTCGAAGGAAATTGCGAATGGTGGTCTGACTGCCAAGTCTAGCCTACAATCATCGCAGGACTTGGATTTCAGACATGGCAGGCACAACTGTAAGTCCCTTCGAGCTCAAAGGATCCAATGTTGAAGTGGGTCCCACCATAAGGATGACCGTCCCCCCGAATGTGCTCACAAGCGTTCCAATATGGACCACGGTATATTTTCTCAAGCAAGTACAATGTAAGAGCGCCCTTCATTATAGGAAGCTGCAATTGTATCCATCATTGGTGAGAGGCAATTTGTGTCACGCACTTCAATTATCTCATGAACCTCCAGGGTATACCCATATCTCAAGTATCATATGCCAAAGGGAATCCTAACTACGACGAGTTAGAAGCCTCCGCGATGGCAAGCAGCACAAGTCTAAACTCTCAGTGTTTGCAACTTCGTAGGTCGTATTCTTATTGGTATATTCCTTTGTCATTCTACCCTCACCATCTTATGTAAGGACAAAGTGTTTGATCTCGCGGGACCAATCCGCATCGACTCCATGTGCGCGCTCCACCCAAGCCCCTTTGATGAAGTTTCACTCTGACTCAGGCGTGTACTCCGCTCAGGCTTGCGAGCCCCTTTCATGCCTTGGTGCGTTGTGTCCCAGTTCAACTTCTTCGTCATGGCGTCCTGTTACTTCTTCCACGGTATTGTCGGCACCCAGAATGTGAATCTCTATGTTCTTAGAGGACGGTTGCAGAGATCTTCCTGTCTCCGTTTTCACTTTTGGTGGTAGAACTGCGCCGCCAGATGATGGCGTTTTCAGACGCGATTCAATACTGAACTTCGGTTTACAGATCATCACGTCAGTCACCTGCATTAACAATGGAGATTAGAGTGTTCTTTGAGCTTGATCGAACGCTGGGCAATGGTGAAATCATCGGAAAACTTCAAACATCGTGGGATGAGTTGCTCAATCATGGAGATGAACAATTCGGTGAGCAACCTACTTATCATTCCTGCACATCTACTCACATCGAGTAGAACTGTCCTTCCCACCCGTTCGTGGTGTCAATCCTTCGCTCACGCTGAAGGCCACTGTTGTACATGCTAGCGATAATCAGGACGGCGCACTACTTGACGTGAGTGACCCCAGACTTTGTCCTGTTAGTTGTGCTGACAGATCACGAACTGTAGTCCCTCGTAGACTGCGAGACTGTCCGAGAAACAGATGCGGGCCATGTACGATTCACCAGATACATGAGACACGAGTGGGTCTGTCAGCTGAATGACGGATGACCTCGTCCGCCCGTACATTCACAAAATTCTCGTTGTCATTGAGCCACTCCTCGTTGATGAGGATTACTACGCTCGTGTGGAGGGTCGCGAGATCATATCCAAACCTTTCCAAAGCTGCCGGTTTTGCACACATGATTTTCACTATGCGTCCTGACATTGACCATGCTGACGAGTACGTCCGTAATACCACCGCTCGCGCATTCTCTGTCGTTGTTCCGCGCTCGGTATCCCCTCCCTCCTGCCGTTCCTCAAGGCCGTGTGTCGCAGTAAGAAGTCGTGGCAGGCGCGTCATACCCGTATCCGTATCGTGCAACAGATCACTATCATGATGGGCTGCGCCGTCTTACCCCCATCTTCGTAATCTCGTGGCCTGCATTGCGCACGGTCTGCAGGATGAGCAGCAGAAAGTGCGGACCATGACTGCACTCGGGCTTGCCGCCCTTGCTGAAGCAGCCACGCCCTACGGTATCGAGTCCTTCGATGAGGTACTGAAGCCTCTCTGGCTTGGTATTCGTCTGCATCGCGGCAAGGGTCTTGCTGCCTTCTTGAAGGCTATCGGTTTCATTATTCCCCTCATGGACCCCGAGTACGCATCCTACTACACCAAGGAAGTCACAGTCATTCTCATTCGTGAATTTCAAACCTCTGATGAAGAGAGGAAGAAGATCGTCCTCAAGGTGGTCATCCCCGAGTCCAAAGGGCAACACAGAGGAGAACATGGCGGACACACAGGATCACATCGATGCAACCGTGACACAGCTCTTCTACACGAGCAACATGTTCCACGACTTGACCTACCGTTGAGTTTTACTTTGGACGTGGCGGTGAGGAATCAGATGCTGTGATTACGAATGCACAGGACGGCAGTGGGTTTAACAATGCCAATTTTATGACGCCCCCCAATGCGCAGAATGGGTGGGTTGTTGTTTTTCCTTATCCTGATCGATACTTATGTTTCGTGAACCAGTCGATGCCGTATGTACCTCTGGAACACGGCAAACCCTTACCGCGATGGTGACATGGAAGCTGACATCGTCATCCACGAGCTTGCGCATAGTCTCAGCACGCGCTTGACGGGTGGCCCCAAGAACAGTGGGTGCCTTGGCTGGGGTGAGAGTGTTGGGGTGGCAAGTTTATTCTCCCAGATTTGTCTCCACCTGACGTGCAATAAGCAGCGCAAGTACATACTTCATGTCTGCACTTCATTGGGGAGATCTCTTACGACACTTCCACAGTTAATACAACAAGCATATTCGAGCGCACAGGCCCAGGTGGATTAACGACGGATCCAACAAGAGCTGGTCGAGATTCAGAGACGACCTGAGGCATGGGCGTTGATTGTATCTTTCCTCGAACATCCCGACACAAATGTGCAATTCTTTGGCGCACATACTGCGCAGGTTAAGATCATGTGCGACTGGTAAATGCTCTACCTTTTCCTCCTTTCAATGGTACCGATCAACTGCTATATTGCTGCAGGGATTCATTTCCTGAGGAAAACGCCGAACATCTACGAGACTTACTGCTCAAGCTCACCTCTCACTCAACATTGACGGGAAAAGGCGAAGTAGTGTGCCGCAAACTGTTTGTCACAGTGAGTTCAAGTCCTAGACTGAAGTTCGTCTAGTGATCGTTTGCAGATCACATCACTTGCACTCCAATTTGCGCCTGGTTCTCCCTCAAGGTGGCCAGACTGGATAGTGTCGGCAGTGAATTCTCTCTCTTCCTCTGGCATGCCTCCAGAACAACTCCTTGCCTTCCTTACCATAGTCGATGAAGAGGTCGAAACGGCCGACCTTCTAGGGCCCAGTAAGTGAGTGCGACGATTGGAATCACTCTGCATCATCACCAATCTCGTACCAGGATGCAAATGCACCAGTCTCTTCTTGACGCCTCTCCGATGGTAGTCCAAGCTGTAATAACGTCTATCACTCGACCGACTCTCATATTGCCTGAACTGCAATCTGCACTCAAGTGCTTTCAAGCATGGATATACACATTACGGGCCAAGTAACGTTCTTTTATACTCTGCTCGATTTGCAACTTAATGCCTCACACAAGTGATATCACACCCATTATTCCACTGTTGATCACGATAATGACGCCCGCACCAGACTCTGGATTTGACGAGTCGAATTTCTCAACGGCTTCTGATGTCTTGCAGGAGATTATGACGAGGTCTTCGTTGGCTGGAGGTGCGGGTACAGGCACGTTGACGGAGCCGCTTCTTGTGTGGCTTGATGCCTATGGAGATCGTGGTGAGCCTTGTTGGTTGCAAATGCTCACTCGATATGAATACTCACTGTTATCCGATACCCAGCCGGTTCAGTCGACGGCGTGTCTCATTCACTTTGTAAATTGCTGGTCGCCCTAGGAGATCACTCCACCATGTTTTTCGCCTCCAACATCACATCGTTAAAACCCGTTCGACGTGGATGCTTGGTCTCTCCGCTAATGTCCTTGCGCTCGCCCACCAGTACGCCAACGCTGGCTCCACTAATAACGCCAAAGGCATTGTTCCCTCTGGTTCGGCGCATGACTCGCAAGATCATTCCGTGGCACGGCGGTATATCATCTACGAAGAGTCGTGGAAACACCACGCTCAAGCACGTGCCATCCTTGGAAACCTCATCGGACCGAATGGCGAGCAGCTCACTTCCACCGACCCCTATAGCACAACTGTGTTCGTTGGTGGGTTGTCGCCTTTGGTTTCTGAAGAGACCTTGCGGGCGTTCTTCACTACGTGAGAGTTTCACTTTTGCGCTATTGGTGTAATGCTAATATAATGTTGTGCGTACAGGTGAAGGTGCCCGTTGGAAAACATTGCGGCTTTGTTCAAAGTAGCGGGGGACGGTTCTACTGATTTCTTATCCCCAACAGCCTCTTTACCTCATCCAACTCCCTCCAAGCGTTTTCGAGGTACCTCACGGTCTCCTCGAGTTCCCCCTCTCTCCGCAACGCCATTAACGTCAACCAACACCGGTCTTCCGCAGTGGTATGAATAGGTTCGTGCGGCAGCACGGAACCACCGTGTTGAGTGCGAAATTGGGCCGTTTGTCTGGCGGCGTTCCAAGTCGCCTGGACATTGTCAGTGTTGGAATCACTTAAATCGTAATCAATACGTACAATCGCTGAGTCGCTGACGACCAACGGCCCAGGAATGAGCAGGTGATCAAGTAGTCCTACCTAACATCAAGATCAGATAAGCTATAATTTAATACGCAATTCTTCACATTTAGAACTTACCGATTGTGTTGGAGGCTCAAAGTTGAGTTGATTGTTTTGTCCTTCAACGTTTAGTTGATTGTTTTGATCTTGAGCGCCGGCTTGATTGTTCTGCTCCATGGAGGTGTTGTAGCAGTCACGGTGAAGGAGATTATCGGTGGTGGGATTTTACATAGTAGGTCTGGAGAAACGAGAATGTTTTGCCTTTTTGGGAAAACATTTTTCTTACAACCACACCGACAATGGTCACAGCGACCCCTCTGACAGCCATAAATCACTTCAAACCAACGGCGACGTCTCTAAAGCCTTGTTCAATAAACTAGGTCCGAAAGCACAATCTCCTGCGCCCGCCAACGCCACGCCAGCCTCACCTGTGCATCATGGCTGCAGACCCTCGCATGAGTGACGGAGAGCTAGCCGCAATCAATGCAGCTGCAGTGACGCGGGAATACTGCGTCCAACCACACCTTGGTGCGTCCCAAAGCATTGCAAGACGTCGAGCACTTATTGACGAGTCCTTAAGACTACCGCACCGTTTCTGCGATCAATGGGTGAGTGGACCGCACCACTATGTCTACAACCAAGCTCACAACCAGAATTTACAAATATGGGTTGGCAAGCGCGTTAAGCGTGTTATCTTCGAGTGAGTGTTGTACATTCGGGTAATAATCGTGCCCAACTGCTGATGTCTTTTCATGAAAGAGATAAGCGTGCCGTAGGTGTTGAGTTCACCAGCGATCTGATATCTTGCCCAGATGCGGATAAGTCATCGAGCATCGTGAGGGCATCAAAGCTTGTTGTTATCTCTGCGGGCGCTTTCGGTTCGCCGGCCATTCTCGAGAGATCTGGGATCAGTGTCGATGCGGTTCTGAAGCGGTGCGGTATCGAGCAATTGGTGGACTTGCCTGGCGTTGGAGAAAATTATCGAGGTTCGCGTTCAACCATTTGTTTCATGATGTTAACTTAGAGTTATGAGATCACAATGGCGCCTTTCTTCCACACTTTGCTGCTGACGAAGCTGTTACTATGGACCCCCCTCTGGCGTGGAAAGGAGAGTGCTATACAGGGTAAGCATGTTCTCGCCATATTCCAAGTCCATTTAATCGCCCAAACATTGTAGAAAACCTGGCAAAATGGAAAATCGATGCCAAGTCACTCGTTGCCCAAAAGTTGGTATGAAACCGTCATTGCTGGTGGCGTGTTAATTAGCATTTCAGTGGCAGCGATGCAAAAATCAAATGGCGTCCTGACGGCGACGAGCTGGAAGCTATGGGATCAGCTTTTCAGCCACGATGGAAAGAGTTCTTCCAGGACCGCCCAGACAAGGCTGTTGCAATATTTTGCCTTTTCGAGGGGTGCGTGCACTATACTTTGCTTTGGATAACGTGCGAATGCTCACGATAACCAGACACGCTGGAGCATCCAAGAATAATCTTCCTCCTCACAATTACTTAGTTGCATGCTGTTATACAGTACGATTCCTCATCTACTACCCCGTGATTTGTTCTGAGTTTTGCAATAGCTGTATCCTGTGTCTGCTGGCAGTGTTCATATCAATGGCTTCTCTGAGGAGAACATCACGAGGACTATCATTTTCTACGCGAATCAGACTCTGCGGACTATCAGCTTGTGCTACAAAGACTTTCCGTCTTGGCCACCACCTGGGATTCAAGTCTCTGCTATTGACGAAGTAGGTATACTTGCAGTCGCATTTCGTCATACTGACCTGGTTGTAGGTGTCATACGACGTCATCGCTAAAGACCTGACATTGATCGGCATCGTTGGAATCGAAGATCCGCTCAGGGATGGTGTTCGAGAAGCAGTCTCTGATCGCCACAAAGCTGGTGTCGCTGTGAAGATGTGCACGGGTGATAATGTGCTGACGGCGCGTTCGATCGCCACGCAGTGTGGTATATACACGGCTGGTGGTATCATCATGGAAGGACCCGTTTTCCGTCTGCTTGACGAATCGCAGATGCTCGAGATCGTTCCAAGGCTTCAGGTTCTCGCCCGTCTATTCATTCCTGTCCCTACCTCTACCCTTTCACCGCCGCGAGTATCGAAACCCGTTTCTTTTGGTAGATTCATCATGGCGCCTCAAGTATGTCTCCACCAGGTCCTGTGATACCCATTGTTTCCTCAACTACCGGCAAGCTGGAGAATGAGAACAGGCGCCCAAATTGACCCAGCAGATGACTTGAGAAACCTGGCATCTTCGGTTCTGAGGATGAGGACGGCGAATCTTCGTTTTCGGGAGATCAGCTCCTGGTGACTTATTTTCGGCTGCGGAAGGTGACTCTATCATATGGTCCCACTGGGACACCCTCGTTGAGAACGATTCAAGACCTGGGTACCGACGGAACCCACCTCGCTGAGACTCTCAGACTCTGCGATCCCGAGCGCACCCTCTTCATCATCGCCTCTAAAACCTTTACCACCCAAGAGACCATCACCAATGCCGAATCCGCTCGCGATTGGTTTTTGGCGACAGCCAAGGACAAAACACACGTTGCAAAGCACTTCGTCGCCCTCAGCACGAACACAGGCTGTCACCGCGTTTGGCATTGACAAGGCAAACATGTTCACCTTCTGGGACTGGGTTGGTGGGCGCTACAGCTTCTTTACTGCCCTCATTCGATCGTGTTCGTGCTGTGTTTGGACACCGCTTTTCCCATGCTATTATTCGTATTATTATTCGTATTGCAGGGATTGTGTACGTATCTTGTAGTAGCTACAAGCTCCACCCAAATTCCTGATGCTGGTGCCATTTTTATCTTGATTGGATATTGATTTGTGTAGGCTAATCATACTTTGCGAGACATTGCATATCTCCATCGGAATTGCAGGTTACTGACAATTTCTTGTCCTTTTGCGCCATTGTTCTCTTGCTTGTATATTACTTTGTCGTAAAATAATCATATGCATGAGGTATTGCAAAAATCCATCAGAATGGTGGGTAACTTATAATTTCTTGTCCTTTGGTGCCATTTTTCTCTTGCCTGTGTATTACTTTGTCACACAATAAACATAATTGTGCAGTGTTGCATATTTTTATCAGACTTGTAGCATGCTTGCGATATTGTATCCCTTGATGTCATTTTGCTGGTGTGTGTATAATATATTATCATACGGTATATTATCATAAAATGCCATAAAATTTTGGTCCGACTTTGCAAAGTTCATCTATAAAAAGCACCTCCTCCCCGATTTCGTGATGAAAGTCTGGCAAACGTGGGATATGTTATTGGGGTGCTTTGCGCTCATTGGGCACCTCCGAGTCAAATGATATCCACAGACCTCAAACCTCTTCATCCATCTGTGAGCGACACATACTGGCCCAGCGCACATTTATGATATTGAATCAACACACTCACACTATGTACTTATCACCAGAATCTGTTCGAGTTAGTGCCGGGGTGTAAATTGAGGCCATAAATACATGATCGCATATATCAATATAATTGATGCAATATTTGAGGCACACAATATAGCATTGTAAGTCCAACATAAATAAGGCAATATGATATTGCTTAACAAGTAGCCTGGACCTGATCACGCTATTATACCTTGCCGGCTGCAATGGCGCAAAGCCATGACCTTGTTGGGAGCTCTCATATGAATGTAGATTGGATGACAAGGGCTAGTGGTAATTTCCATGATAAAGCCTTAGATAACATTGTAGGTCCAAATATAATAACAGAATACAATATTGCTCGACAAGTAGTATCTAATTACGCTGTTATAGCTTACTGGCCGCGATGGTGCAAAGTTATGACTTTGTTGCGAACTCTTCATGGTAATCTGGATTTTCTGACATCCATGATAGCTATGTACCAATACTCAAGTTTCTCGCAGTATACATAGGCATATTTAGCGGGAGCAGAATTATATTGTCCTACAGTTCCCACAGCTACCATATCACTGACTCATCGATTCACTGATGTAAGTGTGATTGTATAGTCGGTGATCTAATCGATTCATTAATACATGGGGGGCATCAGGCGTCGTTAAACTTCCACTACTTCTTGCTCAGTGCTTGCAGTTGGACAAACTCGTAATAATCCCCTCTCCGCGCAAGAAGCTCATCATGTGTTCCAGATTCGCTGACTCTCCCGTCCTTGACGAAATGTCTGTAAAGCAGTGAGAAAGTTTTAACGGTGACGATGCTCTCCATTGACTCACATGCGATCAGCGTTCTGGATAGTCGAAAGACGGTGGGCGATGGCAATGGTGGTACGACCTTTGGCAGCTTTGTCAAGAGCTTCTTGCACAACCTTCTCTGAATTTGAATCGAGGGCTGATGTGGCTTCGTCGAGCAGAAGAACCTTTGGGTTCCGAAGTAGTGCGCGAGCGATTGCTATACGTTCTGTATCATGATTTCAGCGTACAAAGAAAGGTACCTGTCAATGAATGATACACACGTTTCTGACCCCCCGACAACTGTGATCCTTTGCCACCGACTTCGGTATTGAACCCACTATTATTATCATGTCAGTAAGCCTCAAGTTCTCGTAGTATTGAGGTCTCACTCTGGAAGTGATTGAATAAAATCTAGTATATTGGCATCGCGGCATGCAGCCTCGATCTCTTCTTGTGTAACCTCAGATTCTGATCTGGCGGCACCGAGCAAGATATTGAAGTGGATAGTCCCCGCGTACAAGGTCTGCAAGACAAGCAGTCAGCTCTCTCTACCAAGAGATGAAAATCACGAGTCTATTCACAGGCTCTTGCGACACAAGTGAAATATGCTGTCGATATGCCTGGACATTACATCCGTCGATATGCTCCCCATCGAGCGAGATCTGTCCAGAAAGTGGATCATAGAAACGCTCTAGTAACTGGATGCTAGATTGAAATGAACTCTCAGCAGCCTGTTCGAATACGACGCAGTGGTAAGACTTACACTGTGCTTTTGCCGCAACCGCTAGAGCCGACTAAAGCAACATAAGTTCCAGGTTCGACAGTAAGCGAGAGGCCACGAAGAACCCGGAATCCGGGACGGGTGGGGTAACTGAAATGAATGTTTTCCAGCACTATGTGGCCCTTGATAGATTCGCTCGGAACACTTTTGCCTTCCGTTGACTCTGCGTCAATCGTAGGAGTCGAATCAAGGAGCCTGATAATTGCGTTCGCGGCCCCTTTGGCTGATGAGACGTCAGGCACAAATGCGAAGACGTTGCCGGCCTGCATTGCGCTAAATACTGTAGTCTGCCGGTGTTTTGTTTACTTCAATAATGCGCAAAGGTTTACGAAATGGCCGTACCATCAAAGCAATGAAGAATGATTGCGTGGTCATTTCAAGCCGTGAAACGAGCGTCGCGCCATACCAGAAAACTAAAGCGATTACCCAGAATGCCATAGACTGAGAGATTGCGAACAGCATGTTGCTCCAGAGCGCCGTCCTAATGGTTTTTCTGATGGGTTCTTCCAAACTTTGTCTGTAAAGATCGAGGCAATGCTCTTCCCGGGTCAATGATGCAACAGTACGGATGGCTGCAGTAGCTTCGCAGGCAATCTGAGCAGAGCTTTCATGCGCTGACTTGTTTTTCTTATCTTTCAGAACAACAACTTGCTAGAAGGTGTTTAGCGCGACGGGAGATTATTACGCGAGTCACGTACCAAACGTATAAATCCAGCGGACGCCAGGATAGGGAGACATGCTAGATAACGACAAAATTTGTAAGAGGAAGGCATGAAATCGGAAATCGGGACGCACCCATGCCGATAATAGCCAGCTTCCACGCATATGCATAGCCAATGACCATACCAACAACTACAGTTGTGATAGATTGGACGATTCTAACCAAAGTCAGTAATGACACTACTTTGGGAGTACTCAAATACTCACGTTCCCAGAGTTACGCCAGCGAGACCATTGATCTTTTGAGGGTTTTCACTCAAGCTTGACGTCAGAGCGCCAGTCTTACAGAGTCCATTGAGGGTTTTGCATGAGCTAGGGAGTTATAGGACTCACACTGTTCTTCTCGTTATCAAAGTACTCGACTGATTCCATGAGTGAGAAAAATACGTTAGCGATTAAGCACTCACTGTCTTGTCGGAGGATGGCTTTGAAGCTCATTGAACGGAGCTTGGCAGTCAAGACGGCGGCAGAAGAAGAAAAGTAGTAGCCCTGAAAACCAACACACAAGCCGTACAGAATGGCCAGAATGAAAAACCTGGCTCGAAATAAGTGCCAGCATGATCTCCAGGAAAATATGTAACTCAACCAGAGAGCATTCCGGTCGCCGGCGTAGCGGCGCGCAGAATTTGTGGTCTCAGAAAAGCCGGCGATCGCGCGCCCTACCAGTGCATGCCAGGATAAATGGTTTCTGTTTGGTTTGGTGACAAGACTTACCATAGATAATGCCAGAGGCAGGATAAGCGGCACCATTGCCTGCAGAAACATTTGAGATCAGCTGATAATATATGCTTCGGAAACTTACACATGGCAAAGAGAGATCCGATAAAGTATCGGCGAAGCCCTTCGCGGTAAAGACCAGCCATTCGTCCCATCAAATAGAATAGACCGTAGTCTTCTTCTGGAGCCCGATCCCCTACTGTCTCCTTTAATTGACTGACGACGTCGCTTCCGGTGGAGCGAATGGTGCTCTTCCGATCGAGGATTTCTCCTGACCTAGGCTCCTCCAAATCTCTCTCCTGACTTGATATCGCTGCATCCAGATCTTCATCTTCGTGACCCTCACGAAGAGTTTGTGCCGTGACAAGACGAAAGTATGCCCCATTTTCGTCTGCCAGGAGTTCGGCATGAGTCCCTCGCTCCAGTACCAGTCCATCGCCCATTACGAGTATGCAGTCAGCATCTTTGATGGTTGACAAGCGATGAGCAATGGTGATGGTAGTTCGGCCAGCAGATGCCTTGTCCAGAGCATCTTGTACAATCCCTTCCGATCGAGTATCGAGGGCGCTCGTCGCTTCATCAAGGAGCAAGATCCGCGGATCCGACACAATAGCTCGCGCGATAGCGACGCGCTGTTTCTGCCCTCCCGATAACAGGAAACCACGCTCACCAACCATGGTGTCATATCCTTGTGGCAAGTGGGTAATAAAGCTATCTGCATTGGACTTGATGCAGGCTGCTTTTATGAGCTGAAACTTCTCCTCATCAGACGCATCCTCGTATGGTGTGCCAATGAGACCGTGGGCGACGTTGCCCCTGATAGTAGTCGCGAAGAGCACGGGCTCTTGTGAGACTAGACCGATCTGAGAGCGCAACCACTTGATGTTCAGTTCCCGCAAGTCAGTTCCGTCAAGCGTAACAGAGCCGCTGAGCGGATCGTAGAAGCGTTCTGTGAGAGATACAATCGTAGATTTTCCAGATCCAGATGCGCCGACGAGAGCAGTTGTCTTGCCAGCCGGAAAGGTGATGTTGATGCCTTTGAGAATTGGGACATCTGCGCGAGAAGGATAGTTGAATTTGACGTCCTTGAACGTAATCTCGCCAGTAATTTTTGCAGGTTTTAGCCCTCCTGGGTTTGCAGAGTCGATATCAGGAACACGCTCGATCGTGGCGAAGAGTTTGGCGGCAGCACCACAGGCACGTGTAATGGCTTAAAGCATTATGAGAATTCCGAAACAAAAGCGAGACCACGATTACCTTGCAATTCAGGCGCAAGCATGGCAAGAGAGAATGATCCAATTAAGATGGCCATGAAGACATTCACGACCTGTCCGGCGTTCGCTGCCAACCAATGTTAAATGTAGTTTCACGGCACAGAAACGGGAACAGACCCTGGCCCTCATTGATGAGGGTAGTTCCAAAATCGAACGCCAGCGAATACGCGCTGTATATCACAAAAAAGAGGAAGCCTAACCCTATACCTTGCCCAATACTCGCTTTGCAGTCAACGGCGCGAGTTATATCGATGTCCTTATCGTATATTCCAGACAAAACTTTCTGTGTCCCGAAAGCCTGTGCAGTGCGAATCGTGGATATGACCTCTTCTGCAAGATTACCCGCCTCAGCAACATGTTTCAAGGACAATCTGGCATGGAACGGAGATCAGAGCTTCAGGACAAGTTCAACAGCAGGTACACTCACTGCGTGTATTTGGACACAAACTTATTCATGACGCCGCCTATGATCATGATGCACGGGAGGATGGACGACAACGCAAGAGCGAGACGCCATGACCGGACATATGCAATTATAAAGCCAACGACGAATGAGCTGACGAAAGTGACTGCAATAGTGACCTTTTCGGATATCCCCAGTTGTACCAAGTCTATTTCAGAACGTGACATCGACCATCCACTCTGAAATGTCCGGTATGACTTACGAGTATCGGTTTGGATGCGGGTCGCAACCTCTCCAGCCCCAACATCATCAAAATAGGCGATGTCCTGTCTAAGGATGGCCTGGAGATATCTCTCTCGTATTCTTTTCCCATTAAGCTCTGAAGTATAAACCCAGGTGTACATGTACAGATACGTGGATACGAACATCGCGATACCTGGTACCAAGTTCAGATACCAGGTGTCATTTTCATCAAATTCAGAACTTACCAAGATAAGTGAGGTAAGAAGCATCTAGTCCAGCGTTATGTCGGAATGCGGATGCAGCAGCATTTAGTGCCGCCTGCGCCTGCTCAATCACGTTCGGATCATTGGACTGTAGCGATTGATAGTACTCGTTCTCTACTAAACCAAATGTAACGAAATCTTGTGTCAAGTTGCCGAATATGAAAGTCATTAATGGCTAGGGCAGACAATCAGGAAATGTAGCTCGCAAACCCGAGAACTCACCTGCGAAGCGCCAGCCGCAATAGCAAAGACTATGCCAAAAAGGTCTAACATTATTTCAAAACGAGTTGAATACCTGCGTCGGTGAACTACCACGTTCAATCAGGAGAGTGGGATGATCTTACCGAAATAACGATAAGAATGACGCAGGGACGGGTGCGTCTGCTGCCTTTGCGTTCTCGGCTTCGCTCTCTATTTTCTTGGATGATTTCTTTGGCCAGGGGAGAAAGGCTCGGATGCCCTTTGCATTCTCTTTGATTTCCAGAGCGACATGTTCCGGTCCCGGGGGTGCGAGCTCCTTGGAAAAGGCAGGTTTCTTCTCATCCGGAGAGGCTGGAAGACTCTCCGAGGTATGAGGCGCATGTGAGGTGGATTCTGACCTCATGTCCGAGCGCAGCTTGGGCGGACGGCTGCAAGGAATGCATCCATTTATGTAGGTCGCTGCGGTTCTGAGGCGCCCGGCGGCGTCCACCAGGTTCGGCTCACGTGAGAATCCTAATACTAGGAGCCTGCGGAACATTTGATTGGGACCTGTACCTCATGTCTGGAGCCTTCGTCCCTCTTCTTCCACGTATCCGACACGTAGTATGCCAACGAGATGCTTATCGGAATCCTTATCACACACATACCATGTCGATGCCGGGGCTGATGTCACTGCACAAGCCGCGCATTTTTTTTTGACCTACTGCAGTATACGCGCCCTACTTGAACATGCCGGTCCATTACGTAGCAGCTTGCCAGGTCGTACAATCAATAAAGGCAACTCGGTGATTTGCCGGATTCCAATGGAATGCTGGTGTCATTCCGTTGGGATACTGTAAACCCTATACCTCGTACGATCGTTGACGCCGAAGCTGATAAGGTAAATCTAATCTGATGAGAGCCTATCTCCCGAGTCCCGACGAGCTCACGTACGTGAATCATTCATCGAGACGTTGCCTTGGTTATTCATCGGCTTGTGGGCTCTTGTGGACTGCAACTTAGGCACTGTGGTATTATCCCAGGGTCGACATCTGTCGACAATGGACATCCACTTCGAGAACAGTGGACTCGCACAAAATTTCTGACGAAAGGCGGCATAGCAACTCATACCAGGCTTTTGTGCACACTGGTCGGCTTGTCGACAAAGTTACTGTTTTTGGTTTATCTCCTTTTGTGCAGTTCTCATTGTCTGCTATGCCATGGCTGTGCTCGGGGAGTTCTTGGGACCAACATTTAAACGTCACATAGCCATCGGGCATACCATTGTGGCCGGGGAATTCGCGGTATATCAGATGCGCATATGAACTTCTTTACGCACCACTGTAATTTCCCTCTTTCCCCCACTACCGAGCCTCTGGCCGTGGTCCTCAAGGCCCATTGCATTCTACGACTTGCTCTTTAACAACGCTCCTGGTAGAGCCGTTCAAATTCGCCATTATGGCGTTTAAGCTGTCGTATTTCTTTTGGACACCCCGGCATATTAAGATCCCAGGAGAGATCAAGCCGATGAGGCGCCAGAGGCCAATGAACTTGTGAGCGGCTCCGAATTTTATTGGCATAGAATTTGAATGAATGACTTTCATCCATATATAGTGCTGATATTCCTTCTCCTTGGAATAATCACCTCTCAGCAATAAGAAAGTCATTGGAGAATAATGAACTCGGAGGTGCCGCGACTGCTTAGGCGCCTCATGACATGACGGGCTGTGGATTAGAGTGCTATGTATCATTAGACCCACCGCAGAGGGGAGACTTTCTTGGATAACAATTATGTGTATAACAGGAGACGTTGGTCGCACATAGGGGTGCGTTGTGTCAATAGCGAAGAACATAATATGTAGTACCAAATCGGCATAAGTAAGACATGAACAAAATGCAATGTCAGTCGGCTCTCCATATGATTAATGAAACCAAGGTGCAACACGAAAAACCAAGTCCCAGTAAGCATGAAATACAGGTTCCACAAGGACAGGTAACTACCAAATGTCCCCGTCAAAGTTCAAATCTAATAGTGTTGGCCATCAACCAGCACTCAGGGAAGTCGGGAAACCCGATAAGTTGTCAGCAGATGATGCTGATGCGCTGTTGAACATCGCTTTTAGCGCTAACTCGTTCCTTCTCTGCCGCACTCTATCCACCTCTTCAGCTCCGCCTGTCATTCGCAACCTCTTGCCACCCACGAATCCTGACAGCTCCTCCTGAAATTCATCAGACCGGCTCGCGAGGTCTCGTTCCCGGTTTTTCTGGTTTGCCTCAATTGCCTTCATCCGCCGCTCTGGGTCAACCGCTGCGCCCCGAATCTCCATCATGACAGTACTCAGGCCAGTATGGCCCTCGTCCACTGGAAGAGGCTTAAATCCACGGCCTTTGTTATTGCGTCCGGGGGTAGTGCCGCGGATAGAAATGACCTTGTCAACGTGCCCAAAGACGTCCACCAAAGCTTTGTGATCTTCGAGGAGATCGGTCAAGAATTCTTCTTGATGGCCGAGGAAGCCTTGTTCCTCTACGATATTCTGCAGCTCCTCTTCCCAAGTCTTCTTCCACATCGGCCTGACGGTATCAATGTGCTCTTTGAGACTAGCCAGCTCCGTAGCAGTGGAAGTGATGTCCTCCTGAATCTGCTTCACTAGCTGAGGCTTGGGAGTCATATGGCGCTTGAGAACGTCATCTCGGAGTGCCTCCACCGTGTCCTGCAACTCCTCGACCTTCGTCAACACGTTCTGACTCCGTGTGTCCAATTTCGTCTTCCCCTGGTCTATAAAGCCCCGTGCGCCGCCAACCTTGACAGACGCTAGCTGCTTCACAGATTGCGTTTGTGTCCGCAAAGCGCCCAAGGAGTCCTTCGTCGACTTCATAAACTCCGTGTACAGCTGTCTCATGATTCCTAGATCACGTCGCAGGTTCTGTACCTCGTCGAACTGCGTCTTCAGATCATCCACTACTCGGTTGGAGTACTCGGACATCGCCGAGGCCCCCGTCGTTTGGGGCTGTAGTTGAAGAGACTGCCCAGTCATCTGAGGCAGGATGAATGGACTGCCGCTCGAGCTCACGTCACCCACGATGCGCGAGAGCCTACGTGCGACATTGTGTAGTTGCCTTTCGGATGGCCGATCTGTCCTCGGTGTGCTCTCGACGAAGTCATGGGCGATGATGGGATTCACGTGGGACGATCGACGGTCATTTGAAATCGCGGTGCGAAGTTCTTTAAGGTCGTTAGACAGCGTCGATATCTGAGTGTCGATGTGTTGCTTTATTTGATCGAGCGCTAAAAATACAATAGATCAGTATGAGAATACAAGAAACGCGACTCCACTCACGTTCGATGTTGAGAGATAGCAGGCATTTCTCCTTCACCTCCTCAATATCTTCCAGCTCATACTGCACACCGCTAGAGGGGTCACGTATGTATATCGCAGGGAAATTCTCCTGACCCGGATTATACGAGAACCTATCCACGAATAACATCCTCAACGACGAAAAGGACAAACCAGGTTCGATGGTGACCTTCTTGACTTCTCGCCCGACTTGTAAGAAAACTGAGAACGTGGTCAGGGAAACAGGTTCAGGTGTCTGTTCAAAGACCGTAGGCTCTGTTGTCACGTTGTCTGCTTTGGACGGCGTACGAGCTCGTTGGGAGCGAACGGGCTCTATTAACGAAGGCAATGGAGGAACGGGAGGGGCTGCCTCCGCCTCGACTATGGGCGAGGGCGTTCGCGATATCGTTCTGTTAGACCGCGCGCTGCCGGTGCGCTTGACTTCCGGTTCATCCACTTCTGTTAGAACCGCCAAGTCCCCTGGTGTCAGCAATGACCCTGCTGCCATCGACCGCCGATTGCCTGACCGCTCCCGTGAGCCTGTCATTTTCGTGATGTTGTACGTCGAGAAACGCTTCGACGCACGCCGCTCGAGCACGTCGCTCTTCTTCAATGCGGCTAGGGAGCTGGCGACTGCAGGTGCTTGCAGGCTGTCGATGGGAGTTTGTGGTGAGGAGATTTCGCTAGGAGGGGTTGGTGCTTCATCTATCAGCACTGCAGGGAGTAAGGGAGGCGATAGGGAAACTGGTCTATCGACGAGCGAATAGCGCTTGACGGAGGCAGGTACAGGGACACTCTGAGGTGGTGTTTGAGGCAAATTCTTGTCTGGCTCGCTGGGTGGGGCGTGATGTGGAGTTGCTGTTACGGAAGATGCGACCAAGGTCTCTGATGAATCACGCGAAAGTGTGTCACCATTGTGCTTGTGCACATTCTGCGATTGTCGTGCCTGAGGCGGGACTGAGCCTCGATTGGTGTGCCCGTTGGCGCTGCTGGTGATCGTGTTTTCATGAGCCGACGTTTCATCGTCAGGTTCGCGAAAGACGGATGGCGGAGATGGCGGCGGAGGGGTTTGCGAAATTGGGTCTTGTCGTTTTACTGACGATCTTGCAGACTGTCTTGTCGTGCTGTCCCTGTCCCTATCCCTATCCCTGTCCCCCTCTCCCTCCTCCTCCAATACGCTACGCGAAAGCTGCGACCGATGTCTGGAATCGTCATCACGCCGTGAAGCCTTGTCAGACTTAGACGAGCGACTGTCTGTCCGTGAATGGGACGAACGATGTCGTGTCTGGTGCTCCGACACGATCCGACGGTACATGGACTGCTTGCCGCGGAGACCCTGAAGGAGGTTGGTGATAATCTTGCGCACAGTGGGTAGATACACGTTGAGGTTGTCTGTTGTGGCTTCCTCTGCTAGGCAGGTTTCGAGGACCTCTCGTAGGTCTTCGGGCACGGACATGAGGTCTCTGTGAGGTTATACTTAGTAGTTGAGGGTTATGTCTACCTGCAGGCAAAGGCACGCACGACATATCGATATTAAATGCAGCAAATGCAGCCACAGCCGCGTTGAAGTCATTCCCGAGGCGGACGTAGACGTCGCTCACCTGGATCTCGTCCATTTTGCCGGTGCTCCATTGGGTGAGGGACTCAAGAAGTTGTTTGATGGCCACGAGAAGACGTGTGACGGCAGACTCAACTGCGGGCTACATCCCTGGATGAGTTAGTTATTACATTGCAGATAAGGGTACTCACATGTGCGTGCGAACGGCTGCTGCGTGAAGAGGATGAACTTGAAGAATGGGTCGAGGTTACTGACTGGTGGTCTCGCCGTGAACTATGGCCCGCGTAGGGCGGCGGCGGCGGCGTTGACCTCGTCGAAGACATTCAGGAGCACAAAGGAGGTCAGTGTGTTGGTGGAGGAGTGCTTTATGCCAGGCAGCTCAAGGCCAGGAGTATTCTGATCAGCGGTCTTCGGTTTCTTCGGTGCCCTTTTCTGCCATGAGAATATATTTCCAAATGAAGCCACAGTCACCATCATGATCGAATATGCACAGTGACAGTGGCCGGAATACGTCTGATACATACCAAGAACGGGGGATACAATAGGACTTGATTGCATAGCGTACACGGAACGGCAGTGACAACAAGAACAGGTGCGCCTTTCTTGAAGGTCGCTGATCCTCACGCTTGATCACCGTACGGGTTCAAAGTTTGGGATTCAGGAGCCAGAAATGTGATACTAAATGTACAGACCCGTGGCGAAGGGTCACTAATTATAAATTAAATCCCATGTGCCCTTTGCCCAATAGTTCTACGACTGCGGGTTGAATAGTGGAGCCCTTGGTCCAGCTAGAATGTAGTCGTTGAGGATCTCGTCCTTCTCTGTGCGCTTGTACGTCCGGATGGTCTCTCCATAATCTGAGATCTCGTACATGCGGAACCGCCGGTCAAACCTGAGGGCACAGTAAGTGAGATGAAAATACGGAAACATAAATTATGATTCAACCCACCCAACCTGTCCGTACCCAGAATACGACCTGCATCATACAATGAACACAATTAATGACGGATGAGCACGGTGCGCTGCTTACCCTCCGCCTCCAAAGCACATCCATATATCCTTGATACGTTTGCAATCCTCCGTGACTGGGGCACTACATGAGATCCGGCATCCAGGAGACTCAATGCTGAAACTTACTGTGGCAGTGTCCATTTGCGACCACCTTCACTTCGGGTATGCCTCCACCTGTAACATGACCACTCTCCAGTGCTTTCTTCAAACCCTTGTCGAACATTCCATCATTCTTCTTCGCAAAACCGGGTTCTTCCAGATCGTGCAGACCGATGTCCAGCAGCTGGCCAGTACGCGTGTCCGTGTCCGCTGTACTGAATGACTCTTGCCTGGGAAAAAGTCAGCTTAAAAGTGACTAATACGGAAGTATGAAACCCACAGAGGAATGTGGAAGAACATCATAGCATTGGGCTTGGCTAATTTGCGCGTCGTGGGCGTGATCTGATCGGACTGTCTGGTCCATATGGAACCAAAATCCTTGCCGGTGTCCGGTGTGAACGGACGTTCTATGGGCTGTATCTTGGATGATTCTTGCAAAAACCAGTTAATTTGGTCCTGGTGAGCTATGAGCGCAATTGACGAGATGATATCAAGGAACACTGACCTCGTGTATCCAGTCGTACTCCGTTGGGAAGAAGTAACCTAACCAATCTAAGTAACCGCTCGAGTAGGATCCAGAGTCAAGAAAGTACAGCGTCAGCAGCGATGTCATGGAGCTATGAAAGGCGATCAGCTTGTACCCCAATACCGTGAAGTGGAAGCACTCACGCATCAGCACTCTTCACGTTCAGAACGTAGTTCCCAACACCGTGAATATCTTTCGGACCCCTCTGCACCATGGAGTAGGGGAGGGCCTTCATCATACGCACCTGCTCCTGCTTCACATCACCGTTCTCCTCGTCATGATTGCCGAATATAGCTGCCCAAGGTATCTTGCGATCTGTAGCTGCTACAGCAAACTTTGCCAGGACGGATTTGGGATCCCAAGATGTTCCTTGCCCGTTGAGCTGGTCGCCGGAGAAGACGATAAGGTCTGGCTTTTCTTCGTCCAGCACGTGTGCGAGGAGCGTGTTGGTGAGATTATCGGAGTTGACGCAGGGATCAATGTCAGTTTCCCGACATACGCCTCTGGAAACGGAGAAGTGCAGGTCTGCGACCTGCAAAATCTTGAATTTTCCGTCTCGTGAGAAGTGTAAAGGATGTGCGCGAGGGACCGCTGCAAATCATACTCAGTCTACTACGAGCATAAAAGCTGTTAATGCTCACACTTAACGCCGCGGCGGTATGTCACATACACACTCTCTAGTTGCCCCTCCTTCTCTGGGGTTACGGGAGGCTCTAATTTCTCAAATCCGTACCAAGGTCGGTCCTCCCCGAAGAGTACGTCGACTTCGGTAATGAGATTGGCCTTGTCTTCCGAAGTCATGTCGCTCATCGTTTTGCCCGGGAGGTACCACAGGTACAGTGGTTCCGCACGCATAACGCCGTCACGGATGGAGTGATCAACTCTTACCCAAGGGTCCGTGAGAGGTTCGGGAATGACATTGGCAGGAAGGAGGCGCAAGTCGGTAATGAGAGGTATATCAAGGCGGCGCGTCCGCCTGTAGTAGATATTCTGGAGTAATTTGGTAAGTCATGAAATAGGTAACGTGAACTAGTGGTGGTGCGTACCAGAGTCCAGAGACCAGCTTGCTTGTTAAGATCCCGTTCCACTCTAACCCAATTACCTTTGATGGCGTCCTGCTCGATGGTCGTGCTGGGTGCGCAAAGGTTCCCGACGAGATCTGGTGGCATCATGCAACGCGTGATGGCAATTTCAGACACTGTACATAGAGAATTGAACTGAGTCCCTGACAAAAGTGACAAGCATACGTACGGCCAGTATCGTGAGGTAAGAGCGGAGCCCAAACGTCAAGAGGATAACTCTCTATATCATCGGTAGTATCCCAGGGCTGATTGGATGAGGAATCCCACCAGTCTGTCTCGTCATCGTTGCCCGGAATTGGCTGTGCCTCCTCTGGGTCACCGGTGACTGGCGGCGTAGAAGGTCCCTTATCGAAGTAGTCGGTGGTGGCAACCGCATCCCAAGCTTGCCAGCCTAGACGCTGGGCAATGCCAGGACCGTCGGTAGGCTGATATAATACGAAGAAGTATGTCAGGAGGCATGAGAAGCCAATGATAGCGGCTGTAGGGACCAATATGCCCCTCATAGATCGGCCAATGCGAGAGAATGAAAACGCAGCCATTATGGCCCGACTAGTCCTGGATTAGCGAGCGACCACGGTCAATGAATTCACGAAAATTAGCGAGAACACGGTTATGACCAAGTGCTGCGAGCCTGCGTGTTCGAGGAAGACAAGGGGGTCACATATCCAAATCAAGCGATTAATGGTGGTCTACAAATTCTTCAATTATGGGTTTGCTCAGAAACTTTCTTTCTCCGTTCATTCCAATATTTTTCGCGAATGCAGGCTTTGTGTCGCGTAGCCCGTCGTCTCTACTCGACGCAACCACCAGAACGGGCTGCCAGCGCCTTGCCAAAGTTTGCAGCAGCTGCCAGAGATGCCTCAGCTCCAATGGCCGTTCGTGAACGCCGCGAACGCAAGCGGGCCCACCTCAAACCTCCTACCGACAGCGACCTCACTCAATCAGAATATTCGGGCTATAGACGAGCCCTTGCCAAGGGTGAGCTGATGGATGAGCGGGGGAGAGATATGACGGAAGCTCAATGGCTTGACGCCCTCAATGAACGGCGGACGCGTCTTCGCGGTCTGAAGGTCACAGACATTAATGGAGAGAAAGAGCTGCAGGTGGTCGGTCAGAGAATTTATCTCCCGAACATCATCTTCCGCATGGTGCGCAATTTTACACCCACCGGCAAGCCCTATAACCCCTACGAAGCCACTTTCCGAGTTCCCATGTCTGTCACGAAAACAGACGTTCGCTCATATCTATCTTCCGTGTATGGCGTTAAAACTACCTACATCCGAACTGCCAACTACTTCTCGCCGTTATATCGCCAATATAATGGGGCAAAGACGACGCGAGCATACCGGACATACAAGCGTGCCGTTGTCGGTCTCGTCGACCCGTTCTACTATCCTCAAGCAATGGAAGACATGACTGCAGAAGACAGAAAGAAGCGGATGAATTGGCTCAACGAAAAATTTGCGCTGGATGCATTGAAGAGATGGAGGAGACATGAACTGGTGCGGACGTCCCAGTCGGGGAGCAAGAACTGGCGCTTCACTGGTCATCTGCGGAGGGATAAGATTTTGAAGGCAGTCGCAAGGAGCCGCTCAAGAATGCTACGAGAAGTTGAAGATGTGAAAGAGGAACTGGCAGACAAGCGGGCACAGGGGATTCCCATCTTCTCAGACACTAAGAGGGGCTCGCGACCAAGTAAATGGAAGGAGGCGCTCTTGGCTAATTAGATCGTACGGCTCTACTTACACGTACGGTGATACTAATACTGATATTAGGCCATATTCTGCTTTGATGAGCATCGGTGAGGTCTTCTCTTATCCAGTTGAAGGAAGTCCGGGTGCACTGGGATCTGGAAGCCAGACTAGATAATCGATGTCACGGTTATTGCAATGTCACCGCTTTTCGTTCCTTACCATCATATGATCCCATTGACCACTTGTTGACTACTTTAAATTCTTCACGCACTCACCATGGTGTGGTGTGATGTTCACATGAAGAGGCTGTGATTAAACCCATGCTTGTGGTCCTTGTGACGGCGGTTTGAAGGATCTATGATGCCCAGCCTTGCCCAGCCGTTGACACAGTGGTGACCCTGAAGAATTGAAGCGGCCTTGAAGGTTGGATTTGGGCTGTCTTTGGCCTTTTGTGCTGACTCCGAGTCCACTCAGGCTAGTACTGTCAGACAATTAACCGGTGAATTCGGCCAGTATTTCAGGACTAGATGTTCACAAATAACAATTGGGCTCTTCATGACGACTATTTCTGCGCGTGGCTGTTCTCAGAGCAACGGAACCTGTTTCCCTCGGATCGCTCAAGTGACAAGCGCCGAAGGGTTGCGCAGCACTGACCGGAGCATGAAACATGTTATAACGCTCAAAGAGGATCTTCGCAGGTCCATTGCTTCTTATCCTTCTTCTTTCGCTATCAGCTCGCGGGTCCGGGTCATTAATTTTGTTTTTTCTCCTCTCGAGTCCAGACTGCAGGCAGTCTATCATTTTAATCGATTGCTCATCCGCTTTCTAGAGCGTTATGATTGCTTCAGCTTGCTTTACGACCCTCTTATTCCTTCTTCTATCCCAGGATGCATCGGGAGCACCAACAGCATCACCTACTGTCGTAGGGCGGAGCATGCCTATCCGCAGGCTCAGCCCTTCTTCACAGAACCTCACACTAGTGGCTCAGCAAGCAAAGGACCAAAGAGACATTCTTGGTGTAAAATACGGTGGCCAGTTACTTCAGCAGAGGGGCACTGGATATAACCTGTATGTAAATCCTATCATGTCCTGAGTGTTTTATCCTCAACACTGCGCTATCCAGCATTGTCAACCAGGGTGTTGATACAGGGTGTGTAGAGAGCTCCGCCCACTAGCATACGTTTGCTGATCGGACATGTTTCAATAGCTACTATGGAACCATAGCAATCGGGACACCGCCAGTGTCCTATGATGTAATTCTCGACACTGGTTCATCGTAAGTACCAAGTCGTAATTTTCCCACACATAGCTAAGAACAAATATCTCTAGCGATCTCTGGCTGACTAGTTCTATTTGTGGGCCAGGCTGCGGAACCAGCCCTACATACGATCCTGCAAAATCGTCTAGTTTTCAAAATCTCTCAACGCCATTTGAAATCTCATATGGTTCGGGTGCAGTGGCTGGCTATGTTGCTGAGGAGACTGTTCAGATGGCTGGTTTCGAGGTGGCAAAGCAAGGTTTTGGTAAGCAGTTATATACATCGAGTGCTTTGCATCCGTCTGACAGAACATTTGTAGGCGTTGTTAATGCTCTTTCGTCGGCCTTCAACACGAACCCTGTATCTGGAATAATGGGCCTTGCATGGAGTCCGCTTTCTTCCACGCAGCAGACGCCTTTCTGGCAAACGCTGGCTAGTGGTGGAAGTTGGGATTCTGCGTTATTCGGAGTACAGCTCACACGGTATGTGTAGACTGAGTGATTTCACTATGTTTTCCTGACTTGTGGCTGGTAAGCTATGGCAATGTGTCTAATGCAGCTCAAAACGAACCAGGAGGAGTTATTGACTTGGGTGGGTGGATTCATCCCACTTTCATGCTCGCAAGTCTAACGGTGACCCTTTGACAGGCTACACCAACAGCAGTCTCTACACGGGATCAATTGAATATCATAACCTTGTTGGAACACCACAATACTGGGAGATTAACATGAACAGTAAGTAGAATATAAAAAACAACAAAAACCAGCTGACGCGTTTGATAACCTAGCGCTGACTGTGCAAGGAAAGTCCATCGACATCGCAGGGATCTCGACTGCTATAATCGACACCGGAACTACAAACATTGCAGGCCCCGCCAGTGCCGTTGCGAGCATCTACGCACAGATCCCTGGATCCCAAGCAGGAACGGGCCAATTGGATGGATATTACACGTATCGTAGGTGTTAATGCCCTCATGCTATCCGTAGGCTGACAGGACAAAACTAGCATGCAGCACGACCGTGAATGTGCAGTTTAACTTTGGTGGTAACACTTGGTCGATGAGCCCCGCGGACTTCACGCACTCCCAAGTCAGCACCACGGAGTGCCTTGGGGCATTCTTCATCGCCTCATTCGGCTCAGGGGGTCCTTCATGGGTTATTGGCGACGCGTTCCTCGTGAGCTTTCATCACTAGCTTTTGTTATCTGGACTGCGTCTGATTGATGCGTAGAAAAACGTTTACTCTGTGTTCAAGTACAGTCCTGCCTCTGTTGGTTTTGCTGCGCTATCAGAGACTGCTATCTCTCAGAATGGCATCAAGGCTGCCGTGCCATCCCCAACAATCGGCGCTGTGACAGCTGCTACAAACACTGGTGCTGCGTCAAGTGCTTCGTCAGGCGCCGTGTCAAGTGGTCCTTTGAGTACATTGCTCTGCTTCTGGCTAGCTTCTACGTCAATCGCTTTTCTGTTCTGGTGATTTGTTAACATGGACATGTCACATAATTGTACATTCATTTCAGGGTAGTGGAGTTCTGGTGATGTTAATACGGACATTCACATAATTATACATTCGGTTGCAAGAGAACAAGCGCCCACTGCATTGCATCCGTTCATCTCTCCCTTGTCCTGAACGCTATCGCTTCCGTTTAATGGGTAGCTTTGGATCACCCCCGCCAATTGATACATTCCAGCTATATGATCTCCGTGTTGAGGTCATATGCCCGCCTGGGGAACGTATACTATGTGGAGCGAAAGAGGGTGACCATTTTATCCTCGAAGGAGAAATGCTTCATCTCCCACCTGGACAAGGATTCTCCATTTATTCGCTCAGTAAGCGTCCTGATCGATATTTCTTTCAGTATGCTTGCTATCGCTTACCGCGTAATTAGGTGCCGTTTTGCCGCTTCTAGCAGCTAAGCAGCGCGTCACTCACCCAAATGATTGGATGAGCACGGATGCAGAGGTTGCTTGTCCCGACCCAAATTGCAAGTCTAGATTGAGAATCGTGAGGACTGGAGTTAGGACATTCAGCCATGCTGAAGTCACAGCTCTTCCCCTTGCACCCCTGGGCCACGGTCAGGCTGGTTCGGCGCTAGCGGGGGCCTGATCAAGAGCTGAATCGCTGCGCCGGTGGGGTATTGCAGGGTTAGCGCTGATCAGAGGCATACTAATGTGGAGGCCTGAGGGTGGCATTGGATATCTGGATTGCTACCTTCTGCTCCTATGCATAGGGGAGACTTATCATTTGACCAAGTGTGTTGCTGCAACCAAGTTCCGAAGTTACTTTGTGACAGTCGCGCATGGTATTCATATAGATTAACATAGAGTCTCCTTGTGCCGTTTCTCCTAGAAATGTTAGTCGTTACTGCAATGTTACTGGTATTTCAGGCTGCAATCGCCACGCTATTTGGCATCGTTTGAAGTCATCCCTACGTGTATCGTGCGGCCCTCGTACAGGACCTATGGCGAGAGACAGGAGTCGCAAGGAGACAGATTGGAGTTGTCATGATTGAGAAAGAATTGTTCAGCCAATGGGTAAGATTTCAATGGACAGACTTGAGCGAATTCACGGTTGAAGGCAGCGACGCGAACGTGCCGAACGAAAAGATCGCGCCGTGTCGCAAATGCAATTCACATTCGGTGCAAAAGGCCTCTCAGGAGTCTGATTGTGCAAGGATTCTATGTGGTCTGCTGTTGCGCGCCAGCGCAATATTGATGATCAAGTACGAGTGGACATTGCTCAGAAACTCTGCTCTTCGAAAAGATACAGCTATTATATCTCTAGCCCGGTCATGACGTCCATCATGCTGTGGACAGAAGTCATGTCCTTGACTTGGGCAATAATATCGTCATCTGAAGCGATCCTCTTGTATTCTCCGCCACGCTCCTGCGCTAGCAAAAGTGCGCCGAGTGGTTAACCAAGATGAGCAACCAGTTGCATGTCAGACTCCAATTCGGCTGGTTGATTTTCTTCATGAGCCTTGGACTGAAGATAATAACGAGTCCTCAGTTAAAATCTGGGATGCGAAGACAGGCGAGCTTGTCACAACTCAAAGGACACACAAATTCCGTGTGGTGCCTAGCTTTGGCCTAGCTTGGACTTTGGATGGCAAAACGCTCATCTAGGCTGGGTCGGTTGGCACGGTCGATGACTCGATTAGGACGTGGAACACCAAATCCTGGAAGCAGACCGCGGTTCTGGATGAGCACACCAGTGCAGTCGATGCCATTGCAATATCTCCGAATGGCCGCATCCTCGCAAGCGCATCGTACGACAGGACAGCACGATTATGGAACCTCGACAACGGCCAGCCCATCAGTTCGCCACTCCAGCATGCAAATCTAGTTGGCTGCGTATCGTTTTACGGAAAGCTACTAGCAACTGGCTGTGATGAAAACATCATTGACTCTTGGAATGTTACTGCGATTGTTAGAGAGGCTGACCTCGACAGCCTTCTGTCGGATCCAAAGGTGGGTTAACAGGCATGTCTCATTTCATTTCATTATCACAACTGAGCGCACTCTGCCAGGTCGATAAGTCAGCACTCCATGTAAGTGACACCTTCATAAAAAGATCTCATCATGTCCAACCATATGATACACTCTATATTAATGCTCCACTACGTCAGCCTGCTCATCGGGTACCCCGAGGTTTTTTCGATGTCCCACCAGATCATGCTCGTGTACGTTTTCAGTATTACTTCGAGTTTTATCCTGACCTCCGTGGTCTCAGCTCTCTGCACGAAGCCGTCCCCGCCCCCCTCCTCAGCACTGCAATGAAACACGCGTCTCGGTCGCTTATTCCACCGTAGCCGCTCCAATGTACATGAGACGTCGACGTCCACTCCTCTCGACTGGGCTCAACACCTTTTGAAACGGCGCGGAGGAAATAGTGAAGACATAGAATTGCACGGGCGCAGCCCAGGAGTTGTTGATGTCCCGTATGCACAGGCAGAGCTTGTATGTTTTTTCTCCTGAGTAACCTGACATTATATAGAGAAATGCTTCAGCAAGAGAGAAACGGAAACATTGCACTTTACTACGGGCAGCCGACGGCTTCCCACCCAATGCCACACAGCAGTCCAGTTCGATTCAGACCCAGCTATCTTCGCAACTACAGGCATCTGTCCCCAGTTCGTCAACCACTGTTATTTGTGATACCACCACGGCTACAACCCCAACGACCTCGCACCCTGATGTAATGCTCAGACAGGCTGGACACTGAACTCGCTTATGGCTCTATCTGTTGTACGTCTCCCGAGTATATTGACGGTCATCATTAATCTACGATTTCCTCATCCTTCGTTGATGCGCTTTGCCTGTGCTACTCACTCTGCCATATTTCGAACTGTCCTTTTGTTGATACCCCACTGCTGTACACTCACCCACGCGAGCAGATACAGTGCACAGGTGACGGAGCGACTTACGACGACGGACATATGAATGTGAATGTCAACTGATTTCATTGAACAGACAAATCCTAGGTCTACATGCTTCTAGTATATGCGCCGGTCAACGTATTGCGGACAGGTACAGCTATTTTTCATGCACGCGGTCTTCCGAACTCACTCTGGTTGATATTGCTCGACGTTCATGAACACCCTCCTCATTCTTTGGGCCCTCTGGCTCATTCTGGATTGTACGAAACCATTGGATAACATGGGGTGCGAATTTGAATGTCTTGCCGTGCGCAATTGAATTTGAGACGAGAATTCCGGATGCAGAGCCCAGCGCGCAGTACAGAATTATCCTGAAGTTGCATGAGAAGTTTTCATGCCTCAGAGAACGAAGAACCAGTTCTGAAACGAATGATCAATATCGGTGCATTCCTACTCGCGAGTCGCAGTGTGCTTGAATATTACCCGTTCGACCAGCGAATTTGATGCTGGGGTAAACCCTGAATCGTAAAATGGAAAGGCGTACCTACGAATGCAGGTGGGACTGACATCGCTCTGATCGCGAAAGTCCAACACAACTCCATAAAATTAAGTAATAAATTGAGCGCGCCACGCCATACACACTTATGCTTCCGCCAACTTCGCCGAAACAGAATACGACTCAACACTGTCCTGATCTGGCCTAACTTCTCGTACAATATTGCCGGTTCCTTCTGATGCGTTCGATATAGTCCCTGCGAATGCTAGAGTCGTAGGTGCTGCAGTAACTCGGGTCGACCACTCATGTGTAACTGCCCTTCCCCGTGCCACACGTATGATGATGAATAATTGCGTAATGCCCTGGTGTTGTTGAAAGAAAGAAGCTAGCATCAGAGACGCAGATAACTAAGGTTTCTGCCTGCTTACCTGAACTTGGATTGTAGACAGGAAGCATATAGTGGAGAGAGCGTATGAATGCACAGCAAATGCAACAATGAAGATTATGATGAAGACACTGAATCCCATGGCGGACTCGACGACCATGCGGATGATGGCATCGTAGGTGCTAGAATCATATTCATTCAATGCCTGCTTCATCTGGCTTCGTACGTTGAGCAAACATTTCGCCACGAGAATGGTATAAAGTATGGTGTGCGCCACTTGGAAGGCGAGGAATGCAAGTGTGGCGTTGATTTTGTAATATTGGGCCCCGGTACCCGCCTGGACCAAGACGAAAATGGCTGATCCTGCTCAAGATGTCAGTGACTACTACCGCTTGGTAAAATGTGTAACTGCACCAATCATGCCAATATAGATGGCGACCATGGGGACCATCACGCGTCTCGCCCAGTTCCATATCACAAAACATCGGTAAAGCTGGGTATATTTCAAGTGTCAGGCTTGCACATATGGCAAACTATTCGACTCACAAGTAGGGCTTGCATCAAGCACTCCGAGACGTAACCACTAGATGAGACCATTAACACTGTCTGTAGATTGATAACCAAATATGCATACCACACTATCGCCAGAAAGTTGATACGGTACTGCATTACGTTCACGATCAGCGCGACGGGACCACCAGGTGCATCACGAAGGTCTATCCAAATCATCTCCGTATATTTTGTGTTGCAAGCAAAGCTTATCGTCATCAACGTAAACGTGATCAGTGTGTAACAAAGAAGCACATGACGATTATTTGCAATTTTCTCCCCATTACGGGGACGTTGCATGAGAGCAATCACGGCTTGGACTGTAAGCAGAAGGTATACCCCTATTGTGTTACAGAAGTCAACCACCGAATCATCGTATGTCAACCGAAAACGCACCGTAGGATACACCCCCCAGCACCATTCCAATGAGACGAGACCGTTCAAGCGACAAATTTGTCTGTGGAGTATAGGAAGACATTACCCAAAATTTCGGGAAGAGGCGCCTTGGTAATCTGGCACTGGCAAGCGGTGAGAATAACCAGCAGGATAGTGTAGGGACGGCAAGAGAAGAAGCATATATATAGGGATTCGAAATAGAGTTTTCACCTGGGAGAGGAAATCCATCCACTGGGGACACACTGTGACACCGGTAAGTCGATCGAGACTAAGGCTTTTGCGTGAGGTAACAAAGGGGGGAGACATTGATATAAGGGTGGACTCGCACCCATCAAGAGTTTGACGTGGGATCGAACGAGATAGTGAGCTAAGCTCAAGCGTAGCTTCAGGTGCTGAACACAAGTTTCAAACTTCTTTATTTGACAAAGATCGTAGTTTGTTCTTTGTTGAATTATGGATTAACTGCTCGTCACGCTGAATCTGAATAACGTCTGCATACCGTTCATTAGATGCTTCTGGCGCCTATATCGGACCCACCCTATCCATATTACAACATTAACAACCAAATAAGCAAATACTCACCCTAGTTTGTGCTGGTACATGTACAATATTTTTGTTCACCGTGTGCCTTAACAGGTACGAATGAGTTTGTCTTTGTTTATTTGGTCTGCTTGATCAGATGAATAAAAACGGTGTGGTTTGGTAATGCAGAAGCGAATGAGGTGTACTTGGTCGTTTTACACGCTTTGTGCGACTGGTGGAAAGAAGTCAAAATATGGATATGAATCACTGGTCCCCAAGCTTCAAGAGTTAGGAAATTCGATAAAGAAGGTTGGGATTGTACGGAGGCGCGATCCATGTCATTGAATCCCATTTCCTGCAGGTAGAATTTGACTGCTTGCTGGTGAGTCATTTTCGCTGGATTGACGTCAGAGGTCATGTCAGACAATTGCTTCGTTCCAAGAACTGCGCAGAAGGCCCTGACGGAACGCCACAAAACACGCCAGGGAGGGATGGTGATGGTGACGTTATACCCGAGGCAGTGGTATGACATGGAAGTTCAGGAAGATAGCGTGATATGGTGTCGACAAGAGATGCGATTTCGTCAATGTCATTTGTAAAATAGCCGTGGAATGGGCAGACCAGAAAGTCGTTGAGCTTCTCTTATGGGTTCATATATACGCAAGCGTCCTGGAAGATCTGTCACAGCACAGTCAGCCACCCCAATGGCATGCATAATGGGTAAAGTCTATTAAACTTATGATAGAGTTCAGAAAACAATATGTATACACGATGACGAAAGCACTTAGGGTCCGGTCTTGACGAGCCGTAAGGTTGATATGGTAACCCTAAGCATCAGCCGGTGCCAGATCATAAAACGGTGTAACAGTGGTGTGGAAGCTGCCACCGTTCTGACGCTTCACACCGTCATGACATTCATGCCAAGGGACAATCTCAACCCTTGGCTGTGATAATGTTGCATATCTCCAGCAGGAAGTCGACACCACTGTCGTAAAAGTTTGACATCCATAGAGAGCTTCAAACAGTTAGAAAAGAGTGATCCATCCGAAGCGTTGGAGCACATACCTAACCCTAACACGAGCCGACTAACATCACGAAATGTGCCAAATCTTGCCAGACGGCGTGGGTGATTGACATGCCAGCTTCGGGTAGCGCATAAATTTAGTTATGTAGAACGAATGGCAGCTAGAGCTTGTTGCACGTTCGATGCGGCCCCGACGGCGCCGCCGTGGGGCTTGCAACAATACAGAGAAACCAGATCCGTGTCCACGTGCGCATGACCTGATCATAAAATTTAGTAGAGCATCGAGCGAGTGTCACTAGCTTACCCTGGCAGCTATTGGCCTCTGTCAACCCGCGGGGTTACTGCAAGTGGGTAATTCATTTGTCCTTCCTGCGAACAGAGAGCAGCGTCGAGAGAGCTACCAGGGGAATCAGATTCCGAGTCGGACTAATCTCCCTCGTCCTACGTGTCAGGTTGCTCGAGGAGCCGGGGGTCTTACGGGCGGACAAACAAGAATGTCTTCTGAGTGGGTCGTGTCGGCAAGAACTGAATCACCTTGTCCGCCGTTATAATCTCCAGGCCGTGAAAACCATTAGCCTTGACTTCATATTTAAAGTATGGTACCCGGGCTGGCCTTTGTCAAAGCGCCAGACTTTAACGAAGCGGAACATCCGAGAGGTAGACAGTCGTGCGCGTGAGTGATGCATCGATGAGTCGTGGCTCCAGGTAAACATGGTGTTGAGCGATTTCTGAAGCTCGACATAGCTTTTATGATCGATGCAGCACGAATCAACGCACGCCTAGTGATACTCCGCATCACGAGTGACCTTGCAGAATGACTGCAACTTCACGAGACCGCCAGCTGGCTTCAACTTGAATACGGCCTTGTCCTGGATGACAACAACAGCGGCTCCATCCCTTCTACAACTCAACGAGTTAACAAGTGGTTCGATGCGCCCGGTTTGAATATCTGCCGCATGCTCCATCGTTAACGACAGAAGCTCCTTGTATTCGTTTGTATGCGCTACACGGGCAGCTGGAGACAGCAAAAGGAGGCTTTGGACAAGGAAATTACTGATTATAATGCACGGTGGGTTTCTTATATGTGCCAACGTAAGCAATACTCCGTGGGAACAAAAACAGCCCCTATAATGTTCCAGACACATGGTTCATCCTTCCCATGGTACCGCGATTAGGTTTTCAGTTGTTGGACGAAACAACTGTGAAACTCGAAAATCTGCCGGAGCAAGGTTAAAAGTCGGCAGCGCCGCCCCCTAGTCTCACTACGAGTTTCATTTGTCAGCCCAGTCTGGTTATATAAATTTCGGGTTGATTTCCTGATGCACATCCCCTCATTGCTCTTCCACAGGACAAGCACGTCAGACTACTCAGCAGCCAACTGAAAAATGCTATACCACGATGTCTGTTGCGCCGCCCCACGTCATCAACATGGTAGTACTTCTCGGACTGTCCTTCCACAGTAAACTGATCATTCTCACAGACATCTCACTCAACGCCTCACTCAACGCCACCTGGATACCAACCTTTCACGAAGCAAATAGCTTCAAAGGACTGGAAGAAAACAAGGTCACCTCATTCTCACAGACATCTCACTCAACGCCACAGTGGTACTTATTCACCTCAATACATCTCGCCCAACACAGATCCTGCACCCCTCATCTCCTACCCCGATCTATCGTCCTACCCTGACCCATCCTACCATGATTCCGGGGCACATCATGGCTCGCACCAACAGCTGCAGAACCCTGCCAGACGGAGAATGGTACGTTGGTACATAGTGAGCAGGAGCTTCACTAATTACACGTAGAGGCATGCGTTTGTATATGATCTAAAACCAATGCTCTCGCACCTGAACACGGCGATGCCATGGCGTTTGTGGGTTGGAGACAATTCCAAAGGAGTGCAAGTGGGCTGTCCTGCGCTCGGGCTCCGAATCCGCATGCGGGACGACATTCCAACGTCGCAATATACCTCGTCATATGGCGAAGCACCTGGGTTTACGCTGGTTCTGCAAACTAAGCGAGGGCAAAAGCTTTGCCCGCCCGGATCTTTTGAGGCTTCATCGTAAGGATCACTTATGCTAAATTGCACAGCCAGTAGTTCGGAGTGAGCATTTTAGACATTATATGAAACAGAATTTACTCATCACTGCCCACCAGTTTTATCACCTTCGACACTAGTACAGGACACTTTTGATGTGTGACCTCATTCACCCAGCGACATTGTTGCATATCGTCTGGGATGTTCTCCACGGGATCATCAGGGGGCTGGAGCTTTGACATGTATGCCACTCGTCATCATCTACGCCTAACTACTTTGCTCACAACTACCCCCAGATACAGGAATCTAAATGGAAATGCCACGTATTCAACTCAATACATCTCGCCCAACACAGATCTTGCACCTTCCAGCTCCTACCTTGATCTATCGGCGTACCCTGACCCATCCTACCATGATTCATTGACAGCATCGTGCAGCATGAACGGAGGGTTATACCGCGCCACGGCGAGGCATCTAATGTCCACTATGTGCCGTCTGGAGGGACTAGTACAGCTGTCTCGTTTTTCTCATCAAGTGTTCCTGGCCGAGGTCCGACGGTCCCCCAGCAGCCCTACAATGTCGGGACAACGCACGCGTTTCATTTCGGCACTGGCAATGGAATGCCAGTCGTGTTCAACCTCGCGGAGGGAACAAGTGTCCCTTTGCAGCAGCTGATAAATCGGCAGACAAGCCACCTTCAGGGACGCAATGAACGTATTGCGGATATGCCAGGTGACACAATCTCTATTCGCATTGAGGTAAAGGGTCCGTTTTGTTGAAGTATTTGCCAAGTGTTGCTTACGTTTGTTGGTGTGATCTCGCAAGTCATGTCGACAGCCGCAGCTATCATACGTCTTGGGGGAAAATGCAATACCACGATATCTGTTGCGATCCCCCCCGTCATCAATATGGTAGTATTTCTCGGACTGTCCTTCCACATTAAACTGATCATTCTCAAAGACATCTCACTCAACGCCACAGTGGTACTTATTCACCTCAATACATCTCGCCCAACACAGATCCTGCACCCCTCAGACCCTGACCCATCCTACCATGATTCCAGGGCACATCATGGCTCGCACCAACAGCTGCCATCGTGACCATGCGTTGTCTATCGGTGAAGGCTGCAAGTTGCAACTGCGAGTTCAGAAGTCCGAACGCGTGCCATGCTTGTAATACTGCCCTGTTTATTCCTCTGCAGACAATAGATAATTGCTACGCGCTGTCAGAAGTATCACAATGAGATCGAGGATATCCAAAATTTGAAAGTTTCGATAACCAAACGAAAGTTTGAAAGACGGGTTCGATCAAATGCAGTGTATGCATTGGTAGCATATGGATGCGTTGCTAGTTGTGCTGTTTACTTTTCAATAGAAATGGCAGAGGGCGCGCCTTCTGGCCAGCATCCAGAGTCATTTACGTATCAAAGTGAGTTACTAAACGCGTGCCTATAAAAGGTAGGTGCAATCAACAAAGCTCTTGACAGTGACACACGACCATCTATTTCCCCGCATTGAACCCGAAAATGACAGACTATGATATGGACTATGAGTCCTCATCGTCATCTCGAGATCCATCCCCATCGTCGTCGCCGTTATTGGCACCCATAGACTCTTCCCCGCCCTCGAGTCCGCATTTTGAGCCATATGTACTAGATTCCCCACCCCCAACGCGTCTAAGTTTCTCTCATCCGTTCGCAGCCTCAGCAAAAGCCAACAAACGCCCTCCGCAGCGGGAAAAGAAGGCAGATACTCCTCCGAGTACACCTCCCGCGTCTGCTCCAACGCCATTGTCCCGCAGCTCAGTTTACTCTCGCTCACTGGGAGAAAAAGACTACATGCACGACGACGCGTCAAGTCTCTTCTCTCTAGACTCGACACCTCACCGCACATCGCATTACTTTGATCGCGATGAGCGATTATGGGACGACGCGCTGCGGAAACCCTTCGATACAGGTAACGGGCACATAGACCTGAGGTGCCGTATTTCATTTGTCTGGCTCTTCTGAGGTGCCTTATCTTGCACTACAGCAATCTGGCGCTGAAGATTATTCCTGCATCGATCGCCGACCTCGCGGGGTTTTTCAACACGACAGAACTATCCGAGCAAAGTCTATTCTCTGGACGCGGTATGTCGCGCGTGAAGACAGAGCCGGCTTTCGAGTCCCGAGTGCGTTCATTCGAGCGGACAAAGTCCATCGTAGACTCGGGCAAGGAGCGACATATGCTGCAACTCTACCTCTTTGGAAACAGCATCCACGATCTTCCTCCTGAGCTTTTCAAGTTGGAAAATTTGACGGTGTTGAGTCTGCGTGCGTTTCTTCGTGTCTCCTCATTTCTATGTATTCACAAAGTCACAGGCGGAAACCTGTTGACATATATTCCTCCGGAGATATGTCATTTGATCAACTTGAAGGAACTGAATATCTCGCTGAACCGCCTGTCATACCTTCCCTCGGAGATGCGAGATATGAAGCTTTTGAAGCTACAGCTCAACCCCAATCCTTTTTTGTCCGAGCCTTCCTTCTCCCGCGTCCCCTCTGCCTCTCGTAATATCCTGTCTCGGCGGCGGTCCATGGCTAGAACATTCTCACAACGCGGGGAGGCAGAGGCGAATCCATCGAGAACGATCACAGTATCTCCATCGAGAACGACCACAGTATCTCCCTTGACGACCTTTCTTTCGCCCGTACCTCCACTCACAGAGATTTGTTATCGGAACTTGCTTTGCCCATTGCAAGGCGACAGCTCTCGGACTGTGCTCAGCGAGTATTATGGGGTCCCTCTCCCCGACGTTTGGAACGTGCCAGAAAACGTACGCGCGGTATTGACGGAGAACGTGCCCGGTATTTTCAAATCTGCTGGGTTCCCTCCTGAACCGCGAAAGCATGGTCGGAGGTCGTCGCAGGGCGCAGGCGGGTGTGCAAACCCGGAACACAAGGGTCGATTCTTCGTCAGGCACGCTGCGGAGCGATTCACATGGGAGCGTCGCGTTGCTGGTGTAGACGTGGGTGGGGCGGTTCCGTTGCGATGGAGAGGGTGCATGCAGTCATGTCTGCGATTCTTGGATGAGGATGCACGACAGGTTAACGCCGTAGAACTGCCACCCACGGATGCGAGCGATGCGATGGATTTTGACGAGGCGGAGGCCGTGATGGCAGTGGACTTGGGTGGAGGTGCACTCAGCATGGATGAATTTGATGACTGAAGGTACAGCACGAACAATCAAGACACTTCATTTTGTGACAAATTTGTACCGTATCTGTCTCCACCATCTTGTAACATACCTCGTACATCATACCTTATAGTGTCAGTGACTATGCCTTACAGCCGGAATGTAATCACTTCGAATTTATGCGTTACTTACTAGTGTACGTTGAATTTGGAACCGTCCGAGATTCACAGGGACATTAATATTCATCATGGGGTCCACATCATTCTCATCTTTTTCCTGAACTGAGAGGATCGACAGGGGAAAAAAAAACTGGCCGAACGAAGATCAAGTAGCAGCAACTGGTTTCGATCCAGTGACCTCAGGGTTATGAGCCCTGCACGCTTCCACTGCGTCATGCTGCTTATGTAAGAGGCTTTCAGCCATCCAACGAAGTCTTTGCCTACCATGGCCCGTACGCACTACTAGGGAGACTAACTTCCCGGGCTCACTGTGGACATTGAGCTCATACTAGCTGCTGTATCCGCCAAAAAATCCCAGCATTACCGGAAACTTAAGCTTGAAGCCCGCTCTGTGCAGGATCCTGATCATGAATTTTGCAGCACCGCCAGCTTCGGCTTGTTGTATACCCTACATCAGGGACACAATCGACGGAATATGGTCCTCTAACATGTCGAACTCACTTCCATCAGGCGGGTTCCAAAGTTCGGCGTGGAGATGAACTTGGGTTCTTTGCGTACGGTGGCAGAACTATCGTTGCTCTCTTGAGGTGAGGTTGAGTGGGATTGGCCTCCGAGTCTCGACACTGATGTAAGTTCTACCGCCATGAGACAGTTGAACCTCTCACATTTAGAACCAAACCTGCTGTTATTCTGGCTGCACATTTTATCTCCGCCTGTCTCCGGAATCATAGAATAACTTGTTCTTTCCGACCCTGATCTCTGAAGGATGTGATCTACTTTGTGCCCAGTACGTGCTCTGATAAAGTGTTTCATCGCTGAGTCCTGACATCTCTGAACCCCTCATTTGCATTACAATGCTTTCCCCATACCACTCCGCCACTCCACTGCAACCTCCTCCGTCAGAGCGATCATCAATCACAACAGTATTGATAGTCCAGGACTCCACTCTTTGTGGTACAACTTCTGGTGTCTGCGACAAATCCTCGGCACGTTTTCCCACATGCTTTCCAAGTGCAGGTAGTCTCTGAGCCGGGCATGGCTCGTGCGCCAATATGACTGATAGCTGTTAATGCCAGGAGAATGGTCGCCAAGAAGTTCATCTAGACCATCAGTGTCATAAGTTGGATCTACATATCGGTGAGTTGACTCTTACTGTCAAAAAGTGCGAGTGTTATGACTAGCGTCAAGCTAAAGGCTGGTCTGTTTTTGTTCTGTTGTTCGTCAGTTCTGTGCTCAGCACTTTATAGCTACTGCTCGCAGTCGACCCTCCATTCAGGGCCGACGGCCGCGTGAGCAAGAGTGGGAGAACAAAATTTCCAGTCTCGAGCTCTTCCGCGACACCTGTATCGATATCAGTGAGCTATTTCTAACTATGCCTCAAGCTCACTCATGCTGTGGTGCCAAGTCAATGTTGCGTTTCGGTGACCAATCGCTCATGGACATGCATGCGCGACAAGAGCGCGCCTACGGAAAACTCAGTACGAATGAACCCCACGACTCACGGGAATTGACCACGACCACTGGTTTGACAGGGCCAGACAATGAAAAACTCGCATAATGGTTTTATCTCAATCAAAATGAATTTACCTCGCCATGTGCTACTGTTATGCATAATTGACGCGATGACACACCACACGAGTTGGAGAGCGTCCTGAATGTGATACCCTGCATTCTTTGTCGATGTTCCGCCAGCCACGGATGAGAGTGGATGGATGCTTAGTCCGAAAAGGCTTGGGTGAGAATTTATATCTCCTCCGTGCATGTCGCCGGCACAGCTGATCTGATCAAGTGCTTCTGCGCCGCGTACCACGAGTTCCGAGCGGGATTCATTCAGTGCTGCCAGCAGGTCCGAAGGCAAGCAACGACCAGATTTAGCACGAAGGGGTACACCAGGAAACATGCGGTGGCCCAAGTTGGACTCATGTGCAGAGCCGGGCTCGGAAGACCATGCACTTCGTGTATAGGGCTGGAAAGACAGTGTTGTGTTGACGGCAATGGAAGAGCATCATCGCAACTGGGTATGGGCAGTGACAGGATCACGAGACGGGCGATTGATAGCAGGCTGTCATCAGAACGGTGAGCTCATAGCCTGGAATGGACACTTACAAAAGCCATTGCAGCTCACTCCAGTTGGATCTACTAGCTGTATTTTCCTCCACACGACAGAATGCTGGCTACTGGTGGATGGGACTTCTGTGTCATGTCACTTACGAAGCTATGGAGCACAGAAACTACACGTGACGACCAGAAGGAAAACTCATTTGAATGACATTCAAACGTCAGCCACGTTTGGTACTCGTAGTCTGGTGAACATCTTGCCATCGCAGCAGACAAAAATATCCAAATATGGGATCTAGCTTGGATGTAATATAACGCAAACTTTGAGGTTCACAAATTCAATCATTGTATATGCATGTCTCTGAGTTCTATGCAAAGGGGCGGACGGGGTTGATTGTCATATCAGCCACTGGAGACTACGATGGACCGTCGATTCGACTTGAAGTTCAATCAGAGCCCCGCTCCCTGAACACCTTCGAGAGCCCCACTTCTATCGGATCCCACTCAATTTGACGAAGCGATCATCGATATCTGAGACTACTTCAATATTTAAGTGTCAACAAGTATAGTTATTGATTGTAGTCAACATCCATGACAGGTTATCGAAAACTGTCCATTATACGCCCGATCAAATCATATGGCTACATTAATTACAAGTGAGCGTCGTTCAATTTCGTGAGCGTCTGTTAGTCCAATACAGATGAGTCCTTCATTATGAAGGCGAATGCGGCTAGCAGCGAAATCAAAGGAGGAGCACCGCCGAGAAAGCCAGGAAGAGAGCAGATAATGTTGTACTCAGTGCATGTCCACGTGGGGCATCGCTTGTGTTGGTGACTGATGCAGATACTGTGCCAATGGTTGCGGAAGGGACGGTTCCTCCAGCGCCATTTTCAGCGATTGAGACACTTGAGAGACTGGCAAAGCCAACTGAAGGGGGATTGTAGCGGAAGACGGAATAGACATTTTTCTAATGGAATATGGCAGACAGCTCAGTATTGAAGAACTCGAAGACCGTTTATCATTGTCACATACCAGGAAAGCATCGCCGATGATCCAAGAGGGGGCTCCAGTGCCAGTATCTGCTGCGAAGAATGCACCAATGCATTCTGACGAACTGGTTTGCGCAAAGGCAAAGTCTGCTGGGCTTATCGACCATGTGGCGCCACCGAACGACAGCTCCACATTTACAGTCGTCGAGCATGCTAATCACGCGTTGAGCCACTTGACCTCGCAATGCTCAAGAGGTTTGCTTACGGAAACTGTAATATCCCGCCCATTCGCCTGTTGCTGGTTGGGAGTTGGGAATCTGTGCATAGATGGCTTCAATTGAGCTAGTCGGACCGGCTATGTTGGTCGTGCCAGTGTCAATAGCAGCAGTTGTTCCCGAAGTAATAGAGATCGAGGTGCCTTGTACAGTCAATGCTAGATAAAAATGAGTGAGCCGATTTTCGGTACACGCGAGTGTAAACCGCTTACAAGTCAATGGTATATACCAATATGAAGGAGTTCCGGGAATGTCGATGTAATCAATTGAGCCGGTGTACAAACTACTATTAGTATAACCTAAGAGCATATTTGTTTGAGTAGATGTCTCCTGATGTGACGGAATGTCTCGTACCCAGATTGAGCACTCCTCCGGGCTCAAGTTGCTGGGCAGTAGTATCGTTTGTATACCTGTTACTCGTTAGCAACGCAACTCATTTCAGAGATCAAATATCATTACCGAGTAAGCTGAACAGCGAAGAGAGCCGAGTCCCAGGCATTATTGGAGGCCAAATTCTGCCAGAAAGGCATCTGGCTTGAAGCTGCTATGCTTTGCCATGCCAAACCAAGCAAGCCAGAGACCGGTGATGTCAGCAAACTTTGTGATACTACATCCACAACAGCTGTAATGTACGTAATTAATCGCCAGCGGGGCTGTCAATGAGAGGAGATTCTGACCAAAGCCTTGACTGGAGACAGAGAATCCCGCCATCTGCACTATGTCCTGTGCATCATAACCCTCTGCATAACCCGAGCCATACTGGATATCGAATGCCGTAGAGAGGTTCTGGAAAGTCGATGAAGATGATGGGTTGAATGTAGGACTCGACCCGCATGCAGTTCCACAAGTAGAACCAGCGACCCAGAGATCACTGCAATCCCAAATGCATTACTGAATTATGTCAACACGTCGACTGCACTGGAACTTACGAAGAGCCCGTGTCTAATATGACATCAAAGGACATTGCAGGCGTACCAATAGCCAATGAACCATAGTAGCTGTGTGGACGCTTCAATAAGCGAACCATGCACACCGGAGAACATGTCTAACGCTTACCTAGAATCATACAGCTGGTCGGTAATCCTAAAGACAAGTTGCGTTCAGTAAGCACAATTCCTGCCACGTGCTACGTACGAGTTGTAACCAGTGCTTCTTTTTTGTGTTGTCTGGCCAGCATACTTTGCTAACAAATTGTCCCTCTGGCTCTTTGCCAAAGCGCCCCATTCGGTGACATCTCGGGGGGATGGGTTCCTCCTTAGAAGGGAGATGGATTGACCAGAAACTGGGACTGCCTCTGTTGGTGCTCCAAACGTATCCGTAGGCAGCGCGAAGAGGGATGCAAGAAAAATCAATGATATCATGTCAAGCCTCAGCTGTGGATCGTTAAGTTACCAGAGAAGGTCCAAGCCGGGAGACTACAAGCCAGTGGAGAATGAGGAATGATAAATGTATGGGGTGCCAGCCAGCCGAGTGTCCTGAAATAAATATTGGTGCACTCACTGCGCATTTGTTCCGCAGCTTACCGCAGCTGCCGACATTGCCAACGGGACCCTTATTTTGGAAAGTCGATTCAGAAGGTCAAGCCAGGCACGTCAGTACATATGAAAATAGCTAAGCGCTGGCTGAGTAGCTAAGAAAGGCTAACCTGCAACAGCCTCGAGATATCAGTGGAGCTAGACGAGCCCGTCTGGCAATAAGCTACAGTATATTAATGGGCACTCTAGTGACGATGATCGGTGTGCGCACTACAATTACAACATCCAGTAATGTCCTGTAGGTAAATAATGACTAGCAGAGAATGCTATCTGAGGCACAGTAACTTCTGTGTGTCAGAATGTGGGTTCGTGAAGGCTGTGCGCAGGTGGTGAGGCTAAGGGCTGTAAATGCACTAATAGTCCACAGCCGCAGCATTATGCTTGTACAAATGATACCAAGGCGGCGAAGAACGCGGAAATGGTAAGCGCAACTGCGCAAGAGTTGCGTGTTGGCCGTGCCGCACTTGACTGTAAAGTATACTTTGCTGAGTTAGCACCGAGAGTGGCGGAAGGTATTCCTCCAGCTTTGCCGTTCATCGCGAGCGCAACGTCGGATAGTGCTGCGAATCCGACAGATGGGGGATTGTATCGGAACACGGAATAAACGTTTTTCTAACCGTGGCATTAATTATCAGCAGTGGATATGTGCTGAAAGAACATACCAAGAACGTGTCGCCTATGATCCAGGCAGGGGTCCCACCATACGTGGGTATGGCATAAAATGCGCCATAGCATTCGTTCGAGTTGCGTCCAGCGAATGTGAACTCGAAGTCACCGGGGCTGATTGACCAATGGGGTCCGCCAAACGAGATCTCCACCGCAACAGCAGTGTCACAGGCTTTCATAGAGCTTCGGTCCCCTTGATTCAGAGAAATATGTCGTACTTACGGTAACTGTAGAATCCCTCCCAACTGCCCGTCCCAGGCTGAGATCCAGGGATCTGAGCATAGATGGCTGCAATGCCAGCCGCAGGCCCTGCCACGAGTGTCGTACCGGTATCAATGGCGGCATAAGACGCACTGCCGCTTGGCAAAGGTATGGATTTGCCCTGTACAGTCATCGCTTTTAAGGTACTTGAGTGACACAAACAAAAGCAAGATTGCAGCAAAGCCTACAAGTAATTTGTTGAAGCCAGTACGAGGCTTGTCCATTGGGAAGATTCTTATAGTCAATCGCTCCGGTGTATAAACTCTGGTTTGCGTATCCTGGCCATGGAGGTAAGACACGCTAGGAGTGACATAAGTTGCTCTCGCACCCATCGTCAAAGATCCCCCTGGTTCTAGTTCGCCAGCTTGGCTGTCATTTAAAAATCTAAGGTCATTCAACCATAAGCGTCCCAAGAAAAACTGACACCACAAGGATAATGATTACCGAGTCAACTGGAAAGCCATCAAGGGTTGACTCCATTGGCCATTACTTGCAAGTGCTTGCCAAAATGGCATAGCACCAGAGGCTGCGAGCGACTCCCACGCGAGACCAAATATCCCGGTGATAGGATTTTGCAAGAAGTTCACCGATGTGGATGTTACCACCGCTATCATGCGTCAGCGTTGAACAGTCAAATCGGATGACGACAAATGATCAATCTTACCGAATTCTTGGTCTACGATTGTGAAACCGGCCATTTGAACAACATCTTGCCCAAGGGTGCCTGCTGCGGAACCTTTGCCGTAGGTCACACTAAAGTTCCTGTTCATATTTTTGAACGTGGAGGATTTTGTTGAGTCAAAATTGCCCGTTCCTGCACACATAGATTGGCATGTGGACGAGGCGATCCACATATCTCTGGGGAGAATGTTAGATATGTCCGCTACGTGGGTCAACGACGCACGAGGATCCAGTGTCTAAAATCACGTCAAAGGGATAAGGTGGTGTACCAACAGCCAGTGTTCCGTAAAAGCTGACGGGAATGAGCACGATTGAACAGAGGTGGAGTACATGACAAACCTTGCGTCCAACCCCTGGTTGACCATCCTGGGCATCAAGGATTAGTGTCGCACTTCAGTGCACTCAAGTCGGATAGTTCAGCGTACAAGTTCTCGCCCATTCCCCGCTTTTGATTAGGTTGTGAAGAGTACTTCGCGATTGTGGCATCGCGCAGGTTCTTGGCATAGTCCGCCCACTCTGAGGCATTACGGGAGGGCTGCGTCCTCCGTGTCAAAGACATGGACTGTCCAGCAGATGAGGTTTCCCCCTGAGGTGCTCCGACCGCATCGGAGATGGCGGAGAGCAAGGCAATAAAACCGACGGCCAACGACAGGAGCGTCATGAGAGGAGAAGCTGCGCAAAGGAGAACGAAGAGAAGGCTCGGATTGTAATACAAACAATACGGGGCATAGAGAAGATGAGCTTCAAAATTTGGATGGCCTAGAATCGCAGAGCCAGATATTTAAGAGCATGGACACCCTGTGGGACCGTAAAGAAGAGTTGCACCCATGGCATCGCGGAGCAGCTCTCACGAGTAGGAACCAAGATATGTGGATGTCCTCGTAGCTGAGGCCCATAAAATGACTACCCGCATTAATGCTGGGCTGGAGGTCGACGAGCTGGATCTATGCCGCATACTTGACAATTTGAAGTTGGTGGCAGGACGTATTGCTGGCAAGTCCAAACGCGACACAAAGGCTGGTCATGTGCCGCGGAGATCAAAAATATTGATCCGTCACGTTACCGCGTCAAGCTTGCCGCCGCCTACTTGGATTGCGCCATGTGGATGTGGTACACAGTGAGTTACAGTGATAGATAAACCCACAGGCATCTTTTATCCAGATTGATTTTTACTGTAGCTGACTGTTGGGTCAACTACAGCGTTATTCAAGCTGCATCGGATACATATTTCTGTTGCATGTGGCTTGATTTCATGGGCAAAGATGGATGCAGTGTACTTATCTTTGGGATAGCGGTCTCAGGATCTCGAATAGGTTCTCTCAGCCGCTTTGCCACGGAGTCCGAGTGGACTACATTGGTGTACAATGCTCTATAAGTATACACTTCAGTACGTATTCCTCTCATCCGTTACGATGACACAGTATTACTGCTCTCCATCGCCCTTTTGTACTGTGCCAGCATATCCACGCTGATCATTTTCAGGCCCCATCGATTGGCAAACGATCTGCAATCATCGCGCCGCGCCATAGTGCCCAAAGCATCATCATTCACGAGCTCGCATAACACCCCCCCTAGAGGTTGATTGGTGAGGGCGCATAAATCGACACCAGTTTCTGTATGACCTCTGCGTTCTAGAACGCCACCGTTCTGTGCTCGCAAGGGTACCATATGCCCTGGGCGGCTGAAATCAGACGCAGTCGAAGTGGGATCGACTAACTTCCGCACGGTGAGAGATCGATCATGGGCGGAAATGCCAGTCGTGGTGCCTAGATGCGTGACTTGTCAATCATGACATGGGCTTCAGAGGAAAAGGGACAAACCATGCTTATAGTCTACAGTTATGGTGTAAGCGGTTTTGTGCCGCTCCTGGTTATCGGGGACCATCATGGGAATTTCGAGCTCATTGAGACGCTCCTCGGGAAGAGAAATACAGATATACCCGCTGAAATGGACATGAAGACAGAATGTATGGATGGAAAGGACTCATACCTTGTGTGCTTGATGATCCATGCCATAGCTTCCACGGAACATTGACTCGCGGACATGATTATATCACCCTCGTTCTCTCTTCGCTCGTCATCCATGACAACGACAGGTTCACCCCGCGCAAATGCAACAAGGGCCTCCTCTACTGTATCAAAGGAGAATTCGGTGGTTCTCAGTGTGACATCTTCTACTTGAGAAGGCATCCAAGCAGGGCCATCGCGGGCTCCGTTCACTTTAGGAGGTCGATGGTGCTCGGGCACCAAGTCTTGAAGCGTGGCAGTGGGCATTGTAGTAAAGAAACCTGCGAAATGGGTCTATTCAGTTGTGTGATCGGATACTAAGAGGGAATATTCACCTCGATATGTTACTTTACTTCCCGCGAGATGACATACAGATGACGTGGACTATCAGTGCAAGCCGCGTCGGTTGGTTTGTAAAGCGTAGCTTAGTTCGCTGTAACGCTCATGATGAGCAAGCCAGGAGATTAGTGGATACGCTGAAAGTCTTAGAAATCAAATGGACATTGGGACGCAGTCGCATCGCATCACAAATACAGGACTACTAATAAAGCCGAAACAAAGCCGGAAAGCGGCTAAATTTAGCCTGAATAAAATTTGTGCCGGCGGCAGTCTGTAGTCGGTCTGCTCACCCATTCCTCTTACTTCGACCTCCGAAGCCCCGCGCTCGTTGGGACAGTCAAGGACCCTCATAGATATATTGTCTAGAGTCATATAAAATATTAGCCATGTCGCATCTGGCACCAACTGGTAAATGGGACGCAAGGTATTTTCTTATCTTGTTTCATGTTATGTTGAGTTCATTTTGACCTCGTCCTGTTCGAAGGTACATTGGTCCCGTACCTCACGACTCTGCATACTATGCCAAGTGCATGCTTGGTGGTGTCCTTGCATGTGGTATCACTCACGCCGGCATGACACCTATTGACGTGGCCAAGTGTAACATGCAGGTCAGTTTATCCAGTCCTTCCTGGCTCCGTGGTATCTGAAAGCTTTTGTGAACAGGTGAACCCTACAAAATACAAGGGCCTCACGTCTAGTCTCGCCACGCTCGTTCGCGAGGAGGGTCAGTCTGGTATCTGGAAGGGCTTCGGTCCCACCTTTCTCGGTTACTCGTTACAAGGCATGTTCAAGTACGGTCTCTATGAAGTGTTCAAGGACCAGTACATGAACTTGGCTGGCGAGGAGCTCTCTAACAAATACAAACCCGCTATCTGGCTCGCTGGTTCCGCATCGGCAGAGGTCTTTGCCGACATCGCTCTCTGCCCTCTCGAGATGACCAAGGTCAAGATCCAAACCAGCCCTACTGGCACATTCCCCACTGCATTCGGTGCCGCCCTCGCGGAGATGAGCAGGACCAAAGTCGAGACCCGCTATCCGTTCGGCTCCCTTGTTCCTCTATGGTCTCGTCAGGTTAGATGCGTTGTTCTGTTCTGATTGCATTTTTGCTCATGGCTTTGTAATAGATCCCCTACACCATGGCCAAGTTCTGCTTCTATGAGAAGATCGTCCAGCTCTTCTACACTCACGTCTTCCCTGAACCTAAAGAGTCTTATGCGAAGACCACTCAGCTCGGAGTTACTTTCGCTTCTGGTTATCTCGCTGGTGTTATCTGCGCAGTTGTCTCTCACCCGGCTGACACTGTAGTCTCGCTCATGGGCAAGCCTGCAAACAAGGGCAAGAGCATTGGCGCTATCGCATCGGAAACTGGCCTAGTCACACTTGCAACCAAAGGTCTCGGCACCCGTGTGTTGATGATCGGTACTCTCACTGGTACGTGAGCGTAGCACTATTTTGGAATCACTAACCAATGTCATTCATCAAGGTTTCCAATGGTGGATCTACGACTCCTTCAAGTCGTCGATGGGTCTCGGTACCACCGGTGGCAAGTAAATTGCGCACTATTCTGCACTGGTAGTCAGTGCCTACATGCCCTTTTTTTTAATTCACTCATATAATTAACTATGGCAGGAGGGCGCACAATAGATGTTCGTTTCTGTACTGTTGTTGCTTTACCTGGTTTATTCCCCCTTGCTATCTTCCTGCTTGGTATACTCTACGCTCTTTTTCGCCATGCAATAGATCACGATTGTGTCACGACCAATACTATTTTATCCTCTGCATCTGCGTGGCAATCAAGCAAAAACCGAAAAGCATGAAAAGGATGAACTCATCCGACCTCGGGCAATTACGGGCATTCGACCAAGTGAATATTCCGTGCATACGCAAGTATCTCGGCTTCGGCGGTTCTTAAACCCGTGGACGCGTCGAGGAAGGTCAAGGAAGGAGCACCATGCTTATTTATAATTTCACAGGTACTTCGATCGACCAACAATCCTGGTGCGGGGTGTGAGAGGCTCTGTCAGACACCTGTACCGCCCATGGGCGATATTGGCGAGTTGCTGTTAAGATGCTCCGACGGTGACTATTGCGGCACTCTTATCGGCACTTGTAAACTTATAACAAATTCACATTGGAATTAAGCCTTCTGGTACATTCAATAAGATCGGAGACTATCGGAGACAATGAAACGTTCATCGACGACAGGTTTTTAGCAGTTACTCACGATTCGACATTGTCTGTGACCAAGACGACAAGAGAGCAAATGTGACGAAAAGCTGGTATGAGGATTTGAGTCCTAATAAGTGAGAGGTGAAATCCGGACATCGGGTGGTTACTGTGTAGGGGGGGACGTTGATTATGATTGCAGCAAAGGGATACGGCAATCATAACGGAGGAATTCGTGGAATGGATTGGCTTGTTTCGCATGACATGACGCGAGTGAAATATTGCAGGCGACGCCGCAGCAGCAGGACGTCAAGGAACATGGGTATGGACTCACACGACACATGTGCGTGTCAGGAGGGGACTGGAGTTGGCGCTGAAATGGCCGGGAGACTAGGCCCAGCCTTTGACGGACAAATGCCAGCCAGCTGAGAGGTCCCCGGTTCCCTGTTGGAGTCGCGACCTTCGATGTTCGAATGTTATGATTCATATGTACATGCAGGTCATTGCCAAGCTACAGATACCCTTCCTAGGCAACGGTTAATCGAGAAAGCTGTGTCTGACTGTTGGAAGAAGATTGATCCATGATCCAAGGTTATACACAGTACTTTAAAAAACGTGTCGCAGTAACTTGGGATAAGTTTGCGGATCGAGGAGAACTAGGCAACGAATTTGCGATGATATTGCTATCGTAATGGCCTTGGCAGCAATAAGTATAATCAAAACGCACATGCAGAGTCGGTGCAAGGAATGGATCTCCGGAAGACGGGAGGGCGAAAGCTGGTTATCGGACTGGTCGAGGCCCTCCCACGCAGCGTGCATAAGTAATTGGCGGTATTCTCTTCCGTGACGGAGCGTTAGCGCTCATTTGACATGAACTGGTATCTTCGGAAAGACACGATCCGAGGCTGAACCTGCCATGCATGTCATGAATGAATGAAAGCACATGGGTGCGAGCAGCGATGTCGCACGCCCTGAGTTGCACATTGCAACTAATTTAGCACAGGTCCACAGGAGAAGTCACAAGCCGACTCGCGTTAACTAACGTGGCAAAATTCAACATGTCTTCGCGCTTCTTCGCGGCGTCGCCGGGTCGGTCTGTCGCATGTTACACAAGGCGGTGCTGAAATGGAAATGAGACACAGAGCATATCCATCCCGAAGCCTTGCCATCGTGGGATATTGGCAAGTGCTGCACGTTGATATCGTGGTAGCGTTCCGCATCAAACGCGAGTCCTTGAAACACAATCACAACTGTACATTAGTTGAGCGGGCATGAATCCACATACTTGGTGTACGAGTCTCGAACAAAATTGCCATGACAACTATACCAGGGCGGTATTAAATTTAGGCAGAAACTTGATACCAGTGCAGCATAATGCTCAGCGCCTCCTCTGAGTCCAGGCGAGTCCAAGTATAGGCATAACAATTCCACCCGGTCCTGAAACAAGCTCAAACGTGGAGGGGCGAAGGTCGGTATGAACTCATTTCGAGAACTCATTTCTTGTTGTCCACTTGGCGTTGAAAAACGTGGAGGAGACGTGTCCTATAAAGACGTGTCCCATATCTACAGGGGTGTGTTTCTTTTTTTGTAGGAGACTCCGCGGAAGCAAAGATTGGTCTCTGCGCGCTAGATCTGTCATGGCTCAACGTTTGGGGCCGTGAATAAATTTGGATGACCCTGAGTGCACCGGCAACGCACCGGAACCCTGACGGCAATTTACGGCAAAGCTAATTGTGAACATGTGAAGGGACAAAAGTGAAAACACGTTTTTGATAAAGGGAGTGACGACCGTTTGCATTGCCCATTTCATTATAAAGGGCGATCGTCGTTTCACCTTTGCTTTTGTTTCTTGCCCTTGTCAAAGTGCTTGCTTTCTTTCTTCAGTCATGCACTCTTCTTATTCACAACTCTTCACTTGGGGTCTTCTTGCAGAGCGACGGGCGGGTCTCTCGTCGACAACAACAACTTCGGTCGTCCCATCTCATGCAGATGATCATGCCTCCGCCTTTTATTTTACTCTACAAACAGGTCAAAGGGATACAGTTGAATTTCGCTCTTTCCTATCCCTCGACCTTGCAGACTCAAGTCGCACCATTCCAAGCCACAGGCGCAAGCCGTCAAACGTGTCAAAGTCTACTAGTTGGACTTGTACTTCCGATATAACCTCACCTCATGACTTGTCGTAAGTTTATCCTCTATACTCCTTTTTATCATACTCATGGTTTCAAGACGAATCGAAAAACCCGCCTTTGCCATTCTTCCACCATTACCTTCAGCGTCTGCGCTTCGCCGACCGTCTCGTGAATCTTTGAGGCAAATCCCTTCTCCCAAACCTGCTCCAGTATCTTCTACATTACCTGAGCCACCGAAAACCCTTGGTCGCGCTCCAAACTCATCCAAACCACTTCCGTTTGCGGCTGGCCCATCCTCTCCAACCACCCTGCTATCCCCCACTAGCTCGTCAGGAAAAGGGTCATCCTTACGCTCCTCGTCAATTACTTCCCATCAAAGGCGAAAAAGTCGCATGGATGCTCTAGCATGTCTTGAGGGCCGCTCTCGTGCTGCCAACCGCATCCCGAGGTCACGAAACAACTTCATGAGCATGAGCGATGATGAAGATGAAGAGTCCAAGGCCCTCCCGTCACTAGCAAATACTCCCTTCATTCAAGTCGAGGATTTCGGCTCCTTTGCAGACATCGAAGATGAAGGCGATCCGATCGTCCCATCTCCCAAACATCTTTCCCCCAAACAAGCCACTTTCCCCCGTTCAGTCTCCCAGCCCGTGAAGCGGCAGACAAGAAGCACCGTCGATACATGGTTCCCTCTCAGAAGCTTCATTGATCTAAAAGATGATGATCTATCCTGGAACTGGCGGAGCTTCATCGAGATCGGCGGTGTCTCATAAGGCAACTCTTCCATATGCTGAATCGCACCTGCGCATATCCTAGAAAACCTTTATTCCGATATCATACCTTGTGGTGAAAGCACACAGGATGTGTCAGTCTTTCGTGCGTATCTACACCATCACTTATTATCTATGAATACCTATAGCCTTTTACTTTACTGCACTAGAACATTTTTTTTTCCATGTTCATGATTCAACACTTGTATTCCTACCCCATTACATGCACTCAAACGATAACCCTACACACATGATATCTTCACTTTCTGATCCCCCCCTCGTTTGCGCTCTGATACTTTTTGCGCGTGTACTTCGTTCTGACACTTTGGTTGTCCATCCTAATTATTCACGACTCCTGAGGGGTTAATCCATCTTGGCTTTGGTTCTGTCAAACTTGCGTGTCTCATAGCCCAACAAGTTGACGGATGCGCCCTCCACTGTGCTCGGACTGCGTCCAGCGATCGAGATAACAAGATGTTGTGATGGCCAGATCAGCGACGCCGGTCAATCACCACCGACGTTAGAATTACATCACTCGATCGCCCTGAGGTACCAAGCGAAGAATAATAAATGATCGCTGCCGTTACCCACACCAAAGTCTACTCCACTTGTTCCAACGGGCAGACGATATCACCTTACGTACGGTAGTTTAGGCCAAGACACACGACGGAATCGCTTCGGGCTTGCATACCTGTGTCTGAGACTCCGCCGTGGCGCTGATTCACGTCAGCGGAAAAAAAAAACAAGTAGTCTCTGCCTTCGGGGCGCAAAACCAGTGCGCTATGGCCAGGCCATGACCATATCAGCGACTACTCGATGGAGGTCTTGGATACTGATCTGCTTTGTTATTTTTAGTCGGCGGTGCTCCTGAAGGAAGTCTATTGTGTGGCTATCTAATCTAAGCGAGTCCCGACCTCCAGAGCTCCAGCACTCCGCGTCTCGGGACACCACGAGGAGCGAGGGTTACCATCAGCGCACCCCGAATGCGCAGCTCAGCGACTCGCCCCCACAAACGCCTAAACGGAGCAGTTTGAACCCGACAACTAGTAGTGGCACAGGAAGAATTTCAACCGAGATCTTTCGGCAATAAAGCAGAACTTGAATAAAGCCTAATAGAGCATGTGTGCCTGGGTGTGTGTTTCGTGTCTTTCTTTACGTGAGCGATCTGGGCCAGGGTTGTACAAGAGAATCTAAAACTTGTGCATCAAAATGACTGTGGCATGCCTGCATCAGTGACACAGTACTTGGCGGGAACTTGAACTTGGCGGTTTGGGTGCTGAAACCCACCCACCCACGGCCGGACCTCTCGAACGACTAGCTGTCGAACGTAGCGATAATGATCCGGACTATTCTCAGCATTTGATGGGGTGACAGTTGAAATGGATGTCGCGGGCATTTTAATGAGACTCGAGGCAGTGTGTGGAAGCGAAACATGTCGTTGGTCCCACCCGGCAATTAGGGAGACGGATGTGGTGCAACTTGTTTTGTTATTGTCGGCAAACAGGTAGCGGCGATATAAGTTACAGAATATGTTGTGGTGAGAAAGGTGCGAGGTATCGAGTAAAACTTACACGTCCATATGGATTCTGAAATTGCGATTGTGAAAGCTGGATATAACTCCGATAAGTTAGATTCTACATCGCATCGTCCGACTGCACCGGCAATCGAGCGCAATGGTCCAAGAAAGTAGTAGGGCAGACCTTGTTCATCTCCCGAGTAATCTACCCAGCAGCCCAGCTGATGGAGGTAAAGGCGATGATGGTGAAACGGGGGTTTCGAGACGTTGAGGGCTGGACGAATACCGGACTTGGTATGACACCGGGTATGTCCCGTACGTCGAGTGCCGGTCAGGTGGTGAAGCCACGCGGTGCATTGGACGGGGAGGCAGTGGAGGAGCCGAATAACTGGTACGGTTATTGGGCTGCGAGGGCAACGACTTGTGTAGATGCGATTGGTGCGGGTGTATATGAGGCCGCTGTGATGTCGAAGCCGGCTGGGGGGAGATATACGAAGCGAGTGCGGGCGCGCTAGACTTTGATCGAAGCTTTGCCTTTTCCGTGGCGTGCTCTTTCTCGCGTGTCTTCCTCTCCTTCCGTTCCTTGTCACTTGATTCTTTTACTTTCTTTTCTTTGTCCTTGCGGGTTTCCTTGCTCTTCCCATCCTTCGTTCGCTCTTTCGATGTACCCGACCGTCCTTCTTCAGGGCGGGTAGGAATTGCACTCCTTGGCCGTAACTCGGGCATGTCGACTTTACTGAGATGGACTACGATGTTGCTCGGCGGGGTATAATCCTTGACCTTTGCTTTGTCTTTCTTATCGTCCAGGTTGATCGTTTTCGGGCCCTTGAGTGGTATCGCATCATGCAGAACATATTGATAAATATCTTTATCGCCTAAATGGTTTCAGAAAATGGAGCGGCTATAAGCCTAGAAACTCACCTGCTTTGTGCCGGATGCGTTTCGTCTCCTCGACTACTTGCAGCACTTTAGGAACCTGGGATGCACCTGAAGAGCGTATGGATATGAACAGCATCGCTTCGTCCTGAAATCCGACTGGTTACTATATCTCTGGTTCCACGAGGACAGCCAACGCACCTGTAGCATCCGTGCACAATATTGCGCATAATCCTTAGAGGAACACTCGTCAGTGATTAATACCTCATTGACTTCGCCTCTGGATGCCTGGATTTCGGCAATCCTTGCGACACCTGTTTTTGGCGCGGGTTTTGGTGGCGGGACTGGTGGAGAAGATGTAGATCCGCCTGACACTTTCCGCGCAGTCATGTCTGTAAAGCTTTTTAGAGCTGAAGTAGTCGCAGCAAGAACAGCAGGTGTCGACGCTGAATTGCTGTCGCCGGGTGACTCGTGGTACGTATCGCTGGCATCTTGAAAGGTGAGCAATGCGGCCAGGATGACGATTTCTAGCCCTTTTCGATCTTCTATATCAAATCTGTTTACATTAATCAGTGTCACACCGCGGGGACTCTTGTGTTCGATCTTGAGCTCACCTATTGAGATTGTAATCTAGAATTTGGACGGATGCTGTCTTTATTCTACCGGGAGGCTCCTTGGTCACCGCAACCATCACAGGTGGGTCGGGCTTTCTAATCATGAAACATTCCTCTCGTTTCCACTCAAATTCGTGTCTGCCATGGTATGACTGAGTTCACATGATAGCTGCTTTATTCAAGAACTCACTCCTCCCATTTGAAGGACCATCGGAAAGTCAGGGTGCCGGTATATTTCAGCTCGATGACCTTGGAGGGATTGTATAATTCTACCGTTTTATGTTTACTCGTCGCACTTGGAGAAGTCGCAGAGGCGAGCAAGGAGTCTGAAATGGGGTCTGCCATAGATCAATCAGTTGATGATCAAGCCAAATTGGCGACGTACACACCATACACCTCTATTTTGTATACCTGCCCGGGTATACGTCGCTTGCGGTAGTGTACGTTTCCCGAAGGATCGGTGAGGTCAGTCACAAGCCCGCTTGAGTCAGAGGTATTTGGCGTCAGAAGGAGCGTGAAAAGATTCTGGTCCAAACTCATGGTAGATCAAGCTCTGCCAAGAGAACTCGAAGTCAGTCGCTCAGATGAATGACAGCCCCGAAGATGTGGTAAGGAGACGAGCGTTGAGTGTCAGACGTGAAGGCTCAGATTGCCCAGTTATAGTGGCATTGACTTGAGAAAGGTCGATGATGCGCAGCTGGCAGGCGTGGTAGTCAGGAAGACACGGGGTAGAGTACTGCGGATATGAGTGCGCCGTCTAATACGATCTATTACAGCCTTGCTACAGCTGTTCAACGTGCCAAGGCTCCAGAGGTTTCTCAGGCTGTGCTAGTAGCGCTGGGCCCGGGTGTGTGCGAATAAGGCGCTCATCAAGGGAGGAACGACTGTCTCATGGTCTGACGGCTAATCAAGGGATGTGAGAACAAGTTCAGCATTGGTCCAGCCTCATTGACGCCCGCCAGCAGGTCAAATACCCATAATGAGCAGGATCTACAAACCGCAATATCTCCACCCCAAAGTGATATCCAATGATGCGCTTACTTCTATGCATGATCCTCTACCTCGTTGGAGTGATCCAAGCCGCACCTACTACCAATGCAACTACTACCAGCGAGTATTTTGAAGCACCATCATTCACGAATAGAACCCTGTCGAGCATCATCTCGAGCTCCGTTCTCACTCTTTTCGCATGTGTATATACCGCCATCCATCCAAATATTCCGAGTCCTGAGGACAGCCCATTTTATATCCTACGGCGACGACTTGGCATCATGATAGTGGCACTCGTTGTTCCTGAACTGGTCGTAGTATGGGCTATGCGCCAGTGGACCAGCGCTCGTAAAGTTACAGAAGACTTCGAGGAATCAGGGTATTTCAATGTTCCTCGGCCGCAGAAGCAATCTGAAAGTGAGTCGTGCTTTCTGAGACTGGACATGTTCTTCGGACAACTTACCATGCACGTCCTTAGATCGTGAGTTGGCTGAAGTGCCTGCAGAGCAACTTGAAGGTGAGTTTGATATTCTATCTTGCATCCTGAATATGCTTCCTCATGACTCGCCTGCTTCTGAAGATCATGATAGAGCCCGGCTTCTCGATGCGCCTGCTGAAGGTGAGCCATCTGTACTGGTGTTTCTTCGGCAGTTCATAGTACTCCAGCGTCCACATTCAAAAAGTTATTTCAAGCTTACTTTTCAAATCAATCCGAAGGTAAGCTGCGTTCGTGCTCTTCCAAAAGTTTGACTGATGTGGATCCTTAGATTACGCGTGGACTCAGACCCACAGCTTCTTTCTGCTGATGGGCGGCTTCATGCTTTATGTGGACGGGGAACCCTATATCACACTAGAACCTCACGAGATTCTCAACCTGATACGTGAAGGGTGTATCGATGCCCCCACCCTAACGGCAAAGCAGATCGGTGACAAGAGCAAAGGCAATGTGATATCGAAAGGATTGGTCATCCTTCAGGTGACCTGGTTCATCCTGCAGCTCATCACCCGCGCGATTTATCACCTCGAAACCACCCAGCTGGAAACAGGGACACTCGCTTTTGCGGTTCTGAATTTCCTGACCTATGCTCTGTGGTGGAATAAGCCTCTCGATGTGCAGTGCCCATACCCGGTGTATTGGAAGTCGACCGAGTCAAAGCTAGAGGATCACATCAATGTGTATGTCTGCGTCTAACTCGATTATGCCGTTATTTATTGTCTACCTCAGTGTCACTTATGATGATGAAGAGGATGTGATTAGCGCGATCATCGTTCCAATATTGGAACTGACGAGCAGCTTCGTTTACAGGCATAGGCTCCGAGTTCCTACATTTGATGGCAGCCTTGGGGCACGTAACAAGTGGATACTTGTATTTGCCGGAATTCTGATTGCGACCACCTTTGGCGGCATCCATTGTATAGCTTGGTTTTTTACCTTTCCTACAAATCTGGAACAGGTCCTGTGGCGCATCAGTGCCGTCGCTATCACTTGCACACCATGCCTTGAATATCTTTCGTTTAATTTCATATTTGGTGACAAAATCACTATAAAGCCTGAAATTATTAGACAAATAATATACATGTTGTCTATTGTTACTACAGTTACATTTGGCCTGTTGTACATTGTAGGTCGTGTTATGCTCGTGGTACTTATGTTCACGACATTACGCCATCTTCCTCTTGACGCATACACGACGGTGTCGTGGATTAGTTTGGTGCCGCACTTGTAGTTTGCTTACTTTGATCCTTTTAAAATCATACTCAGGATTATAACCCATATGTAGCTAGGGTTTATCCGACGAAAAAAGGCAACTTGAACTTGGTCTTTGTTTGCACTCCACTTGCACGGGTATGTCATAGTATGTCAGTACTCCAGCGTCGTTGGTTCTGCTGCTTGTCTCCAACCAACACAACCGATATCACATCACTCCACTCTCCTATGTAAGTACTTACCTTCAATACTGCAGGGTACTTCTCGCTGATATCACCTGCCGCACTGAACGTATACAGCAAAAGTGTTGTGTAATCAGCAGTCGTTTTGCCTGCACCCGCACCAGTGACGCCCGTGCATCTGCTGCCGACCGTGTTCTTGTTGACCACCTCTGTCCCACAACTCTCGATGTGGCGGTGGAAATGCTGTCGTTATGTAAGCGGCGCATGTTCTATGACTATCTGCTTAGCTGACATTAGAACCCTATCTTGTTCATCGCTAGTATGAAGCTCGCCCCTGCACCTTGAACCGCATGTCAGCCCGGACACCAGTGTCGAAAATGAGGTCATGACGTGTTTTGACGTTCTCGTCACCCTTCATGCTGCAGTGCAGCGCCCACTCGGTTTCCCGTCTGCTCTCAAAGGTTGCGCTGATTTCCTTGTCCTTTACTCGGACACGCAGAGTTTCTGTGAGTCATCTCCACCGCTTCGTTACCCGAGACTCACCCACTCTGTATAGGGAAAAGACTTGGCAAGAATGTCGTCAACGAAACAGATGCTGCGATTTAGAGCTGGGGGTACACCGCGGGTTTGCCCCTGCTGATCCCTAAGCATAATGGGATTTCCAAGTGAGTGGAACATCAAAGGGGCTCGACTGGAGCGCGCACATGGAGTCGACGCGACTCGGAATTGGTTCCGCGGGATCAAACGCTTCGTCCTTACATATGGTAGATGCGGCGGAGTCGACATCGACGTCTCCCGGACCTCGTCTCCCACTAATCCTTCGCATTTTACCACTTCAAATCTGCAAGCTGGATGGTGTTTGTAGTCACCTAACGATTCAGGAGTGGTTCCTGGAGTTGCTACTGAGGTCTTTTTTTCCATTGTACAGAGAGTTACAGTGGTTCATTCCTCGACTACGTGTATAGAACTGGAATCATAGTGACAACCAAATTCTATGGATCTACAGTGTGAGGTGGCACCCTGATTCCGGACCGGTGGTCGACATCGACTTTCGTTACTCGCAGGCATTTTAAATGTTCAGGTGCAGATTGTGCACGATTCACGAGACAACAGAGAGCACAAACAGGAAGGTTGTACAGTTCAGCAACGACACATGTGAAAGCTTATGCATTGCCCAGATTGAAGTGACTGGTACTATAACTTGAAGCAGATGCAGACTCGATCATAATGAGGCCCCAGTCAGGGGGCACTGGCGGGGTATCGGGTTGGCTGTGCCCGAGTCAGTCTGGACCAGCGCGCCAAGTCCCGGTACGCAACCGCTTTGATTTTTAACATAGGTTAATAACAACGGGATGACTTCTCGTCCGTACCCTATCTAAACCCATAGCAGAATCACACTGATGCTGGTAATTATTGACTATTACATATATGTCCTTTCCACTAGTTCACTGATGGCCCCATCCAATGCCTTGTCCCAGCACCGCTGCATATCAACCACATTTCTGTGACACTAATCTGACCTCTGGTCTTTGTCGATCACCTCCGAAAGCGCGTCCGGAGGGCTCCTCATTCATCCCGTCGCAAAACGGCATACGGCACAACCACGACCAACCACGGTCACATTATTTTCAGCCTGCCGTCGATGTTTCCAGATCAGGGTCACATCCTCTCCTCAGGAGATTATCTGAGGCAAAAGTTGGTGTAGCCAGGAAATGGAAACGGTGGATAACGTCGGGAACTGGCGTGACAGCGGCTCTACGATGTGTATCCTATTTTCTCCATGATCAATTCACTGATAGCCACTGATGGGCTGACGCACCATGTTTTGCCACAGACCTTGCCAGCAATTAGATACCTCGGAGTGGCGGCATTATGGCATGGCACATTGTTGTCAAAAACACGACTTCTAGTATCCCTGAAACCTTTCATCGATTCTGTTATCTCAACGCAGCGCTGGCAATATTTGGTTCTTCCACGTTCTGCCAAATATTGCTGGCAGAACTGCTCCCAAACAGGTCTGCCAACTGCAACACTATAAATGACGTCGTTGAATAATGCCACAAGGTAACTACAACAAATGTCTCATCGCCAAACACATCTCCTGGACTCATTGTCTGCTGAACTCTCTCAGCAGCTCAAGGATCACGCAAATCAAGTCCTGCTGGAGATTATACGGCCGAACTTTGCATCTCAATTTGCGCAGGGTGCTCCCGAATTGGCAAAATTCCGCGAGGCCATCGTGCAGAGTGATTCGAATGATGATGATGACTTCCTACGCAGCTTCCGAGATCTCGTTCCCATCACAAATTACGAGCCTTATAGGCCGTTTATAGCAAAGTTTCTGGCAATCCCTTGCATGGAGGCTGACGTCAAGAACATGTTCGCTCCGGGACTGCCCTACTTCTTAGCCATGACCAGCATGACATCTAGGAATGCACCAGAGATATTCCCAAAGTATCGGCCTCCTCCTCGCCTTTTGCAACAATCCTCATATCAGGCGCGTTTCCCGTCAGAGGGCACCACCTTGTCACCATCGTCTTTGAGGTATTGGCAGGTCATAAAAATAGAGTGTGGGGACGGTCAGAGCTCCAAGGACGTTGCTGTCTGCTCGATGAGCAATGGTATGCTGCGAATAGAAAAGAACTGGGACATCGAAAATGACAAGGATAGACTCGATTTGTGGGGTCAGTCCGTGGCGCCAATTTATTTGTGCATGCTGAACGCCGGGGAACTTTCAGTTCCGGGGCAAACGGATCCTTATGCGATATCTTTAATCAAGAATTATCGTACTTTCTTTATTCTGAATGCGCTATTTGCACTGGCGGACCGTCGAGTGACAACCATCCGCTTCTTATTCGCCAATATATTCGTCATCTTTTTGCAGCACGTGGAAGACGAATGGCCCTTACTTGTCGAATGCATCGAGAAGGGTATCATCCCGGATATCGAAGATCTAGGCGATCTGCGAGCACCCTTAGAGGTCATATTTTTGCTAATAACTACATTACACTGAAGTGGAGCTCACAAGTTGTCCTCAGAAACATCTTACTCCTAACCCTGTCCGTGCTGCCGAACTTCGCGAAATTGGGCCTCCTGTCATCCAGGGCTGGGCAGTCCGCGTGTGGCCTGACTTGAAACGATTCGTTGGGATTACTGGAGGTCATGCTGCTATTTCTGTTCCAAAGGCACGTCAAGTGTGGAAGGTTTACTATTCAACTGACAGTTAGCAACACAAGGTTATTCACCTCCTTGGACCTTCTGTCCCTATCCAGTCTTATGGGTATGGTAGTTCAGAATGCCGTGTCGCGCAGACATACCATGAAGGCAACTCTAATACTGACTTCAAAGTATCGTTTAGAGATGGGGTCATCGAATTTCGGGACGTGCGTTCCGGCGAAGACCACGTATTGTCCGCTGTAGGAGTCATTGACTCCATCTTACCTTTTTCTGCTCATCCCCGCCTAGTCGGAACTTGTGACTGGTGGACATTACGAGCCCATCGTGACGACCCGCAGTGGCTTGTGGAGATACCGCCTTGGTGATGTGATCATGGTTAAAGGTTTCGCTCCGGATGACGGCCTGCCTGTTATCAATTACCTTCATAGGCGAGAGTAAGCTGTGATGCCATTAATTTTAAGCTTGGCAGCTGAAATGCCCGCCAAGGAAGTGACTCGCTTGAAGTGGCATTTGGGGCGTCGTGTACAGAGTCGCAGTTGACGAACGCGATCGTCTCTGCCGCTCAACAATCGATTGGCCAGATCGTGGCTTTCACTATTGTGCTAGATGATCGAGACACCCCTGTTACTTATGGGTACTTGGTAGAGCTTGCAGGGGAATTAAGTTCGTGCTTGCTTCAACGCTCTTTCACGTAACCGTACTAATGATACTCACAGGACAGGACGCGAGAATGGCAGTCAAGCACCTGTTTGATAACCTCGTCACAGCAAGCGATGATTATCGCATAGTTGTTTGGCAAGGCAGGTCAAGAAGGCCTACCATCCGTATCGTGGACAAAGGCACCTTCGCAGAATATCACAGGCGGAAATACGAGCAGATGGACGTCACGGCGTGTCAGGTGAAAGTTCCCGTCGTCGTATTTGACCCAACAATTAAGGAATGGCTCCTGGAGCGAGTTATAATGGAGTTGTAACTTACGCTACTTACATAACACTGTGTACCTTGTTTGCGTGTGTGGGTGTGCACATAAATTACTTGATCATATGACAGAATATACTCCCGATTCCTTCAAAGTTCTGCTTGGAAAACTCGTCAAGACTCCCGAGTATTTCACTCCAGAAGACCTTAAATTTGCACTCCATCATCTGTTTACCCCCAATGCTGTCCTTCCCGCACAAATAGGTGCATTCCTCACTGCCCTCCACATAGGAAGAGTAGAAAGACGCCCAGAGTCTCTCGCTGCAGCTGCTGAAGTTCTAAGAGCGCGCGCGTTACAAGCAGACATCGAAGATGGAGACACGGATTTCGTTGTCGATATCGTTGGAACTGGAGGAGATGGTCACAATACGTTCAACGTCAGTACCACAGCAGCCGTCGTTGCTGCAGGCGCAGGTGCTCGAGTAATCAAGGTAAGATCGTTTTGCATCGCTGTAGTTAATTAGCTAATGAGTCAAACAACAAGCATGGAAGCAGGGCTTCCACGTCTTCATCTGGATCGGCAGATCTTTTACAATCCCTCGATTGTTCATTTGCTGCCCCTACACTAGGCATTCCCTTCCCCATATCTAAGGTGCCATTCACTTTCATCCTCGCCCCTCATTACCATCCTGCACTCGCTATGATTGCACCATACCGCAAGTCCTTACCCTTCAGAACGCTCTTCAATGTCCTTGGACCCCTTATAAACCCTGCATGTCCACGAGGAATGGTTTTAGGCGTAGCTGAGCGTGAACTTGGTTCTACGTTCGCTCAGTCCCTCCGTGACGGCGGCGTCGAGCGCGCTCTCGTGGTATGCGGAGCCGAAGGACTTGATGAGATTAGCTGTGCCGGCGACACGTACGCGTGGCAATTGGAGGATGGCAAAATTACGGAAATTCGTTTGCACCCACACCTTTTCGGACTTGGCATCCATCCACTCACATCCGTAGCTGGCGGAACACCGACAGAGAATGCAGGGACATTCAGGGCGCTCCTGAACTCGGGTAATGACATACCGGAGTCGCTGATACCCGTTCTGCACTTTGTATTGTTGAATGCATCGGCGCTTTTGGTTGTTGCAGGCTTGGCTTCGGACTTCAAAGAAGGGGTTGCGCTAGCGATGGATAGCATAACGTCTGGACGTGCATGGGATGCCCTTGTGGCGTTTCAGGTTGCAGGTAGAGAGGCAGTGAAGGAGACAAGCGGACCTCAAAACGGCAGAACTTGATGCGATCACCGAGATACACCATCCGCGAGGTATCTTGGAGATCCGAGAAGGGCTGTATTGAATGAATGAATGGCGATTGCAATGGGAACAGTACAAGCGTGGGGCGTCGGCTACTATTGAATACTCTACAAATGTATGTACAGTAAAACGAAGGGGAAATTGGAGGCAGCAGACGGTGTTGAACTCGAAGAGGAGACGGCGCTTGCAAGGAAGGAATCCGAGGTTGATTCAGATGATGTGTCATGGCGTTAAATATGGATAACAATAGTATATGGTGAGGTAGAATATTCATTGAGACAGAATAATTATGCGAGTTTTTGGATTGTCTGACCCTGTCTGACCAGTGGTTCCGCGAGTAGTGGAGTGCTTGCATACCTGAGTTTGCCGTAGGCGCGCTCCTGTCGGACATGCATATGAATGAGCCGTTGGTCACCGAAACGCGACAGTGGCTTGGCACCACAGCGTTAATGAACTCGAAGGATGGTGTGAAATACTTAGCTTGCTGATATCGATGCAGATGATCGCGAGAGGACTCGAGACTCGAAAATTGTCCCCCTGCTGCCCGATGCAATGCGGACAAGCAATGATGCAGCAGCCACAAATCAATTTTGAATGGTCTAAACCAATTCCGATGTTCGTTCATGCGGCCGTCGGCTTAATGGAGGGTCAACTGGTGGTTCCGCATGCTCATGATGCTGGCGTGAAGGCTGAGTTTGAACCCAGGAATTAATATTTTGACGAGCAACAGCTATAAAGTGCGTGAGCACTGAACTGACGAACAACAGGACAAAAAACAAACCCATCCTTTATCTTGACACCAGTTATACACTCGCGCTTTTGACGGTGAGAGTCAACTCACCGACCTGTGGATCCAACTTATGACACTGATGGTCTAGATGAACTTCTTGACGATTATTATAGTGGCATTGACAGCCGTCAGTCCTCTTAGTGCACGAGCCATGCCCGGCTCAGAGACTACCTGCACTTGGGCAGCGTGTGGGACAACGTGCCCAGGATTTGTCGCGGACACCAGAGGTTGCACCTTGAACGGTGTCCTGGCCGATCAGTATTGTTGTGATTAATGATCGCCGTGACGGAGAGGTTACAGTGTAGTGGGGTAGTGGTATGGGGAAAGCATTGTAATGCGAACGGGGGGTCTAGAGGTGTTGGCGATGAAACACTTTATCAGAGCACGTACTAGGCTTAAAGCAGATTGCGTCCTTGAAATATCGGGGTCTGAAAGAACGAATTATTACGAGATGCTGGCGACGGGTGAGGCCTCAGGGGCCACCTAAAATGACCAAGCTTTGGAGTCACGGCCAGTGCATCGCCTAATACGTTTGAACCCCATTCTATTTTGTCTTCCTTTTCAGTTTTGCCCGTGGAGAGATGGACTTGCGTGAACTACTTGCAAACTCGCGTACTTATGCACGTATTTGAATCGTTCAAAGGTCGTGATGATACATCATTTGGAAAATAAAAAGCGCTCACATTTAATAAATCATGACCTTTCATAGAGAGTTTCTGTTCACTTCTTATCGCCGGGCACCTTCCCAACAGACCAACCAACTTTCACCATAGTCTCGGTTCCAAGTTGACCCAGCTTCAGCGGCGAAGAGTTGGCAACAAGATCGGAATCCCACTCAACCATCCCCGGCTCAAGGATAGCAACGACAGTGCTGCCTCCGTACGCGAAGAACCCAAGTTCATCTCCGCGCTGAACCTTGGAACCCGCCTGATGGGAGTGAGTTCGGCATGTTAGAGGGCCTTATTCGGTGGACTTACCGAAACAGTCCACTTGATGCTTCCGACGAGCAAGGCACCGACTGCAACAAACGCGATCTTCTTATTCGTCGCGTCGTGGTTCAGGACGAGAACCGATCTCTTGTTGGCAGATAGCACGTCGAGATTTTTCTCGTTCACTGCCTGAGGGTTGACTGCAGAGGGTGAATTTCCATTCTCTCTGAGTCCTGGAGGTGGCGCCCCTCACCTGTATAATACTGTCCAGGAATATCCCTTGGTTCACCAACAACAGTGGCATCCGCAAGCGAATGAAAGCGGTGATAATCTGAAGGCGCAAGGCGGAATGACGCGAGAGAGCCACCTTCAAGCGCCCGACAGAGTGGATCGGATTTGTCTAATCCTAGGAGGGCAGGAACTGTGAATTCGTCCCCCTTGATCCAAAAAGTCTGCGCATTGTGCACTGTAGGGTATACGACAAGCCGACAGTCGGCAGCGCTGCAGAATTCATGATCAGGATTCTGCACAGGGCGGGCTTCAGGCTTGAGTTTCCGGTAGAAAAAGTCATTGAAATTCTTGTATGCTGGGCTTTCGGGCGGGTACAGCAGCTCGCTTGTGTCGATGTTGTAAGTGCGTATGAATGACGGGATGTTCTTTATAGACTCTGGCGAGTCATAGATCTGCCCCTCGCGCTTGCTCTGCTCCATCAGGAGTTCCTCGACGCGCTTGTTTCCTTCCAAAAGCTTCACCTGCTCTTTCCCATAAAATAGGAGATGCATGCCCAAACGCGCGTAGATTGGCATGCTTTCGAAAATTCGTTCATTGGTGCCTCTGATTGCGACGTAGTTGCCGACATGATACTTGGCTGCGAGGGCTTGCAGCTGAGGCACGAATTTGTTCAGCCAGGAGTGGTGGCCGGGCGCAAAGTGTTGGATATGCCCATGAATGCCCTGGGTGACATCATTGCGATTATCAGGATGTTCTGGATTGGAACGTTCTACGCTCTCTTTGAAGGCCTCGGCAATCCCGCCATCCAATTTCTCCATTCCCTGCATCCCTATTTGGCCGGAACCCTCAACGCCACCTGGCTTATTGAGCTCGGATTTATGGAGGTGTACCATTGTTGCAATAGAAGAATAGTAAGACAGAGATTGTGGAAGTCGGGTGTCAAGTTACAAGATAGCAGATCGCTGTCTCAGATGCGCCCGTTTTATGGAAGGTGCCATATTTATAAGACGTCACTAGCACTCGCGGAACCGAGTTGAGGCACTATGGCAGTACTACTACTAACCTCGATACAATCATAGCCTCACCAGCTGGCTTGCACAACGGTGCATATGAGAGGTTCAACGTTCCACGTCCGAGTCAGGGCTAGTGGCGAGGTGGCCAGGGTCTCACTTGGACCCTTCAGGCATAATGAGGTACAAATCAAAGGACAAAAATTCGCGTGCGACAAAACCTTCCTAGACCTGAAACTGACAAAAGGGCGCTCAGCGGCGGCCCCAGCCTGACTCGCATTGAAGGACTCAGGCCTTAGGCCTCAGGAGCAGCAGTTGCCGACTATCCTACTTCTTTACCTGTTTTAGGTATCTTAGAAAAAGGTATTGCAATGGCCATTCTCCACAGCATGATGGAGTATTATTACGACCTGCCAGGAGGTGGTCAGTGATTATTGAGCGGCTATCTGTCAACTTGAACCCTGCAGAAATTTCCACCGACTTGGACATTACGCCCTACTAATGGCGCACCTACAACGGAGTAGTCGGCTCGTTTTTAGAGCTTAGCGCAAGTGCTTGTTGATTCGAAAGGCCACCATCCTCAGCAAAGATGGAGCTGTCGTCTGGAATATTCCAGATGACGGGTAGGCGCATAATCCATCATATTGATATTCTATGTCATCAGGGTCAAAGGTGACGAGCGTTGTGCAGGGAATGACACTTGGGGCTCATTTTTTGTGTCTGGTTCCGACTACACAAAGATTCTGGTGGAGGACGCATGGGCTTCCATTGCTGGATTGTGTGGTACGGCGCATCTTAATTTCTGGATTCATCTCTCTCTTGTGCGTACCATATCATTTGTTGACCTTACTATACTGATCATGTAGTTGGACTTGATATAGAAGGGATGACGTGCATAGTTTCCTTTGGGGCAACTTCATTCACGTCCGCCTGTATAAGCTGGTGGGACCCTGTCCCTCACTTTGGTCCAGGGAAAACAAACTTGAAGGTCTGCACGTATGAGCGTCGTACGAGTTGCGCGGTAGCTTTTCGCTTGTGCTTGAGCTTCGCAAATCTCTTCTTCCTGGGTTGTGGAGGGTCTGTTGCGTAAAAGGTGTGGGATTTTTGATCGGACAGTGGATGGTACGAAATGCCTTCCTACCGCATCGACCGGAATTCGACGGCAGTCTACCAGTTTGCGAGTGGGCATCATACCACCTTCCGCCTCCTCCCTCCTATATTCACCGTACATTCTATCAGCCAAGTGTGCTTCTGACACTATTCTTGCGGCCTTTCCCCTCCGATTGCCCTGGAATGTGCCCACTCGACAGCGGGGGATGATTGTGTAGTATCATGATGGCGGTGTCGGTCTCAACTTGACATGCGAATACCTTATTGAATAAAACAAGGGAGGGATCAAGGAGGGATATACGTACTAGTCAAACGGCGTGTCATGGTCTGACATTTCAATTGTTGATGGGCCGGTAATCGGATCTATTGAATGCACGGCACCACTAATTTAAGACTACTGATACATATAGTTCCGAAGTAATGCTTAGCAGTGTGATTCATTTCACTCTTTTGTTCTTTGCCAACAGAGACGAGTGTTGGACGAATCAGTGTAAGCCTCGTCAACTATCTATCTCTTGACAGCATGACCGTCATAGATATTCTTTGGCACTCAACTGAACTATGGTCCATTGCTTCCGCGGGACGACTCGGATGCCTTGAGCAACATGTTCTCGGCGCTGGAAACATGTGCGTGAGTGCCCAAGGCTGTCATTTCGTTGTCTCGGATCAAACGTCGATAATAATGACAGGCTCACTATTCCACAGGAATTTGAGTTTCACAAGTAGTGCCTTTGTCTTCCACGAGCTAACTTTGAGTTACACTTTACACACGACAACATCTCATCCACTAATCTTCGTTGCCCGATCAGATCAGTCACACCCGGCCTTTATGATGCCATGTCTCAACGGTACATAATCTGGAGGAGAAAATCATGTATGGCTGTCCCACCGTCGCAAGGTGATATATAATCCTTCTCCCGGTAACGAGTACGACCACCGTCCTTCTGTGCTTCTTGGTCACACCTTCTTCTGCTAGTGTTGCTGGTGGTGACAAGCCTTTTTATAATGCAGTTCATTAAAAACGTGACCCATGGCTTTCCTACCATCACTGGCATACGATGGTTCAACCTTTCTGTCCTTGTCATTACACCAATTCTTTCGCTGTACGGCTTGCTTTATGTTCCCATCCTTTGGAAGACTGTCGTTTGCACTACCCTCTATTATATCTATTCCATGCTTGGTAGGTGTTCTGCAATAGTCACTTCTTCCGACTGCTGAACGTGCTCCACCAGGTATCACTGCTGGTGAGTGGTGATGATAATCTTCATGGAATGTCATCAGAACGTGTCACTCCAGGATACCATCGGCTTTGGTCACACAGGTCATATAACGCTTCGTTCCCTTTGCAGGTATTCCTCATCCTAGCAGGGGCGAGTGCAGTGCAAGGCTCGTGTTACTGGTGGGCGCGCCGGCACCGTTCTCACCACAGGCATACCGATACGGATCTTGACCCGTACAACTCAGAACGGGGCCTCCTCTGGACGCACATTGGATGGATTATTTTTGAGTCAGACTTGAAACCAGGGCCAGCTGATGTCTCTGACTTGTACAAGGACCCTCTCGTACAGTGGCAACACCGATGGTACTTTGTCATCCTGACCATTTTCGGGTACTTGCTTCCAATGGTCATTCCTGGTTTATTGTGGGGAGACTGGAAAGGCGGATTCTTTTTCGTTGGTGCAGTCCGTATGACCGCGTGTCATCACGTGAGTTCCGTGTTTTTCATCGAAGACTAAACTAAACTTGACCTGAACCCCAGTGCACTTTTTGCATCAACTCCATTGCCCATTATCTCGGAACCACGCCGTACGATGACAAGCATACTCCCCGCGACCATCTTTTATCAGCTGTTCTCACGATGGGAGAAGGGTACCATAACTTCCACCATCAGTTTCCCATGGATTACAGGTAACAGTTGATATCCATTGCGCTGTTCTCAACGCCACTGACATAATTCATGGCCTTTTCACCAGGAATGCATTCCGATGGTATCAGTATGACCCAACCAAGTGGTTTATCGGTGTATGCCACTATATCGGTCTCGCCTCCCATCTCCGCGTTTTCCCAAGCAACGAAATTGAAAAGGGCGCACTCACGATGAAGCTTAAGGCTCTCAAAGACGTTCAGGACTCAATTGAATGGCCCGTGCCTCCGCAAGAACTTCCTGTGGTTACGTGGGAAACCTGTGAGTGACACCATGTTCGCACACGTTGAAATATCGCTTATCGATCTGCAATGCACTTTGCAAACAGTCCAGGAAGAGTCCCAGTCTCGGACCCTTCTCCTCATCTCGGGTTTTATCCACGACGTGTCCATGTTCCTTGACAGCCATCCGGGAGGACCCGTTATACTCAAACAAAACTCTGGGAAAGACATGACGGCATCTTTTTTTGGCGGTGTCTACGCTCACTCTCACGCAGCGCATAACGTGCGTACCATGCCATTCCTTGCTTATGCAATGATGCTAATGACAGACTTTGATTCTCCGTTGACCATTATGAACTTACTCTGTTACGTCATGTAGCTGCTTGGGATGATGCGTGTGGGCATTCTAGCAGGTGGTGTGGAGTCGCCAGCAGAGCATGCCATCCCACCCAGTCAGCGACTCGTTATCCTCTCTAGCAGTCATAATACAGCTGCTTGACACCAATGTCTCGAGTGTTAATGGTGTCGAGAATGTGTGGGTTGACAAACATGCCTCCTGTGGCTAGAATTGGAGACCGTGGCGGCGCGCGCTGAGCGCTGAGGAGCGGCTTGATGTAATATAGTGACTGCAAGTGATATGATTATCATGTCCATGCGCTTTTCCATAATTTGTTCTTGAAACCTGTTACATGCCAGTGTTTTGCGGATCAGTAATTAGATCATAGATGTTTATCAATTTACTAGTCTCCAGACCCCAATGCAATATAAGACGTGATAGTTGATATGCAAAAATCAAGACCAGTGTAAAGTAGTCAGTTGCCGCGCCTCATAACCGTTACATACTGAAAGCCTAGATTATGGGAACTCAAGCAAGCAAGAGTACAGCTAATTAGGAAGAACTGAGCAAAACAAAACAATTGCCCACTGGCTGGATTGAACAACCGACCTCATCATCTCTCGGATCCGATGATCCGTTACAAGTGACGCGCTCTACCACTGAGCTAAGCGGGCTTGTATATTCGACGCATGTGGTTGCATATAGTGCGTATGCATCATCACTTTTTCAACTTAAAAGTAACCGTCCTCGCCAATCATTAATCAGCGCTCAGCCCGGACCATTGCAGAGATGTGATTTCATTGTACACGACCCACTAACATAGAGTACCATACAGTACGTAATGTCCACCATAGGGCTCCGCCCCACAGGACAATAAACACGGATAAAAAAAAACTTAAAAGTTGAGACCGCTTACTTGCTGTCGAGACACGCACTATAGCTAGGGCAGGGTTCGACCCTATTTGGGTGTGACCAAATGAACGTTAGGTGCACATCCAATTGTCCACCTTACCAAAGTCGGTCAATGTCCCTTCCAACATTGCGCTAGCCCCACCGAATTTGTCTATATTTCTGTCGCAGATACGGCCACTAACTTGCCTCCGGTTTTGACTTGGCTGTCATAGTGTTCAACCCAACAACCTTGTTATATAATTCGCACAATAATCGACTGCGTGGCGAACGTTCGTAGATCAAATTCTCACCCATACATTCGTTTGCAGTGGTATCTTTGAATCAAAATTAACGATGGTTGTGAGGAAAGGAACTAGTAGTATCCGAGTCCGTGGCAAAAACCCCACACTGGGGTTAGGGTCTTGGATAGGGATAAATAGACACTTCAAGTTGCCAGTGTAGCCTACTCCAGTTCCACCGTGACCAGAATTCTTCCCAGAGGCAGCAATGGGCAGTGTTATATCTTATCTCATTGACGCGGCGCCTCCAAAGACCTCTTATTCCGTTGACCAAATTCCAGACCTGACGGGAAAAGTAGTCATTGTGACTGGTGCCAATACGGGTATCGGAAAGGAGACTGCGAAGGTGATTTTGTTTTCTTCAAAAACGATACTGAGCATTTAGGTTGACGTGAACGTCAAGGCTCTACTTGCACATGGCGCCAAAGTTTATATAGCGGCTCGCAACCAGGCTTCTTCAGAGGAGGCTATTCGTCAACTGAAGCAGGAGACTGGAAATGAGGCAATATTCTTGACACTTGACCTTGCAAACCTGAAAACAATCAAGGCATCTGCTGAAGAGTTCCTGAGGTAAGTGATGCGCTGTTCAAGAATTTACCAGCTTCGAATTGACCTATTCGACAGCAAAGAGACACAGCTTCACATCCTTATAAACAACGCGTAAGTCAAATTTTTACCTTGGCGCAATCCATGGTACTGAACATCACGAGTGGTGTTATGGCATCGCCGGTCGAGCTAGTGACTGCAGACGGCTATGATCTCCAATTTGGAACGAACGTCCTTGGTGAGAAACTTGACAATGGCATTGAGATGACCAGGGGCTGATACCTTTTAGGCCACTACTACTTCACAAAGCTCCTGCTCCCAATTCTAACCTCGACGGCTAAATCCACTTCTGAAGGGAATGTGCGCGTAGTGAACGTCGCTTCCTGCGCCCATTTATTTGGGGGTCTTGATTTTAACACCTTCAAAGATGGCCCGGCTCGAAAGAAATGCTCAACGGCCGGCCTTTACAATCAAAGCAAATTCGCAAGTCATTCTCGTTCTCGTTGTGGAATGAAGTTGACCACGATACAGGGGAATGTCGTGCTTGCTCTTGAATTGGCGAAGCGATACGGAGACCAGGGTATTATTTCGACGGCGCTGAATCCTGGTAATATCAAGTCGGACCTGCAGCGTCACGTTGAGCCTCAACTTCCAAGTATTGTCAAGCAGATTTTAGTAATCCACCGAGTCCTCGAGTAATTTTCAATGCTAATGGGGTTGTCAGGCCAATGTGGTACTGTATGAAACGTCTCAAGGCGCGCTTACGCAGCTGTATGCTGCTACATCCCCAGAAGCTGCTAGCTTGAACGGCAAGGTGAATCTCGAGATGGAACTCGATTCATGTTGTGGTGCTGAAATATCTCTAGTATCTCGTGCCGTGGGCTCGCGTCAGGTCGCCTAGGCAAGAAACTCAAGACGCTCAACTCGGCAAGGCACTGTGGGAATGGCTGGAGGAACAAGTCAAAGACATGTGATTCGAAGATGAGCCCTCTCGAGCAGATTTGAGTATCGTTGGACATCATTTATCTTATCTACAAGTGGTGATAATGGGTATTAAACAGCAAAAAGAGAAGAGCAAAGAAAATGTATGCGGTTTTCAGCCTTCTTCATCGGAGGAGGAACTCAGAGGGATGAAGCGCTTTACACTGGAAGCAGTACGCCCGAGCTTCGAAGCACATGGTTGAGCCAACCGTCCCGCGAACATGCACTGGTACTCACCATAGACATCTGTGCGCGCCGATCACGCAAACTCATTGATGCGGACATGGAATCAAGCGTAGGTAATGACGGTACTGCAGGACCAGGAAGGGTGGACGAGGTGAATGTCTGAGACGGCGCAGCGAATGTGACTTGGCGCCGCGCTATTCCACCTGTAGCATGGTGAACCTGATTTTTCAAAACGGATTGGGCCGGGGCTGGGGACGGAGACGGAGACAAAGACGATAGTGGTGACGGCGGGATGGAGATATAACATCTCAAGGGCGAGCGAAGAACTTCTTCCAACTTGATAGCCTTCGAGATCGGCTGCGGAGGGATGGGTAGAACTCGAGGTGGCGATTCCGTTGTTCTCTTCCTATATTTCTCGTTGGCAGATGGTGGGACAGAATCGACAGGCTTTGGAGACGCTGTAACTTTATTGACTAGAGCAGAAGGCAATATGTCAGCGAGAGGCATCCTTGTGGAGTGTTTGGGCCTTGGGGCTGCAGGGTAGCCGTTGTTGGTCACGAGGCCACGAGCGGGAGAAACCAACCCATCGGCATTTGATGACCCACGCAAATCAAGGGCGTATTTTTCTGGGGGATTCGCCGTATGAGATGTCTGTTTCATGAGTCGAGGAGAGCCGGTTGGCAATATGCTATCCAATCGTGGTTTCTTGTGACGATCTATGCGAGGGCTATGCATCGGGGCAAAAGAGTGGGACCGATTGGTTTGGGAGGGGCCTGGAACTGTATCGCCTCGATCTAACCAAGAATTGGCGCGCTTGCGGGTGGAATCCCCAGAACGACGAGGGGGTGTAAGTCCTAGAGCTGGCTGGTAAACACCTCGTATGGTGTCAGAAGGAGCTCGAGCGGATAGACTGGATAAAGTGGACTTCATGCCGTCTATATCGCGGCTCAGGCTTGACATGCTGGATGAGACGTTATCGGCTATAGAAGTTTTGAGCTGGTCTACATGCAATGGGAAGGCTTGTGTAAGTGGAAGAAGGGGGAGTACCGCAGTTAGTATTGAATGCTGCTGGTCCTGTATAGCTTGCATAGCATGATTCTGGGATTGAATGAGCTGTGAAATCATGGTTTGTCAGATGAGTGTACTAGAGAAAAAGCGAGCATGGTAGCAAAAACATGAAATACCATCTGAATCGCATCTATGCGCTTGTCTAGTGCTTGTATGCTGTTTTCCGTTAAAGATTGTGATTTCTGGACCAATTCGAGAGCTGATGCTTGTGATGGTACACCGATGCAAGCCTTCAACTCGGTTTGCACTTTCTTTGCTAAAAGGAGTGATTAGATCGTCTCGTTTTCGTTTTACAGACATTTCAAATGGTTTGCCAAAGCATATAATCCAAATGCACACTCACAGCTATTCGAGATCTCGTCGAGCACACGTTCACGTTCATTCTCTGATATCCGGTTGAAGTTTACCGCTTCATTCTTGACGTCCTGGACGTTAGCGAGCAGCGTATCCACTCTCGTGGAGAACTTTTCGAGGGTCGCCTGCATGTCGTGAATGAGCATTCGCATGGATGTGTTGGTCCTATCGACTGGTGCTACTGCAGGAATCATGGGTATAGCGGCAAAGTCGTTGGACGCAGGGAGATCCTTCTGGAGAAGATACGTCCATAATGCATTTACATTTGGTGCTGCCTTCCGCTCGGTGCTCATGGTGTTATGAGAGATTGGATGTCAAAAGGGGAGAAAAGCTAATTTTGACGAAAAAGGGTCAAGTGTGTTAATAGCCTCAAGTTGATCATCAGCAGCATGACGCAGTGGAAGCGTGCAGGGCTCATAACCCTGAGGTCACTGGATCGAAACCAGTTGCTGCTAAGTACTTGGGTGAACATCTTTTTTTCATGTAGCGGGTATCGCCGTTAACTTTTGACCTTGATTAATTTTGTTGGTAGAAAATGCGCTCCTTATCCTCGTATCATCATCACAGTAATTGGGCGCAGCATGACCGCCCTCTGCCCTCATAGGCTCATGACCGCTCTCTGCCCTCATAGGCTCTAGTGTATATCCTAAATTTACAGGCACCTTGCTACTAATGAGCGCCAATCATATGATGATGAAACATCAGACTTCATTATCGGATCTTATATATGATTCTGTCAGTGCAGCCCGCGACCCTGTCAACTTGGCCCTTTTTTCACCTCTCGAACGACTGCAGAATCCAGATGGAGTATTTGGCTGATGATGTCGCAGCAGCCACGAGTCTGCATTACTTAGCGGTGCGCCACTTTCTTAATATTATGGAAACATAATAACAGGTATTCCATATTTTACCAGTACCTATACAGTGCGTACTGTCTGAACTACCTCTTACTCGTTCTAATGTGACATCTCAGCGGCGATGGCTACATTCTGGGTAGGCTTGTCCCGACCTATTCCTGTAGTACCGCCGTGAAACTTGTTCATCCAGACCTACGATTATGTTTGTACACTTCACGCAGAGGTAAGTAATATACTTCTTTCTATAATACGCCTCTGTTTTTACATCGATAACTTGCTGTTCAAAGTGGACATTCCTGCTCCAGTCACGCTGGACCAAAGTCAAAGTCCTTTATATCATTACGCGATACTTTCCTTTTTTTCTCATGACCACAAACCTATATTGTGCGTCCAGCTCCAGCATACATCCCCCGATAATGAATTGACATGCTGTGCTTCAGTGAACTTCACTCCGAACGAGAACTCAAATGTATGTAAACACGCAGCAAACTTACCGGCTGATGAAGGGTGCTCACTGCACAACTCTGCCAGAAATGCCGGATGTTGATCAATTTATACTCAGGTACGTGCACGGTACATGCTGCATGCGCATCCTTTCCAAGCGCTGCTATTTCCCCTCACAGGCTTCGGAGTGATCTCAGTCACTTGCTCTGAATGTATATCTCCTTACTCGCGATGTATACGTGCTCCTGATCCGATTCATCCAGTTTTTTTTGTTCTCAGAACGTACGCACTCTGGAACAAAAATAGAATGATACTCGTTGTCATGTCGTCGACCCTCTTTGTCAGTCCCGTCCCCTCCCCATACCCAAGTTCATGGTTGATGGATCAGTCAGGCTATCTTCGTATCATTCAACAGCATTTGGTTTTCCGCTATTGCCACTTCCAATGGTTTGTGCTCTCACCTTCGCCCGCTACTATTGGCGCATGTTCACTCCACTTTGATAGTCATGACTAGCACGATCCCAGGTATCACAGGATGCTACCGGAGCTCTCGCAGCGTCCAGTTCTTCATGCCGTTTCTTTTGATATTTGTGTTGCAACTGGGTATGTCACTGGGAACTTGGAGCGTACATTACAAACGCTTGCTGACTGACGCTATTCTCAGGACTGGCCTCTCTCTCACTCACATGTGCCATAAAGAGCTGGCGGTCGGCCAAAGGCCCTCTTCACGCCATCCTGATGAAGCATAACATATTTTACTATGTATGCAGTCTGTGTGAGTCCGGACTTGTATATATTTCCGTGCTCATCAGTGATTATTATTGTTCCGAAAGTTCTCTCGACCGTGAACATCCTTGTGCCAATCCTATTTTCTGATGTGCGTAACCCCAGCACCCTTCAATATGATTGAGTTGTTGATATTCTGCACCCCCAGTCCGCGTACTACTCCGTTTTCGAAGAGTATGCATCTCCAACTTCCCTTGCGAATTTCTACTAACAACACCCCCCACACAGTTTGGAGGTCTTTATCCTTGCGATCCTCGCAACGCGCATGCACCTCCATCTCTGGCATATCGACCGGCACGTGCACGGCTCTGGGGCCTTGGTGTGGATTTCTATGTCTGACACGTCACCTGCAGACCGTACGGTGTGATGTCTTATCATGTGGCTTATTCAGCGTCGTTCGTGGAGACTACGTGATGACTGGCTTGGTCGGTTTTTGGACCCGCTCAACTTATAGAAATGCACTTTTTGTCGTGGGAGGTGCGTTTGGTTGGCCTTGCATCCATAAGTATCTGGTATGTGCTGTGAGCGGCGGCAGACGAGTGGACGACGATCAAGATATGTGCATCAATATGCCCAACAACAGGTATTATTGACAGGAAACCTTATTAATCCTCTCTAAATATTTGCGTCAACACTTATGACTGCATGGAGACATAGACTCAGTGCATTTTCGACCTGCAATTTTCCACTCCAGTGAGATGATTAACTTCGTGAGCCGGACAGACAGAAATACACTCACAAACTCAATTGTTGGTCGGGTGATCACCATCATCTCCCCGTCCAGTATGACATCCCAAAGACAGGCATCGTAAACTTTGTCGTGGGACACATCCATGAAAGTGAGGTATGTCGGCGCCTGGATGCCCGGCCGGAAATGTACTGATATCGCAGGTTTGCTGATCACCTTGCCGGTGCCACGCGTCGCGGCCGAGGGATGTGTAACTGGAACGATGAATCATTTCGACCTACGATATGACCCGCCCATGTAACACAGGATCCTCCCGCTCCAAACGAGCCTAGCCTTTTCCTGCCGATATTTTCTTCAGGGACGAGGGAATTTTGTGGACCCCATGATGACGAAGGGACTGAGCATCCATCTTCTGATATCGCATCAATTGACTCATCGACGAGCGTTGAGTTGCATCATCGAGAATATTTGGATGAAGTTACGAAGCATAGCAAAATGACAACAAATTGATGAAGTGATTTGCGGTGGTTGTGAAATTAGTTGAGAAGAGAAAAATCGACAATGTTTCTCGGACTTGACCAAGGACGCCAGCTTCATCCAATATATGCGCACCTTGAGAAACGTATTATCATACATGCCAGTCGTGTCGTTGTATACCGCACCCATCATCCATCTGATCATATAAAATATCAGCTTTGAGCTCGTTACAAAACATGATATATCCGTACATACAATGCAAATCGGCGATACTTATGTCCATTGGAACAGTAACAGTGCAGGAAACAGACAGGTATGTAGCCAATCCATTTGATAAGATGGATGATACTTCCTATTTCAAGGTCGGGTCCTCTGCATCAGGCGCGAATCGAAGTCGCGCAAGGAGCGTGGTATGCCAGGTCTTGCGGGAGCCTGATAGTTGGCCCCTCGCGGAGAAGAGTTCCTTACCATCAGACTTGACCGTGCATAGACGATTCGCTCCGTGAGAAGGGAGAGCATTGAAGCATTCCTCCTCTGAAAAGATCGGATCGACCAGAAGAGAGCATAGTCGCGTGCGTTTATGATAGTGCCCGAGATGCTTGCCTGCGAGATACGTTCTCGCTGAAAATGTCCAGTACAAAACATACAGTGATAAGCAAATGAAACGTACTCGTGACAGTTGATGCAAAAATTGAATCTGCGTCACGTACTAGAACCGTTGTTGTGAGCATGACGAGTCTTCTGGATGTCGGAGCTGGGGTAAAGTCGTGGAGAACCTTGATGACGACCACTCAGACTAAGTCAATCACGCCAAGTAAACTCTATCGGATGCCCTTGGCCGATCAGCTGGAACCTGTCGACCTCATACCTGAGCCATTCTATCAGTACAGGAGCACGACGTGAAATTGAAATTGAGAAGGAACCCACCACGTGATCGTCCATGAAGGAAGTTCCCATAGGTAGGATGATGTTATTCTTTGCACGACTTGGGTATTATCACTTGTGGTTGCACACATCATGTCAATTAGGAGCTTCCGAGATGCATGTTAATAGCATACAATATTCTTGCCACTATCAGAAAACTCTGAAAGCAGTCAAAAGTCCGTACAATGGTAACCCTCAACCAAAAAAGCAAACTTGAACGGACTGTGACATCAGCATCGCCCCAAACTCAAACCACGGCGTGCCTGCATCAATCTATGGTGGTTGTGCGAAGCCGACGTTCTCCGCTGATTCAAGAGCCCATACGCCTATTTCATCCTGCGGGAGCTGACTCCACTTTGCGTAAACCTAGCGTTCCTTAGAATCACCAAATAATCCCAATGAGAAATCACGCACATCATCAAGGATATCCAATAGCTCCGCTGTCTTAACGTCTGCAGCACGTTGCTTTTGGTCGTTATCCTCACATTGGGCATACAGAGCAGAGTTTTCTTCCTCGAGCTGCCATGAAGTCAGGAAACTTGGTAGATAATAGCATTTGAGAACTACTCACAGCCTGAAGTTCTGCTCGTAGTTGCTCTACTTCAGATCCCATCACCCGGACAGTACGTGCACGAACAGCAGCACGCGGTGCGAGGTTTTCTCTCCAGACATCCTTGCCATGTATTTCCCCACGTTGTTTTTGAGCTCTCGCCTCAGAGACGACGGCATGAAGGATGTTGATACTATCCCTCACATTAAACTCCTTGAACAGATTCTCGCAACTTTGCTAAGAGGCCGTCTCAGAAATTGTGCATTTCAGGAAACTCAGACATGAAACTCACGTGTATTTGATCCTCCATATGTCTCGAGACGGTGTTAAAGATACCCTCTGCACCGTGTGGCTCTTCCTTGCACCAGAGCGTGAAGCATTCCTGGAAATCTTCGTATCTACGCGACCGTTAGTCTAAACCACGCGTATATATGAGCGACATTGATACCCGCGTCCATTTGTGTGCTGAGCGTGATATCGCAAGCTGGAGTGCTGAGTGAAAATGGGTCCACCGTTTGCTGTCTGGTGCTGTCTTCATCGCGGCTTAGGCTAAAGTGTTGCTGCATATGGCACGTGATCAATAGCAGCGCTTCCGTGACGACTCAACGAGTGGGCACGACGTCTTGGATGTGTACCACCGACATCTATGGACCGCAACGACGAAAATGATGGGCAGCCAGGGAGAATACCACAACAGAGGAGCTCTGTTCCATCATTTCTGTTCCTAATATTTATGCTCTTCATACTCACGAATCACACTGGAGACGAATTTCTCGCTCGAAATCATTACCAGGATGCTCTTCAATCCCTCAACTACCAGCTGTCAAACTTCACTGCTTGGCTGAATGGGACGGAATCTAACTTTACAATGGTGCGTGCTCAGTTGCTTCTGGCTGCTGATGAATGCTGAGGAAGCGCAGCCAGACAGGAACGCCGCCGCCACCCCTCTTGTAGGCTCATTCATGTCCTTTGGGTCTCGTCTTAACCCACAGTGGGCATCTTACTTTCCGAACGTGACCGGATTTGCGCACGGCGAGATCGACTTCTACAATATCACCCCTCACAGCCTTGCCTCTGCAACCTTTCCATGGAGAGCGCACGCTGAGACGTTCATGGGCGACACTAACATGACAGAGCTCGTCAGTCACTTCGGTTCTTGGAATTGGACTGGCTCAGACAAAATTTCATGGAGTATAATGGACCGGGCTCCAGTCAGTGTGAAAGGTGTCACTGAGAAGATCGCTATGGTTCATGTGGGTTACTTTCCATCACTTCATTTCACGAAAATTGAAATCCCCACAGGGCAGAATTGACGTCCGTCATCCCGCCAGCTCCGATGACATGAAGCTAGATTTTGAAGGCGTGCACTTCCTCGCAAATGGGTCTATATATGGTTTTGCTGAACCTACCGGGTGCGTCCTTAGCCATGACGCCCAGTCGACAGAAACTGATGTCATATTAGTCGACATATAGACATCCGCTACATGCCCACCTTCGTCCCGGAAGCTTTTCAGAATGATACCGCTCGGACAATAGAACCTGAATTGATGTCTAGAGTTAACAAGGTGAAAGATATGATTGATGCAGGTATTATCGACCAGGAGTCGACCAGTATGTTCAATTTACATTCCGTGTCTGTCACATTCTAACTTGCTTGTAGATGGGGAGTCGCAAGGAGGTTGTGGATTCAGCGTTTACGCGCAAATTTCGCCTTCTGAGATACCCGTAAATGACATGGAGGATCTTGAAGATGAATTACAGAAGCCAACTGGGAGATGGACAGTGAAACGTCCTCCTCTTAAGCTCAATGGTGTGCTTTTGAGTCGAGAATGCGGCATTTTATACAACCTGCATGACGCGGAAGGATTAAGGTATGGCTTCAATGTTCCATGTTTCATGTTTAGCGACCTAAATGAGTGTTTGTATCCCAAGGTCTCAGTTATTCTTCCGAAAGGTTGCAACATGTTAGGATGTTCGGTCTTGGCTCAGTCAATTTATTAATTCGTGTTTTTGGACAGATGCCGGAATCTCAGCTTTTGTGTACCTGGTGCAGCTACTACTACTTTCTCGTCAAGTTGATCGAAGTCGTACTCCTGCTGGATTGTCTCGTGTGTCGCTATGGACGTTCCTTACACAATCCATCGTGGACTCTGTCTCATTTGCCGGGCATATTACTTTTGCCATCATTGCTAACGGGCGTCCTTCCTTGTCGCTTGTGGCTCCAGCATTCGTTGCCTGTGTGCTTTTTGCTTTTGAATCTGTGAGTGATCCTTCACTGTTCGATGGGCTACGCGGACTGAGATGGCCTTTCAGCAACATGCCATTCTCATTAACCAAGTTCAAGCTCCAGAGGATGCAGTGGCTCCGCCTCCTCCAAGGCCAGTACAACAGGAACCGTCGCTGCCTTCTCAGGGTGTACCCATACCAACATCAGCCCCTCCTCGATCCACTGGCCCGACATTCATAAGTTTATTGTTTCAGCACGTTCGCTCTGATCCCCAAGCCCGGATATGTATGTATTGAGGTGTTATCATATTCACTTCTGACATTCTTCCAGGGCTCGGAATGTTTTTCTTCCTAACATTCATTGTTCGAGTCATCGTGACTCCTTCACTGGCGCTGGTATTTGTGGCGAGCATGTACTCCCTTTTCTGGCTGCCACAGATTGTTCGATCGGTGAAGAAAGGCAGGAGCAGTGCACTGACCGCTGAGTACCTGATTGGCACATCACTCTGCCGACTTTTCCATGCTCTTTGTGAGTACCAGTGCATTTGTTGTTGAGTTATGTCCAACATATCCATATGAACAGACTTCTTGACATGCCCAAAGAATGTGCTCGATGTCGAGCCTCGCCGTAGGTACAAAGTCAGGAATCAATCCGTTTGACTTATACTTTACTAGGCTGGATGTGGTATCTTGCGATGTTTATCTTCCTACAAGTTGCCGTCATACTGCTTCAGCAGCGTTTCGGACCGGCGTTCTTCCTCCCGAAACGAGTAGGTTGCATTTTTCAGTCGTACACACGTTTTTGCTGACCTTTTCAGTTCGCTCATACACAAGTGCACGACTATCATCCAGCATTACCACTTTCTGCCGCTGATCCAGAAGCGCCTGACGAATCCCTCGGGGACTGCGCCATTTGCATGGAGGCTATTCATACCGACGATGAGAAGCAGCTAGAGCAGGTTACTGGTGGATTGCTGCGAAAGGTCGGAGCAAGGCGAAGCTACAGTCTGGCACCTTGCCAGCATCTATTTGTGCGTTCTTGATATCATTTATATGCAAACGGCACGTTCATACTGTTGAGCAGCATACGGAGTGTCTGGAGAAGGTACGTTTGTTGCTTTTTGTTGGATTCTCTATGCTAATCTCCTCCATCGACTAGTGGCTTGCTATCAAGGTATTGGTCTACATAAATGAATGAGACTGCGTATTAATCGATTTCTTTAGAATATTTGTCCCCACTGTCGAAGGCCACTGCCGCCACTTTGACAGATCTAAGTATACCAACACCACAGTACTACATACCCTGCATCTCCCGTATTTCATTTTTCTCTGTCAATTATAGCCTTTTGTACTTGTTCGCAAGAGTGTTTTGTACCTCGCCTAGTCAACACTTCGCGGATCTAACCAATGTCACTCCTGATTATGCGCCTCTACAGTGTAATCTCACTGTGTATTAACCGACACCGTCCCCACCCAAACCTCAACAGGTGTGCCCTCTGCTCCAGGAACTTGAGCGACCTCCTCAAAACGTATGCCGATTTTCTCTGCCATTTCCCAAAGAGTACGTTCTGCAACATCTCGTTCCTTGTATCCAAGGATGATCAGTGGAGGTTTTGTTGGTGCGATATTCATTGAAAACCTGATAAGCCAGGAGAGTGTTCCGATGAGTGCAGGAAATGATGCAGTGTTGTATGTGACATCTGCCATCCTGGTATGCAAGCTCGAAATATTCGCCTATGCAGGGTTGATACGCACTCACACGATCACGTCGATGCCACTGACAAACGACGCTACCTGGGTGGAAATGTCAGGTTCATCCCAGTCGAGAACAGCGCCCTCCGGTGCGTTCCCAGGGTGGTAGAGAGATCGACTTGAGTTAATATTGCTTTGTAATAGCGGCAAAGCAGAGGCTGAGCACCACAATTAGTGATTTATTCGTTGAGAGCTGCCGCATACTGCTCACGTAAATCAGTGGTTATAATTTTTCCTGATGACACAGGTGAATCTAGCAAGCCTCGCAAAATGCCAAGAACGATAGCGACTATGCCTGTCCCTGCGCCTACTCAGAGTTGAGCACTGCGAGAAATACTACCTCGCTGAAAGTTCTCACCTAGCTCGAGAACATCACACTTGGAGGCGAAGAGTGCGTTCTTCGCTTTTGAAACCAGGGCGGTGTTGGAAACCATGCCAAAATGAAGTTGCACTAACCAAGAGCTAAGGCCAATACCGCTGTCCCATATTTTCTGGTGGAACTTCGTCTAAGCTGCTTGCAGCAAGGGAATGTGGATGACTTGCCTTGTCAAGATCAAAAGAGGTTTGTTCAATGATGTGAAATATCGTAGGGTGGTCTTTATTGGTCTCGGTTAAAGCATATGATCTTCGAATCCGCTCTTGCTTTACAACCTTGCTTGGGCGAGTGGAGAAAAGGATAGGATCGGAGAGGACGGGGAATGGCCGGTGCCCCAGATTTTCATCGTTAAGGGAAAGTACCTGATCTTTGCGTGATGTGCCAGAGCTAAGGATAAGACGCCAGTACTCTCCATTACAGGCATTTCGAGGGGGAGGGACGGGTATCTCCTTGTACATCGTAGATGCCCTCCAGCTCGTCAGCTTCACAGGCTTTGTTATCACTGACGAGCTTGGCGTGGGCGACTGCAAGGCCCACGAATAGAATATATCTTGGACATCTGTGTAATATTCTGTTCGTAGATCGTTGGCAATTTGAGGGGTGATGTGGATGGGTTCGCCAGATAAGGCGGCCTGGGTGGGAGGTGGTCGCAAGAACGAAATGTAGTAGAACATGAGCTGTTTTCCCTCTGTGATATGGGCCAGACGCCCGAGACGACTTGCCAAACGCTTGAACTTCGTGTTCACCTGCTAGATTCACATATATAAAGCCATTTTGATAGGTGACGAAAACGGAAGATGTATGATACGCGTCGCCCAATTTGGCTAAGACATCTTCTGTCGGCAAACCCAACACGCATGCACACGGAAGTGTCATGTTTTATACTACCAACATCCTGAATACGTCTCGTTGTTTGCGGTCATGCATTCATCCTTCGAGTCGCTCTTTTGTCCGATCTTTGCCACGTAATTTTCCAAGGATAGGGCGGTTTACTTCGGGAAAGTCATCCCAGAGCATACTGCCGACTTTTCGTGACCAGGTTGCCCGTTCAACTGAAGTAGAGTCTTTTGGCTCTCGATTTCCCCGGCCGACAATACGGAATCAAGTTCTGGTTAGCAAAATTCATTCATTTTCCATTCGTTCATGCTTTAGCTGGCTTATGGCTTCTTAGTTTTTTATCGGTGGATCTTTACTTGCGTATTCGATAGCCACAAGTCAAACCGAGATTGACACCGAATACTGGTCAAAACGCCTCGTATCTGTCTCTCACGTATGGACTCTGCGCCCCCCAACTACTGAGGAGATGAGAAAGGCTCAGTACCTAGAGCTGGGCAAGGTGCGTTTCACTCTCTTGTTCGAAGTCCTTCATGATACATACCATCCTCTCTTCAGTATCTGCAAACGCAAGTAAATCAGCTCAAGGATACGCTGGCAGAGTGGCCCCTTGCGTTGCGCAACCTCGTTCTATCTGTCTACGTTCAAGCTGCACAGTCATACCTTGATGCCCCCGAGGGTAGAAGATTGTGCTGGTTGATTTGTGGCGTCAACACGGCTATATATCTCATGTGGAAGATACCACGACTCGCGCCGTTCATGACCCGATCTTTCACTCACCACCCGTTGTCGGGACGCTCGTACACTCTGCTAACGAGCATGTTTAGTCATAAATCTTTCATCCACCTGTTAGCAAATTCAATGGCCCTCGCTAGTTTCGGTGCGCTGGATAACGTTTTATAGGACCATTCTGACTTCTTCCGTTTATAAGGCTCGGCCGCCACGCACTATTTTACCCTGGAGCAACTCAAACATGGTGAACACCAACAGGAAGCCACTGCTAAGTGGCATTTTCTTGCTTTCTTTATCTCCGGTGGGGCGCCTGTATCGGTCTCAGTTGTTTGTTTACTCATCTTTCGAAGCTGGGCTGTTTTCTGGTTTGGTCAGCCACGTTGCTGCTTGCAAAGTTCTCTTCCCTCGCCTTATCAACCAGTACACCGCTTCTGCGGTCATAAAGAATTCCCCAGCGGCAGCTGCAATATCTAGCACAGCTGCAAAGGTCGCAACCACTGCTCCGCGGGAGATTCTACCATCGTTAGGCGCGTCCGGCGCCATTTATGCAGCTGTGACAGTTAGCGCATTAGCCTTTCCGGACGCCCAAGTCAGCCTCATTTTCCCTCCTTTCGTTTCGATACCGATTCAAACGGGAGTTGGTGGTCTCGTCATACTTGACATGATCGGCATCGTACGCGGCTGGAGGTGGGTACTCATATGTACATCAGAGCATCGCTAATCTTGGTGGTGCCTTTCAGGATGTTCGATCATTATGCTCATCTTGGTGGTGCGGCATTTGGTGCAATGTATTACATGTATGGACCGCAGTGGTGGGCCTTCATGAGAAACAAGTATCAGCGATTACGCTCTCCCACATCCTAGACGAGTTGTCTAGGTAATATGTCCTAGAATCACACTAAGTTATACATCACTCAACCACCACTGGCACTCGACAGCGCAACAATGCATTGATTACTATTGTACAATGGAAAAAAAGACCTCAGTAGCAACGTTTCTTCAGGAGCATTTTTAGCGGCGCGATCACTGAATTTGAACAGTCTTGGGCTCCTGCTCCTTTCCAACTTTCGGGAAAGTAACCGCCAAGACTCCTTTCTCCATCTTTGCCTTGACCTCCTCAGGCTGCAGGTAACGTTAACTTCGATCCATGATGGTAGTAAGCCTGGACTCACCTTGGTTCCCATAGGTAGTTGCAAGGTACGAGAGAAATTTCCGTATGTGCGCTCGCGCACGACGTAATCTCCATCTTGGCGCGTTTCCTCTGCCTTCATCTCACCTGAGATGATGAGGCGGTTTTGCTGTACGTCAATTTTGACATCCCCCCTCTCTACACCAGGCAAATCAAACAAAGCCGTAACTTCATTGCTATCTTTGTTCTCGATCAAATCCATCCTACTCAAAGTTAGCGGTGCGATGATGCCCCTTTTTATGCACAAACTTTGGACGAAATGTCGCGACACGAGACCCGCCTTCGACGGCTCGGCTGACATCAGAAGGACGGAACCGGGCACTGAAAGCATCGTCGAAGAGGCGCTCGAACTCGGTGAAAGGGTCGTAGTGGAAGTGAACAAGGGACATGATAATAAATAAATGTGTGTGCTCGATTTAAGTTTGCAGCGATGAGTTCTGACGAGAGGGAGGTTTCTCTCCTGACAGTCGTTTTTATATTTCTCCAGAACCCCTGTACATGACTCCTGTGTCGATAGCAGAAGAGTCATACTTTCCGTGTCGGGTCGGTCAATCGGCGGGCTTGTTAGACCGGATATACTGATAAGGCCGCCTGTCCGAAGAAGGGAGCATGCTCAATTTCGTCTGACCTCACCATCCTTCATTTGCAAGCCGCCGGCTTAGTGATGTGTCAGTAGCCTTAGGATTCAACAAGGACAAATACATAGAACCCACGCATTTCTTCCAGGGAACTCAGCCACAACCAAGGCCTCAGTGAGGGTTGTACCTTGTCCGAAATGAGTCTCATTCCTGACTTCTGATTATGAAAATGCCGTGTCATTTAAGACCAGCACCATATCTAGACAGTTCTCCAGAACTATTTAAATTCCTCAAGGAATTGAGGTTAAACGGTTTCATTCCTTTACTGCGTCGGATATAAACTGTAGTGTGCTCACAACTCGAGGGTCAATGAGAACATGATGTGTGGATCGACTCTACTTATCTGCAACAAGCACACGCGTTCAAGGGCGTCCAAATAATCTTTGGCCAGCATTCTTAGTCAACTCCTGTATTCCTGCGCCAACCATCCCGCCGACCACTTTCGAGGCACTGGCAGCCCCTGCTAGACTCTCGACGCTCTTGGCAAACAAGTCCCATCCACTTGCATTTTGCGACCGAGAATGCGCTCCAGCGCTCGTCATCAACGCGGCTTTTATCGAGTCAAGCTCGTTGATCACCTCAAGCCCCACAGATCGGGCCCACACCACCGGCTGTGACGTAGAAGAGTAGACCTTGTGCAGCTTGTCGATTGCTGACATCACCTTGTGGTTCTCGAAGTAGCGTTCCCGCGCATAAGGTATTAGAGCCGTGTATGAGCCTGAGCAGATAGTTAAAGGGCGCACAACTCAGGATGAAAGGCATCTCACCGATGTCACTGCCGTGCGCCAGAGCTTGTATGATACACCTTGATAGAGCATCGACGTCTCCGAGGCCCAGGTTTAGGCCTTGTCCTGCTAGCGGGTGGACGGTGTGCGCAGCATCCCCGACCAAGACCGTGCGGCTCCCTGCACCCTCTCCAAGATATGATTCAGCATGGTTGTAGCGAAGCGGAAAACTTGCTATTGTGCCCGGCTGAATTGATGTCACGAGTAGAGGAAGTGCATCCGCATCATTTGGGGGAATGCCACCATCCGAAACCATCGATGTCGCGGATGCATATGCAGAGTAGCTTGAAATACCGTCTGAGCGTTCCCTGAACGCGACTTCCTTCTTGATCTCCTCGCTTGATGTAGTGTCTTCGAGGAGTCGTCTGTAGATGTACTGCAAAGACAGCTCGGGGAGGCGGAAAGCGGCATTAATTAATTGCTCCAGAACTCCAGGGGATGATTTGCTCAGCGCTGCTGCTAGATGGGGTTTGGTCGACCATACCAGCGAAGAGGTGCAAGGGGAGAGTGGCAGGAATGCAATCGGACCCGTCGGGAGGAATCTTTGGTAAGCTGTGTTGTTGGGTGCTTGGAATGGTCCTCGCGGCGCGTGATTTAGCGTCGCGACGACTGCTTGCGTGTCATATGACCATCCATATGATGAGATCCCAGCGAACGATCTTACTGGAGAGTTGAACCCGTCGGCGCCAACCAGCAGTCTTGCGCGCAGGATGGCGCCATTAGAAAGATGCACGACAGGCCAGTTGTTGCGGTCACCTGCCTCGCGTTGTATTGATTCGACTTTGATGCTTTGAATTACCTGGACACTCGGGGTACTCGAAAGCTTTCTTAGCAGGGCGCGCTGGAGGTTTAGGTTTTCTGTCATCCGAGCCATTTCACTCGACTCCGGCATTTCCGACGCGTCAAAGGTGATGCGAGCACCAGAAATGCCGTCCCACACCTAATATGAGACGATTGAGCACTAAAGGACAATGTCATTCTACAGAGACGGCACCTGCATCTGGTGAATAGGATTCGTGCGTGCATGTTCGACGTAGTCCCATATGCCAATCCCTGAAAACCGTTAGCTTTGACATTGAGTGCCTTCACAAGGTACACGCACTGTTCAAGAAATGTCGAGAAGCGTCTGTGATGGAACTGACGCGGTTTGAGTAAACATCCGACGGCATGGCCCAATCTTGTATTTTGGACAAGTCCCCCCGCTTCTATTAGCGTAATTTTGAGGGAATTTTTGGCGGTAGGGTGCGAGGCTACGTATAGTGCCCGAATAAGAGTGAGACCAGTGAACCAAAAAGCGACGCACCGAGGGCAGCTGCCAAAGCCAATCCTGCTGGCCCGCCTCCTACTATTACAATATCATTATCTATTGCATGCTCGGAGCTGAATGATCTGAGAAACAGCCTTTGTCGACATCCCAGACGCACTAATGACCTAGGCGTTGCAAAGAAGGCCATGAAATAAATCGCAAGTTCATGAGATTGAATGTGTGACCTGTCCAAGAAAGTTCGACGAGCGCCTATTATATATAAGCGCCTACAGACTTTCGTTGACTTTGCTATTGACTCTGTCACATTTCCGCAGTCACTTTCACTTATTCCTCGATCCACTCATTCACTAATCAAACTCATTTCCTGGTAAAAGTGGTCTTTGAATATAGGAGGTCAGCCTGGCTGCCGTAGCTCCCATGGCTGCCCCGCAGGTATCTGCAGCGCAAGCTATCGGCGAGTACCTCCAGTCTCCTGATGATCTTCTGAAAGTATCAGCGTTCCGGAAGAAACTGGAGAAAGAGAAGGCCTCTATCGATGCCAGACTCAAGAGTGGCGTTAAGGAACAGCTTGATGCAACACGAGAAGGACTCACGAAATTGCTTGGGACGCGAAACAACGTTCAGGTCATAAAGGAGGAGATGCAGACTGTGGACAGGATGTGCTCCGACCCTCAAAATGTTGTGTCAACCTTTGACCAGATCAGCAGGGTGCGTTGTCTATCGTTCACGCGTTCCGCCAGCTTGAGGTTGTACAGGTGTCTATGGTGCACAGGAATTTCGAACAGACGGAGGAAATGGTTAACAATTTACTGGACATTAACTCGAAGCTTGACGTACTGGAGGAATTACTGGAAGCAGAGAGTAGAACCATCATTGGACCCGCTCCTAATCTCCTTCCAATCCACTTTCACATCAACCGTTTGGAGGCATTCCGCAATCAGACCATGCATCAAGCAAAGAAAGCTTCTGCCAACTCGCGCCACAAACTTGCGCGAATGTTTGAGCGGTTGAACAAGCTCATTGAAGACTTCGAGACATACATCATGAAGTTAGCCCACAACGTGCTACCACTTGTGCGTGCAGGATACCCGCAAGTTGTGGTAAAGCTCATAAAGATCGCGGAGCTTGAGGCACGGGAAGACGAAAAGGTATGACACACTATATCGTTCACCTAGAACAAGGTTGATACGGTTTTAGGCCATCGCCATCAGGCTCGTCAAAAAAGCTGCCAAGATGGATGCCGCATCTAAATTCAAGTCCATGCAGGCGAATGCCCGTATCATCAAACACTACCGCTCCAAAGCTACCAAAGCCATATCTGACTCCATCAAGGCTAATTTTGACGACGCATATATGCGGCATCAGCGCGACCCTAGCGCCTTTCTCGGTGGCCTTGGTTGGATATACCAAGACCTTATCCGCATCGAAAGTGATGTGGTGCCGTGCTTTCCACCGAACTACGAAATACATGCGTTCTATATCAAAGAGTACCACCGTACTCTAAATGCAACCCTTCAGCGCATCATTGAATCGGAGCCCGAAGCGAGCATCATGCTCGACCTTCATGCCTGGATCAAGGAATACAAGAAGAGCATGAAAGAGTTGAATGTAGCTCCTGAGCTCCTTGATCCACCGCTACTCGGCGGCGAGGAGCAGAACCTCATCGAGGACTACTTGAAATTGATCGTCAAGAAGCTCGATGAATGGTCTGCGAACCTAATGAAGACGGAGATTCAGGAGTTCATCACGCGCTCGGATCCACCTGAGGTGGACAGCGACGGACTCTACGGCACACAGGGCGCGGTTATCCTTTTCCAAATGGTGAATCAACAGATCGATGCAGCGACAGAAAGTGGTCAAGGAGCTATCCTTGCTCGCGTGGTGGGTGAGGTGAATCGAGTTATGAGGACCATACAAGACCAATGGACCAAGGTCGTTGAGGCAGAGCTGAAGAAACAGACGGAGAAACCGGAGGAGATTGTTGGTGGGCTGGCGGAGTACTGCATTGCACTTGCCAACGACCAGATCAAGTCCGCTGACAACACTGAGGCGCTTTTGGGACGACTCGAGCCCCTTGTATCAGAGAGGTACCGAACACCCATCAACGAGAAGCTCAATGATGCCATTGATGGAAACCTGGATGTTGCGAAGAAATGCATTCAAACATTTATTGATATCATTCTCAATGACTTGAAACCCGCGACGAAGCAACTTTTCCAGCCACCATGGTACGACGGCATCATGGAACAGATCGTGCTTACGATGCGGGATTACATGGCCGATCAATCTTATATCAACCCATCACTCCTCGAGCTTCTTGTCGAGTATCTGCTCGACGCCTTCCTGGTTACTTACCTTACCGCGCTCGCCAACTGCCCAAAATTACGCACAGCAGCCGCAACGGAGCGCATCAAAGAAGACATCAGTACTGTGTTCTCGTTCTTCAGCGGGTTCAAACCCGCCAAAGAGCTCGAGCCTTACTTTGAGGTGGTGGAGATGGTTTTAGCGATGTTGGAAGCGTCTAAAAGCATGGTTTTCCTCTCGTTTTGGGCCTTCGCGAAGGTGCACGGGCCATGTATACCGTTCGTGGAAGGCTTGATGAAAGCTCGAGGAGATTTCGATCGTTCTGCTATCAGCGAGGTCATGGATAGCATCAAGCGCAAAGTCAAAGACGAAGGAATAACTGATCGTAAGTGCTGTAAATTGTGCTGATCACAATGACGCTTACTCTTCCCCTCAGCCCCCGAACCGACGATTATGAAGAAGATAACGGTTCAAAGCACGCTATCACGTTTCCTGCGGACATAATCTGATTAACATTAACATTTCTTTCGTACTGGTTTCCCTCCCATCGCACTGTACTGTACTCGCATGATATCCACCATATTGGAATACAAAGTATTGTTTCATTGTGGCTTAGAGCCTTATGTCGTCTACACAGAACTGATTTCTACGTTATTCAGTCAGTCTTGGTCTTATCTGCAGCCGGGTTGGAGCGATCGGGCAGGGCTGCAGCCACTTCATCTATTTTCTTAAACTGCCACGGGAACCTCGAGGGATAGAGGAAAGGACGGAGATCAAATCCTGTGCGACAAAGTCAGTCCAGGCAACTTGTGATGTGAAGTTTTGAGCGAAACATACTGTTGTCATCTGGGCTGTATGATTCCTACGACAAGGTCAGTCTCGTATCAGCCTGTGAAGACAGACATACTCACAGCGTGGTATGACGGTGTCAAAGTTGTCATCTTATGACGGTTGCGCGCATATTCAAAGAAGAAATGTTTGACTTTCTCCGCGATCTAGAAGGCATATTCAACGGATTACATTTATTGTCAAACGATGACATACTTGAACGGGAGACAGGAATGAGCCCCACTCATGCACCAGCTTTGTGAACATGCCATATGGTCCACATTTCTCCACTTTGCGGAAACGACCAAAGACCGACAGTTCATCATATGTCATGCCCATATCCGCCTACCAAGTGATCAGGGCCATTGAGAGGACATTTTCGAGAGAATATTCACCTCATCCGCTTGGACGTATGTCTCCAAAATTGGTTCTAGCTCTGCGGTCGGGATGGCAGTCAAAAACCTGTAGCAAAGGACATCAGGAAAGCGTGTCGATCATAACCAGGTTTTTCACTGACTCGGTCAAGATCGGAATGTCAAATGCATCCCGAGCGTAAGCAATGAACTTCTTGAGGTCTGTCTTACTGATGCCACCGATAGGATTGATATCAGCTGGTAAAAATGTCAGTTCATGCAGGTATTTCTTTCGGGACCGGCCGACCTGATGAACAATCATATTTGGTGAGATACCCGCGGAGACTGGATCTGAAGTCAGTAAGTTGTCACCACCCAGCCCGGGTAATATACCTTTCATCAACATTTGCGCTGCCGAGAACCAGGAGCGCACCCTGTCTGCCTCGCACCCAAGGAAGCAGTTGAGCGAAGAGATAAGCAAGGAGCATCCGCAACCGTGCCTGGCAGGCAGTCATCGGTTATTATGTTGATTATGTCGATTCCAATAAAGCACTTGCCTGGATATTCTGCAGCGCTAAATTCTCCGCACTCGATCCACCATGGGCTCTGAACTGCGGTCGCATACCGGTGATGAACGCGAACAGGTCGCGGACGGCGGTGACAAGAGTATCCATGTTCAAATCTACATGGTAGCTAGATTCATTTTCAGTGGAGCGTTCCGATGAAAAAGGTAGGCGCCTGCCTTCCAATCGCTGCCGAGAGGTCCTTTGCCCTCTTTCTCGTTTCTGCGCTAGAGTTCTCTGTGCCCATGTAGCAGGTGTGGAAGATCTTGTTGCAGAACTCGTGTGGGTCCAAAGGAATATAAACCGAGTCTTCGGGTTCTCCGGTCATTCGTCTTGCATCAGCAATGACTTGCCTGTCTGATGAAAGTGATCATGTAAACCAAAACACAAACTCTAGATAGAAAAAAAAGGCAGTACCTCCCTTGCGTGCAGCCTCAGCCACGAGACGACACATGGAGTATACTATTACGGCTGTGGCGCAGGAATCAATACCTCCGCTGAGAGGAACAAAGTATCCTTGTGTGCGGGAGCGCCTGAGGTAGTCCCAGAGCCAGCACGCTGGACCAAGTCTGTGGAGAGTATTAACATCAACATTTGCCTACGAATAGTAGACCTACGCTATTTCTTCCTCTGGAGTATGGAACCTTGCTCCGGAAAGCTTGACCTGAAGGCCCGGGGTCATCGCCCCATCTGTCTCGCCAAACTTGCCACTCGAAAGCGCAAACGGCACTTCAATCCGATGAAACACCTCAGAGCCTGCAGCCTGGAGTCCACGGCTGCGGGATGTGCGATGTGAACGCACATCCTCTATATCGACTGTAGCTGTAACGACCTCAACATCGTTCAAGGAGAACTGTGAACCTTGGGCGACAATGTGGCCATTCATGGCGATCATGGCACAACCATCATAATACAGCCGATCGCCGTCGCAGCCTTGTTGGTTTGCATAGAGGTAGACGCCGCCACCCTGGAAAACGAGTTAGCTGGCAAAGTCGATAATGGGGCACACCCATTACCTTGAGCGTTGCCTCCTTTATCAACTCGACGCGGGTGTAAAGTTTTCGCAACTCATGATGGCTCCCACTAGAATTAGTGAATATCTCAACACCATCGAGTCCCATTAAGATATGCGGACTTAAAGTAGACTATGAATGGCTGTGCTCGGGCGAGAAGGGGATTCGTACCTTGCTGGCGTGAAGAGCTCTTCACAGAGTTCGACACCTATGCAGGTGTCCGCCGTACTCACAACACAGTCTCCAAAAGGTACTTTGACCTGGAAAGAAGAGTTGTGGATGAATGGGGCTGAAGGAACTCAATGACAAACCTGCTTCGTGACGGCCTGAATAATCCTCGGAAGGAAATGATCTTCCCACTGTCGGTGCTTCGACCAGGGAGTAAAGTACCGCATTTCGCGGTAGTTGCCATCATTGGCGAGCCACATCTTAGGGCGAATGAGCAGAATCTGCTTGTCGTGTACGATAATGCGGCAGTTGTAAATCACGTTCTTGTGCACCACGGGCCTGTCATATTACGGATGCAAATCTATAGGGTTGATAGATGACGGTTAAACGTACATTCCAATATCACAAACAATGCCCATTGTATCATCACTGGCTAATATCTTGGCCAGTACCTCCCAGGAATGGAGGATGGTGTCCCCTGTGCTATGTTATCAGGAGTGCCATGTTTATGTGTGTGTTTTTGTACCTTCAAGGAAATGGTCGTAGCAGCCATATCCACTGTGTTGTGGTACATCTTAAATACATGCGCTATAACAGTGCATGAGTACTGACGGAATTTCTAGCTCTGGTCCAACTCTCAGGGTAGCGCCGCGCTCCTTTGCGATTGCGATGCTTTGGATAATACGTTCATAGTTTCCCTAGTACGTATAGGCTTAGTTTAATGATACGTGATCACTTGTGACCGGATAATGAAGAACATTACCTGAAAATCTAACGCCCACTGGTTCAAGGAACTATCTAGTGCTTTAGTAGTAGAAGCTAGTTGGGATCGGGGTCACTATAACGCACCATCTGCAAAGATATGAGTAAATGTGAAGATACCAAAAACATAACACTCACGTAGCCAATGTTATTAGGTGCCCCATGATGGAGGTGTCTCTAGCTACAAAGCCGCGGCGTGTGCGTCCGACTCAGGTGAATGGCCAATACCCCGGGCCGGCTTCCGTAATACTTATGCCTACGCCTATACTTATCTTATCTCCGTTACCATGTGACTGACACACATTCTCGACCGTAGAAGGGTTAACTTCCAAGTTTCAAGTGAAGCGACCAATATGCATCGCGGTGTTGGTCTCGCTGCTTTTGACAGGGAACAAGTATCACAACGTTTTGCAGAACTATCTTCAGAGCTCTCGAAAACCCAGGTCGATCATCTACAGTCACAACTAAAACAATTCCAAACGGCCCTTAAGCACTTTGCAACGACACACAGAGATTCCATCCGTAGTGATCCAGCGTTTCGCCATGCATTCCAGCAAATGTGCTCATCAATCGGTGTGGACCCGCTCGCTGGACCGAGGAAGGGCGGCTGGTGGGCGGAGATGCTTGGAATGGGCGATTGGCAGTATGAGCTGGGAGTTCAGATAGTAGATGTGTGCGTGAGCACGAGAGAAAGGAACGGAGGCGTGATAGAAATGGGGGAGCTCGTACGTGTGGTCAGCAACCTACGTAACGTCGAGAGCAGTGTCATTACAGAGGAAGATGTCATAAGAAGCATCAAGACACTCCAACCGCTCGGCGCCGGATACGAAGTGCTTGACGTTGATGGTGGAGGGAAGATGGTAAGAAGCGTAGTCAAGGAACTCGATGCAGATCAGGCTGTGGTTCTTGCGGAGGCACAAGTGGAAGGAGGGCGGATTGTTGAAGCAATCTTGGAGAGCCGTCGAGGATGGACGAGAGAACGTGCTCGAGCCGCTCTGGAGAATATGCTTCTTCGAGATGGCCTCTGCTGGCTCGATTCCCAAGACGAGCACTATGGACGAGCCTATTGGGTCCCGTCTGCCATGCGTTGGGACGAGTAATTCTGTTACTTACCAAGGTGTGTAAGTCGTATCTATGGTTATCCTCTTCTTAACATTGACATTTGTGTCAGCTTGATCAACGACAGAAACTCCACTTGCAATTCAGTCAGACAACTCCTCAGAGGTTCGACTGACAATTTCCGTACTGTCGCCTCCTACGTTCCCATCGACAAGCCGCGGAGTATATTCGGTGTAGAAGTACCCACCCGTGACTTTGAAGCGTTTCACATGATGACGTGGACTATATGCAACGGTCGAAACGAAGACAAGAACAGGGAGCGTAAATATCATGTCCTTCGATGATATGCTACACTTAATGTTTCGTCAGCTTATATTTCCCAAGTGACTTTGTGGCTGGTTTCGAAGCTTTCTCGCATAAGATTTTCGTTCTTCTGTCATTATCTGTGGGTATGAAGTTCTGGTTATCGTTGTCGTTGGTCAGTGTATAATTTTTGGTGGGACTACAGCACGGGTTTTGCATATAGTTTGTTGTCATTCTCTCTTCACTAAAGTTTAAGTTTCTGATCTGATGTTCCAGGCATTACGTTCATGTATGTCAACGCGGCGTCCGTGGGCGCAACAGACGGGCTTGCACAGATTGGCATTGTTTTTGTGACACTGGTAAACCGGCCACAGTCTACTCCGCGTTTTCGATAACCGGTACCTTGAAGGCAACTTGACACATTGTATGATCGCAAGTATGGCGATGGGCGTTTATGTCTCGTCACCTCCTGTGTGCAAAACGACTCACTAAAAACACAGAACTCCAGTGTTTGGCAGACGGATTTTGATCGGTAACTTTGTATTCTGATTTGGGTGGGAACTTACAAGCTGACCATCCTATCCTGAGCATGTTACATAGGCTCCCGGCATCGAAGGTGCGGTGCCAAGTCGGTTGACCTCTTTTGGTGGTTCAAATGCTTTTTGTAGCACCAAAGAACACTTCTATACGCGGGATCTGCACGCAAATAATGCTGGCGTGTGTCATCTTTGCCAACCTGGCAGGGCGTAGCGACATCCACGGGGAGCAGTGATCTCCAATATCCCCACGAATGCCACGACCAGGGACTTGTCCTTGACTTGTACTTAAGCTAAACCGTCGACCAGCCTTAGGCGCACAGCAATCATGTCCCTTGAAATCACTGACGAAGAGACTCCTCTGCTGCATGCTAATGACTGTGTAGAACTGCAACAGAAGCCGGTCATGACAGGCAAGATGCCTCTCCCGTGGCGCCAATTTTCTATAATACTGTCACTGCAAGTCCTAGAACCAATGACTTCGCAAGTCATCTCGCCATTTGCACCACAGGTCAGCACCTGCTTGCATTGCACCCAAACATGTGATGACGGAAAGACGTCCAGTTGATACGAGACATAGGAGTCACCCATGGCGAAGAAGCTCGTGTAGGAATTTACGTTGGCCTGTTGGTACGCAATTGCCATCACGCGACGAATTTCCTAATGTTTTATCCATGTAGCAATCACTCTTCTTTGCAACTGAGGCATTGACCACTTTTCACTGGAGCCGTCTGTCTGATCTTGTTGGCCGCAAGCCAGTGATATTGATTGGTCTCACGGGCATCTCTATTTCTATGTTCTCTTTTGGACTCTCAAGAACTTTTTGGACTGTCATCTTAAGGTATGGATGACCTTTAATTAGTAATTGATCCTGTATTGAACCACATAAGTCGCTGTCTATGTGGTGTGCTCAATGGTAACGTGGTGGTGATGAAGAGCATGATCGCAGATATCACAGATTCCACTAATATGCCTCAGGCGTATGGATATGTTCCTTTTGCTTGGCAGGCTGGTATTGCTCTGGGGTGATCGTTCATTCCTGTCATTCAATTCTTGGTTGGCTGAAATCCTTAACAGACCTCTTATTGGTGGACTTCTTTCACATCCAACAGTCCGGTACCCGAAAATCTTTGCAAGATTTTATTTCTTAAATGTATATCCTTATTTCCTTCCTTGTGGCGTGATAGGAACACTAGCGCTTGCATGGTGGTGCGTTACGTTCTTATTTCTCAGTGAGGTTTGTCAATCCCCCAAGTAGTTGACTTGGAAACTTATCGCGTCCACAGAGCACACAACCTAGCACTAGTCTTGCTCAGTGTCTCGGACTGCAGGACAGCGAAACAACTGTTTCACGGGCTATGACTTCTAACCTCGCATCAAAGGTCAAGCCCTTGCCGTTCCGCGAGTTGCTAGTAACGCGGGTAGTCATCGCAACCTGCGCTTACGCCGCCGTTGCTCTGATCGAAATCTCGTTTCGTGCTGTCCAACCAGTATTCTATGCTACACCCATTGAAATGGGTGGCCTCGGACTGGATACTCCAGCCATTGGCATCATTCTGGCTGTGCTTGGTATTCTAAACGGAGTGCTCCAGGTGTTATTCTTTGTGCACTTGCATGACTGGCTAGGAGGAAGAAATCTATATCTTTTCTCCGTCTTCAGTTGCTTCCCAATGCTCGCACTGTTTCCAGTCATCAGTTTCACAGTCAAAGCACAGGGACTGAGCTGCTTTGTCTACCTCCTGGTAGGCTTGCAGCTCCTTGCATTTGTAATCTCATATTCTGCATATGGTGCGCGTGGCAGTGACTCAGTCAGACCGAGATGAATATTTACTTCGTGTCACTTGCACAGGTGTCGTGTTCATGTACATCAATGCATCTGCGCCCAACCGAGCATCAATTGGTGCAACAAATGGCCTTGCACAAACTGTGGTGTCCGTCACACGCGCTGTTGGGCCAGCGTTGGTGAACTCTGCTTATTCACTGAGTATTGAGAAGCAAATACTTGGTGGAAATATGGTGTATTTGTTGATGGCTGGAATGGTTTGGATTGCTATCGGTGTCGGAGCTGTCCTCCCAAGGCGCCTCGAGTAGATGTATCAAAAGATGAAAATATCATTGATTTGGGAATGTCTTCTGTAGGCATTTAAACCCAATGTATTTGCATTGGGCCCAGTGATCTTTTTGTTGGAGGCTCTGCTCCAAAATGCAATGTGACAATAGTTGCGTTTCTGGATCGTATCCTTAATTAGGGCGCCCGCTGCCAGCTGGTTGTTGAATTTGACTTTTGCAAGCTGTTAAGTACGCCTAAGCTTCCTGTAGCTGCGTAGCGTAGAAGAGCGCGCGCGCACTTAGATTGAGCGTAGATATCATGGCGGCCAAAGTATGCCACCGTATGCCACCCACCATGATGTACAGGGGTCTGCAGCCGTGGGCAATAGAAGACAGGGACTCTTCTGTGTAGTGGCTGTGAGTCTAAGGTAATATGCATGGCTGGCATTGAAATCGCTGCCGTCCGCATTGCGTGCTCTGTACATGCTGTGTCTGCAGCTATCGCGACCTCGACGATGCACTGTCTTTCTGACCTTCCAAGCGAGCTCCTATGTCTCATATCCAAGAATCTGGCAAATGATGAACTCCTCGTGCTTTGCATAGTGTCAAAACAACTTCATTTTGCGGCACTCACCGTCTACTTCGATCGGTACGCGGGCGTCAATGCCCCTACGAACGCGCCCGCCAGTATCTGCCAGCCGCCTATAGCTGCATTACGCGGGCTTTTGTTGGCACTCTGGGTCAAGAAATGTAATTCCGTCTGCTGCACTGTCAACAATTACACCCAACTCAGGTATCTTACACGCCTCATCTCAAAGTTGGAGCCGTTCCGCAACCTCCACTTACGCTTTGGTCGTGGCATGGAGCCATACTCGAGACATGTCATTTTTGGACTCATAGATCTAATGATCGTCATCAAGCAAAAGGGATGCGAAGACATGCTCATAACTGGGGCACACACAGACAGAGCATGGGTTCCAGGAGTGACAGATCTGACCCGCGCTTTGCGCTTGGAAGGCGTCGTCAGTACCGTGGATGTAAGTTTTCTGTCTTTTATCCCTAGTACGATTTGCTTATTACCACGCAGACTGTTGCCAGATTCTGTAGGAAGTTGTTTCGTCGTCACAAACGTGACGAGAATTACTGGATCACAATAACCCCCTCCCTTACCACATTGAAGACAGTCAATCTTTCAACAGACTACTTCTTCGCGCCGTTTATGAGCACATGGACCATTCGGACACTCAATGATTCTTCTATCACATCGTTAAAGCTCGACCTTCGCTTTCGCAATGCGCCGAAATGGACTCATATCCTGTCAATGCTCCGCCTTCGCCACCTTCGAGAATTTGTCATTTCCTCCAACTCATTGTCGCTCCAATGTTTGACACAGTTTCTGCGACGTCACAACGGACTCACTTCACTGACTACGAAAGGCCTCTCCTTGGAGGATAACGAGGCACAGGACAAGTCGGTCCTCACCCTCAACGCCCTCCCCAAACTCAGGACACTCGTTGGATTGCCAAATGACGTCAAGCACATCCTTCGTCTTCAGCCTACCTTCAAAGTTCTGAAATATGTAACCATCAGCGACCCAGATGCGGATGGTTACATCTCATCCTTGAACGACTGTCTCGACGCTATGGTATCTAGAGACAAAGTTTACGTCACCTCTATAGCAGTCAAGACGGAACACACGTCTTGGCTGCTGTCCCAAAGCAATGGAGATCTAGAGAGGGCAATGCCGCCCATTGCGTCCCTCACGATTATTTGGAAGGGCCAAAATGAAGAGTTGCCCTCCCCGAGTTTCACTGCTGCATTAGCTGGATGGGTGGCATTGTTCCCGTCGCTGGAACATATTCACTGGGGAGTGAAGCGGGACCTCGAGGGATCACAAGCTGAAAGAAACGTCGCCATTGCTATCATCAAACGTTGTCCTCGTCTCAAGACCTTGGAATTACTGAGAGATCCCCCTGTTCGTATGAGACCACCTCCTCCAGTAGATGTGTGGCTTAGGGATGGTACGTGTCTGTCTCTTGTTGAACTTCCAATCTCACACGTGTGCTGTGAAGATCCCTTGGCGATTCAACAGTTGGCATGGTCTCAGGACATTCAACATAGTGAGCAACTTATGTTCTGCTACGATCAAGACAAAGCTGAATCAGTTTGAATCTAAGGTGTCGCTTCTTGTTCTTGCCGTGATAAAGGTCAAGGGTAGCCGGTGTCATTCCTACTTTGTCCGGGTGTGCATTAGACCAAGTGTGTTCCAGATACTGACCCTAGTGAGTGCGACAGCTTAGATAGCGAATACCGTACATCCTGATCACAAGCTAACCGCTACCTGTTAACCCTGGCGGGAAACCTGAGAAATCTATCTGGTCTTGCACTGCTTGACCAGCGAGGGTATATGATAAACGTAGCCGTAGCCGTATATTGGACTATTGTATAAAAATCAGAAAGCCATTTCAACATTAAGAAGAAAGGGATGCATACACCAGGCGGCGCAATCACACGCATTTGTTGGGTTTCCGTGGTACCTGGTTTAACATCGGAATTCGACATGGGAAGCATTTGCAGTTGTTGTGACTGTACGACAACTCAGTGGAATGGTAACAAAATTTCCTGATTCTTACCTTTGGAACAGCGGCCTGGAAGTTGAGCCCGGTAGCAGCATTCGAACCGGAAACTTGGAAGCGAGCCATGATATTGACGACACCTGGTCGCGCAGCTGAGGTTTGAGGTGTAAGGGTAATCTTGAGCTCCTGCTTATCATAGGCGGTGTAAGCAATTAGCCTTGGCGCAGGTGGTTGCTGTTGTTGCGGAGAAGGTCGGGGAGGCGCCTGACTCTGTGGTTGTGGAGAGAAGGTGGCGAAAGCAGATATGGCAGCGGATGGAGCAGGAGCGGGCGACGCTGGGGAAGGGGAAGGGGAAGAGTCGAACAAACCAAGAATATCTTGGACACTGCTCTTCTGGGGCTGCGGTGAAATGGAAGGTGTGCGACCGGGAGTCGGGGATGGAGCAGCAGGACTGCTGCCGAAGATCTCTGCGAGGAGGTCCTGATTGTTGGGCGTGGCCTGGCCATTGACGACAGGCGTCGGCGGTGCTAACTCGTCACCAAGAAGATCAGCATCCTTCCCACCTTGCGTGGACCCAACGGGCTTATTTTCACTGACTGGGAAAACGTCAGAACGTCATCATGTCGAATTCAAAAATCCACGCACCGATGCCCATCACAGTAGCTTTGAGCTCCGGAGGCGGCATCCGTTCTAGGACGCCACTCCTTAAATCGCCCAAGGTGAACAAACTTGCGAATTCAACAGCACGTTGTTGCAGTTCTAACTCTGGGCTGGTGGTGTACTTTGCGAGAACCTCAGCGATTCGCTGTTGTTGTGGCGAACTTGTCGTCGGTCTGGAGGCTAATTTGGTAATACTTGCCATGAGGAATTGACGGGTGAGGGAGTTTGCGTAGGGCGAGTCGAGGGTGGTAAGCAGTAGATCCAATAAGTCCTTGTCGGTGATCTAGAAGAGGCAAGTCATCAATTCTCAATTCCAGGCACGGAGATGATTACTGACCTGCTTGGGCTGGTCCTCGTCCACGACGCCGCCTTCGAAGAGTAAATCACCATATTCACCGATTATCCACAGAGCAGCCAATGTTAGTGACTCTTGCGAGATGTCATCTTGGAGGGCAGTATACAGCTTGGACGCAGTGTATGCTTGCAGCTCCGGGGTATGGGCAACAAGACGGATAAAGGCAGACAAGATCTCCTCGCGGACAAAGTTTCCAGCCTGCCACGAACTTGAGTGGATAAATACTTTTGATGTTGAGAACCACTCACCAGCTTGAGCACCCTAAGCACAGTGTCAATGTGCCACCGTTTGTTTGGAGCAAATCGTTCGGCAGCGAGCGATATCTGTGTGGTCATGCCAAGCTTGAACTCGTCGTCCGCCACCTCAAGGAAAGCAAGCAGCTCGCGAATGAGGATCCGCACGTTCTGCTCATTGATAAGCGCATATGACAATTCAAGAGCACGCCGCCGGATGGATATATCTCCGTCCCGCAGACAGTCTAGGATGATATTCCTGTGTCGTTGAACTGCATTGGTGTCCATTCCGACCACTTTGTTCAGCGTATTCAAGGCGACATATCTGGGCGAAGTGAGTGAAGATCATTTTAGGAATTGAATTATAACCGACCGAATATTATTGTCCCGATTACCCAAGAACTTGCCAAGAATGTTTATAGCCATGACGCGCAAACCGGAATCTGCTTCGATCTCAAGGACAGTCAGAACGGTTTCATATAATATCGAATTTCCAACGTTCTTGGTCGAATCAGTGTTAGTTGCAACCTGCGCCAGGATATCATTCATGGTCTCGCTAGCACGTGCATCGCCCTTGCCAAGTAGACGAAGTAATCGCAAGACTTTGACCTGTAAGAATGGGTCTGTGATGCCAGAGACATCGTGCTCGGGACTGTATCCAGTGGTGACCAAGGCCTTCAGATTACGAACAAGTAGTGGTACAGCCTGTAAGCACGTGAATAATGGATCATGAAAAGCTTGCTAGCACAACAGGGAGCACTGACATTCCGGAATTCATTCAGACAATTCTGGTCAATTTGACACATCTCGGTGGTGAGGGTTATTGCTGTCAGTAGCACGCCGTGGTTTCGATCGGTGAGAAGATTTTTGGCCTTCGAGATAAAGTGATCGGTAAGGTCAGGAACCTTCTTGATGACGCGAAGAGCACACAAGGCAGCCTGAAGTATGTTCCCGTCAAAACTTGAAACACGATGCGTATAGGGAGTGCGTGCACCTTTTTGCGAATGTAAGTGTTACTCGAGCCCAGAAGCTTCTCGATCTCATTCGCCAAATCTCGCGACATTTCCTCCGAAGCAATGTTTGCGAATGTGCAGAGTCCCAAACCAACGACATACATGTTGGAGTGGTTCATATCACTGCAAGAGTAAATTCAGAGATGACGGATCACGACTTATAACACGTACTTCTTCAGCGAGTTTGTTACAAGAGTGAGAACCTCTTGATTCTCGTCCAAAAGTAACATGATGCCCAAATATCCGAGGCGTTTATCTGTGAATCGCGGGCTCGCGACCAGTTTCAGACATTCTATCTGACCGAAGTGGGCGGGCGACCCAAGCATGTGGATGTACAGCAGCTTTGCAATGTTGTTGTGCCGCGCGTACACATCTTCCTCTCTGAACGACGCTCGAATAGCGGCTGATTCCTGCTGGATAAGGGCCCGCTCATCCGCGACAGTCTGCAAGGGTCTAAGGTGACTTCAAGACCGTGGATTTGAAAGATCTACCTTGCAGGCCCTTATTCCTTTGATCAGGGCTGTCTAAATGCTTCATTCAAAAGTTCCAGACCATAATTCAGGACTACTTACCCTTGAGATTATGGTACACCATGGCTGCGCGTTGACTGGAAGCGAGGTTAGACTCACCACAATATTGGATGGTCACACATGTGACGTGACTTTGTCTGACGTGACTCTAATGAAGGGATTAATGCCGAGGATTCTTCTCACCGCCCTCTTTGCTTGCTTTGAATACAAAATTGAAATAGCAACAGTAGAAAACACGCCCGCTCTAATCTAGCTAGATATTCTCCAAAACCAATGCTCCGAAGTGCGCTCGATACTACGTTCTAAGTTCTTTAGCAACTTGGTCTCATTGTGGTTGGAGAAGCTTGGAAAGTGCATCATGTGCATGGCAAGCCAGAATATGTTGGAGTAGTGTGAATGACCAAGAGGTCATTCACACTATCCCGACGTACCTTGTTTGCGCCTAGCATACATTAGCATGCCACAGCACTTTGAGGTCTGAGAACCCGAGACCCGATACCCTTGAATCTAGAAACAAAGGGTTTTGGTGATGTGACTGGGAAGGGTGAGAAATAGCGATTGGTGTATGAGCTCCAGAAATTTAAATTAAGTACCAGGCGCATGGCATTGAGATTTAACAAGTGAGGACCGACCGCTGATGAATTAACCGCCTCAGCTGCTCGCGAAATGCAACAAATGAGTTCGACGGCTAGAATCCGATGGCTCAACCATATCCTGGTAATTGCTGAAAGTGCTACTTGAATTTGACGAAGATCGATCGTGCAGTCGAAGCCAGCCAATGACCTTGTATATCGATGGTGACGGAGTTGGACAGGCAGCGTTCTAGTCTAAATTGAAATCGGAATCAGGCGCCCAAGTCAACAAGTTCAGACCGATCCCAGCGTTCAGTTCGGTTCGATGGGTAGACGATCGTTATTTCCTTCGCGTTCGTGAATAGACTCAGTGGTAGATGTAGACGCAGGTCGGATTCCTAAACAACTGGGTGAACGAGATTGTCAGAATAGAGTCTTGAGAAGTGGAGATCGACTAGGAGATCGACACAGACTAGGACATTGCGTAGCCACGAAGATCCAAGAAGTGCCACCGAACAAACGAGGGACCAAGGACAGCCACGGAGAGTGAGGCACTCCTCTCGCCCGAACCCAAGCCCATAACTTAGAGCAAGTTCAGGTGATCCATCCGAATCGTATCCTGAAGATCGGTTCCCTCGTGCCAAGTTCGCGGATTGATGTCATTCCATCGAATACCACAAAGGAAGTGTCACAGTGGGAAGTCGGAGGTCAAAACGAAGCAAAACGACAGCCTTTTGTAAGCAACGGTGTCTTCAGTTGATGCCCTGGGGGCCCGAACAAAAATTATTGCAGTTGTGAGACATCCGAATTCCGCACCAAATTCGTGGTTCGGCTTCGTCCCATCGATGTTCGAATACCACAGAATGTGCATAAAATCGTGGGTCAAAACGAGTGAAGCAAGTGGAAATGAGGTTGGGTCAAATGACGGCCTTAAATATATACATACGCGACCTTCGTCGATGGCAATGATTGTAAGACATTTGAATCCAACGTAAATTTTGTGACGTTTCACGACTGCAGTATCTGCCAGTGGTGGTGTAGAATGAATTTTCAATCTTGATCAGTGACTCAAACAACTGAGACACATTCTATGAGGGAGACAAAATGAGATTTGGCAAACATACACTGGCATGAAGTACCAGTATCGCAGACGTCGGAGCGGTGCAGACCGAGAGCCACTCCATGCTTAGGCTTTGAGCTTCAAGTTAAACTTCGCTTTCAAGGTTTGCAGGCACTGCTGACTAAGCTACGCATTTAGACATCATGTGATGCAAGGTGATTGCGCATGCTCATTTTAGTCCCCGGTCCGGTCATCGACCGCGTCGCGCAGCTCTTGAGGGGACAGTGATGTGGCTCCTTCAGGGCCAATCTCACACTACTTACTTAGAACAGGGTGGGGAAATGGGTAATCATTATATTGATGTTGATAGTTGCATTACACCATTTACCTGCTGTCCATTCCTTGCCTGCATAAATATCAGTCCGACTATAAAGAATTTTGATCAGTACATATAATGCGCCTCTAAACAACCGAACGTACGAAGAATTTATGGTGACGCTGTGCCCCAGCATTCTCAATCAATTCAATTTCCTCAGCCGTCAACTCCGGAACGTTGGCTGTATCAAGATACTCTCTCATCCTATCCGCCTTGCTCGACGTGCTGATAGATACTACATGAGCCTCCGGAACACTGTGCAGCACATCCACAACAGATAAAACTTACGTGATGACCAAAATGCCATACTGCTGCAACCACTTATTGAGCACCTGACCGGCCGACACGGACTGTCCTCGAGTAGACTCAAGACGCGTCCGAATTTTCTCGATGACGGGGCCCAGAGGCCCTCCTGGTGCGCGGAAGAGGGGCGATAGGCCACCATAAGAGGAAGTGAGGATGCCGTGTTCTTTGTGCAACGCGATCACAGGCTTTAAGGACTTCCACACGTACGGGTGAATCTCAATCTTTCAAGAGGGGGGTTGTCAAACGAAATACTGTTGCTGATGTAATTTAGCTCACCTGGTTGACCGAAGGCGTAAACTCAGCGCCCTCCAAGATCTCTTGAAAATGCGCAACTTCAAAATTTGACACTCCAATGGACTTCGATAGTCCTTCCCTCTTGCACTCCTCCATTGACCTCCACACCTCCTGCAGTCGACCAGCATGGTCGCCGGGCACGTGCACGAGGTACAGATCCACATACTCTAAACCCAGCTTCTTCAGCGATACCTCCAGCGCAGTTTTAGCTGTCTGGTGGGGCTGGAGTCGATGAAGCTTAGTGGTGACGAAAAGTGTAGAGCGCGGCGTGCCGGAGGCCTTGATGCCGGCACCCAAGCTCTCTTCATTCTCGTACATCTGGGCACCATCAAGGTGGGTGAAACCGTTGGTTATTGCAGTTTCGACAGTGTTCTGTGCATCTTGCTGGTAGAGAGCCGTGCCAGTGCCAAATCCAATCCAGGGGACTTGATTGCCGTCGTTGAGAGTGAGTGTAGATATAGCCATGCTGTCCGTCTGAAGTGAAGACAAAGTTAACGTTAACGAGGATATCTGGGAAAGACCACGGAGTGGTAGCACTTATACCTGCAGAGAGACGCCGTGTCTATCAATCACGCACATATGGGGCTCCGCGTAGCTTGACCGGAGGTCCACCAGTGTGGTCACCAGGCTAATGATACAACTCCTATCTAATGCTTAGATTACCAATACGTTTTAGAGCGGGCCGTCAGCGTGATCACGATGCACAACACGATTGAGTTGGTATCCGTTGACGCTATCTGCCTTAGACCGAAAGGGAAAGCAGGCTGAGGTAGACACAGTTAGATTTGACAGGCACCTCGAGGACTGTGAGTGATAGGTGGGAAGAGACCACGGCAAGGCTGCTATTAGACTTGCCATAGTGAGTAGTTCATCCTCTTTGGTGACCGATCGCGTGTGACAAGGGAGAGGAAATATACGTTATCTGTATAGCACATCGCGGAATGCGTGATCCAGGACGAGACAGTTAGGTTAAAATCTGCTTCGATCTCAAGGACCGCCAGGATATTTCCATACAATGATGAGTTCCCAATATGAATCATAGATGCAGCCTGGGCCAGAGTATGGTTCATGACCTTGCTAGAGCGTGTATCGCACTTGCCAAGTCAACGAAGCAATTACAAATTTTTAACCTAAACGAATGGGTCTCTGGGTTGTATCGAGTGATGGCGGAGGCCGTAGCGTCACGGCCTGGGAACAAGTGAGGTTAGCACAAATGACAACATCACCCTGGAATACATTGAGACAGTTCCCATCGATTTAGCAGACCTCGGCGATAAGGGTAGAATGCCGCGGGTTCGATCAGTAAGATTTTTTTGGCTTTCGAGATACAGTGATTGGGATGGTCAGGAATAGTCCATACGGGGAGCACACAAGCCTGAAGTACGTCCCAGCCACACGTGCTCGCATACCAGTTGAAAGGACGATGGCCAAGATCGAAGGTCAGGTTCGCCGTCGCTGTTGAGATGGACATGAGAAGACCTAGTATCCATCAGAAATTGCAACTCGTAGAAAAGAAATACACACCCGCATAGGCATCATATCGCAAGCGGAATCGGCGGAATGCTCAGATGTTCAGTCGGGCGACACCTAAAAAAAGCAGGCGGATGCCAAGCACAACTCCATCACGAACATCGAAAGGAATGATGACAAAGGGCATACGAGGACAGGGCTGAACCAACATGAACACCTTGCGGAAGGATCAAAGTCGTTGCACAGGAGCAAGGTCCATCACGAAAGTGTAAGTTCAATGGATGTCAACCCAAGTGAGGCGTCCAAAGCTATGAGAATGGCGGAGGAAAATCTGAGCTCGAAGGAATACAAAGGCCTTCAGAGGTAGTGGAATTCCAGGGGGTCGTGGTGAACAAGATCGTCAAAACAGGGTCCCGAAAAGCGGAGATCGACATGTTGGTAGGGGGAGAGAATTCATTCGGTTCCAAGGGATGTCCAGGAATTCAAGGCATCGCAAAGAGTAAAATTGGTCACGGCAAGAAAAGTAGGTCCAGTGATTGTTGCAACGAGGTGGGCGTCATCACACGGTACGTCAGGGGCCAACATAATTCGTGAACTATGCGAGGTCCAGGGTTCAAACCTTCCTGGTGCTCCGCATAACGCCGATGGAAGACTTCTGTGACGATGTCCGTAGAAGGATCGCAGAATAGAGATACCATCACTCTCGCAAAGGGTGTCCATCGGAAGAGGAGTGCTCGGACCAAATTAAATTGAAATGTTCAATCGGGTAACAACCATAAAATGACACAGATGCCGAAGACAAATCATCATGGACATTGAAGGGGAGATCGCAAAGGGCATGCAAGGGCAGATTCAAGGATAGTGTCGCAGAGAGCCGTCATCGCCCAGGAAAACAAGGTTCCATCGAAAGAACGGATGAGTTCGATCGAATGTAACCTCAGCGAGGTGAGTGTCTAAAGTGATACTTGTGGGGGCAGGACAATCGGAACGCAAGAGTCTTTAGACGGTGGCCAGGTGTCTAGTTGGGCCGTGGTAAACGAGATCGGCAAGTTTGTTTGTTAGGCGAAAGAATCCAGTCGATAGCAAGAAGTGGCATGAGGGATCCAAGAGGTTCCCTCGCTCGAATCCTAGCAAAACCTCGTGAGAGCAAGTCCATGTAGTTCAAGTCGCATGTTCAGGATTTGTTTGATCGTACCAAGTCCGTGATTTAGAATCGGCCCATGGAGGCCAAAACGAGTGGAGTAAAGAGAAGAGAAGGTCGAGTCAAACGACAGTCTTATATACCCGACCTTCATCGAGGGGGTGTTAGTCTGGCAGCCGTGTGGAGGGCCCATGCCACAATTGTGAGACATCCGAATTCCACATGATCCACAACATGTCATATTTCAATCTCGACTGAAACATTTTACGAGGGGTCATCAAGCTCGAGCACTTGCGAAGATGAGCTCACGGTTAGCGTTGGCCTAGACGTCGGATCTAAAAGTGTCCAGGCTTCCAATTGAGCGCTAAGGTCGCGCGTGAGTGGAAAACAAGTAAATTGGACAAGAGCGTTAAAACTCCGCCCTTGGTAACTGGCAATCATCTTCAACTCCTCCTATAGTCTAGCCTTGCTATATCGTCTGTACTTTTTTTCCTCTTCTTCTAAACCGCCATGGCGGATGTTGAACAACCTGCGAAACCTGTTTCCCCGATATCTAACCTGTTGCAGAAAATTGGCTTGACCCGCGACGATTTGAGCCGTCATAGCGACCAAATGCGTCAATTTTTGACTACTCAAGACGCGAAGTCTCTTCGCGCTTTTTCTGCAGATTCTGTAGATGCACAGCAGAGTATTGCTTCTGTCCTTGGCAAGTCTCGCTCCTGTTCTCATTCCAGCTCAAATTCGCGTCAAAACGCGTCAGTTGCATCCCAAACTCCTCCCCCTTCCACGCCTGTCAAATCTGAGCCCGTAGAGCCCGCTATCCCCCTCCGTCATATGGACAGCATGGAAATGATCCTCGAGAGAAAGAGCCGAAAAACAAAGCGCGATAAGCGAGGGAAGAAGGACAAGGAACGCAATGCACCTTCCCCATCCCCTGCAAGCACCGCCTTCAGCCTTGACGCGTTCATGCATTCACGCGATTCACGACGCGTCCCATCTTTGGATCAATCTGATTCCTCTACTAGCGTGGCCTCATTGGTGTGTACCATCTATATAGCGCGCCATTTTCGTTGTTGCTGTCGCTTACGTACACTGCTATAACGTTCAAGGACAACCACGAGGATGAACTCCCTCCCCCTCCTGTTACCCCTCAGCACCGCAAATATTATAGAGACTATGATACCGTGGAGCATCCCTCATGTCTCAAAAAGGTGCGTTCCATTTCCAATTTTGACAATTACATTACAATGACTACAAATTTGCTTCAAGGGTTCTTACACCCCCCGAGACCAGTCACCAACTCCCACGCGCCACCGCTCTTCCTCAATATTTGATCTACCTCATGCAAGTGTTGCAGACACTTCAAATGCAAATTTCATTACTCCTCGCCGTAACGCCTATTACAAGTCGCCTCTACCCTCCTCCTCTCCACCTCAATCTTCCCCATTCGCGACGCCCTCTAAACCTATTGTCAACCTTGTATCATCCCCCGGTCCCATGGGTCCCCTCCCAGACGAAGATGATTACGAAAATCTTCCATACACCCTTCCCCCCGGTCCATATTCTATGAAGAAACCAGACCTCTCCTATGCAGCCCTTATCGGCCAAGCAATAATTTCTTCGCCGGATCATCGGCTCACCCTCCAGGAACTTTACGATTGGATTACGATCGTGTATCCTTATTACAACCGAAGCGAAATGACATGGATGAATTCTATTCGTCATGTCCTTAGCACAACTGTATGCTTCCGTAAGGTCCCCCGAGATCGCAGCGTCGGGCGTACACTCTGGGCTATCTGGGACTGCGATCTCGAGTGTTTCGCCGATGGCGGTTTCAGGAAAGAATTTTGCGCGGAAATAAAGGAAGCGAACAAGAAGTCTGCTCCGAAGAAACGTGCAGCGGAAGAATCAGTGTCTGGTCCCGGTCGCAAAACGAAACGGCAGAAAAAAGGTGCCGCACCTGCACCTGTTGAACCTCCAACAAGCTCGCCTGTACAAGAAATGTCACCCGCGTTTGCAGGCTCGACTCTGCCAACCCTTGTGCCGTACTCGCAACTCCTCCCTCTTTTTCCTCCTCGCAGTTCTGCGCATCACCAACCATACTACCAAAACTGTGTACAACTGCCTACTGATGTTATCTTCCCCCCCTTACCCCCGTCATCAAGTTATGCTCGTACTAGTCCATCATCATTGCCTCCTTCATCTGCCGTCAAGAGCTCTGATGTGGCGCAGACGTCACCGATCCCCCCTTCCTCCCTACCCGCCCTTTCGCCGAGTAAAAGTTCTTCTAGCCCCCGGTTGTCCTCTGAGGACCACCTCTTTTTCAACCTCGATGGCGGCATGAGCCCTCGCATCGAGTCAACCCCTCCGCTAGAGTCTGGAATTACTTTACTAGACACTGATAGACGTAACTCAAAGGCAAGGTTACCACCTCCCAAAACCCCTCCGAAGGTGCGCACAGTCCTCTTGCCTATGTATTTCCTAATTGTAGATTGCGTTTGTGCAGAAATCCATTGGACTGCCTCCCATGCCTGTATCTCCTACGCTTGACCGTCGTGGCAAATCCAAGAAAGCCAAGTTAGCTGTTAAAGATTGTCCTCCACCCACGTTGCCAACCTCTATACGACCCATGACACCTCCTCCCCGTCCTTCAACGCCTCCTCGCAGGGGCGGCAGCAGCACTGTACAACTCTCTCCCATTCGCACGCCTCTGTCGCATAAAGGCCTGCACATGAGCCCCTCCGCAAGCCTCGCGCATTATAAATTCAATCTCGATCCACCCCCCTCGGCCACCTTCCGTCCTGACGACGGAATTAACCCAGCTGTATTTGATACCGAGAATATCCGCACACCGTCGCGCAAGCGCGGTACACATGCACATGGACACCATCATAAAGACACCTCCATCTTGTTCCCGCCTGTGACGCCAAAAAAGCTGGTCTTTCCTACGCACAGTTCCTCTGCAGAGTCACCTTTCCGCACGCCTGGATCAAAGTCTATATTTGATCCACATGACCCGGGGGCGATTCTCGATGAGGAGCTGGCGCGGCTTGGCGCGAAAGGGATGCAAGAGAGCCCGATTGGATTGTTTGAAGGCCGACGCGGTCTGTTGTACGAGAGCCCGAATATGCCGAGTCCGGGGAAATGGGCTCGGTGGTTCTGAGACTTGTTGATTTCGTTCTGTGAGCTTGATCTTGTTTTCATGATTCTGAGTGTATTATCATGGTGTTGTGTCTGGACGTTTGCTGTTGTTTCGTTCTACTTGTGTATTCTATCGTTTCAATTTGGTGACTTGCTATTGATTATTAGGTCCTTGTCATCGTCGTCGTGTTATTTGTTGTCTCCCCGCTAAAATATCCTGCGAAGAGTTGCATCTCCATTTACTATGATTTGTTACCGATAGAATACATATGACGAATAGATGATGTGTTCTGGGAGTGCTGTATATGATTAATCATCGAGGAATGTCAGGAAACGAATTCTCCCGACGCTAAGAAGATCATATGCCTCGCGAGTGCTGGCGGCGACTGAGTATTATTATTAGGCCTCGCGCGTATGCTTTGCTGATTCAGAGGTCCAGTACAAGACTCCGAGTCGGACGCGTTGGACATAGAATGCCGTGCGGGAGTCGACAAGGCAACGTACAGCCGAAACGACTGATCGCTTCCTCACTGACTCGAGGGGTGTGACAGAGGTGATAGCGCAGGATTAGCTCTCAAGCGAAACCACTCGGGGCTGAATAAAGGGTTGAAAGATGAGCTACCACGGTGACTTTTATAACTAAAACAAACGACAAACGCCAGCAACCCAGGTCCATAGAGTAAAGCTGTTCAATCTAGTTTGTGCAAACAATCCAGATTCCACAGCTTTTGGGCTAGTAGGAGGAAGGCGGCCCCTGTATGTTGGGCGCGGCTTACTTAATTGATCACGGAATTTGAAATTTGAATCGGCAGACGCGGCAGCGATGATACGTCGGCCTCGAAACGCTTGGAGTCCTCAGACTATACGTCCATGCTCAATCCATGTTAGCCTAGTGGCGATAACAGAAATTATGGGTTCTCGACTTTCAAGTCCAAGGTTCAAATTTGCGTCGTCCAAGAGGAACTCAACTGTCTGCCTTTGGTCTACTGCCACAATCATCAATCATCACCGTCACTACCATAGCGGCATAGCCTGCCAGCCCCGTGAACGGACTCTCCATTTCATTATATGCATGACTGATGGCCCAATCCTTTATGGTCACTTCAGCCCGACTTCCACAATTCAACAATGGCACAACCTTCGGTCATTGTGATCACTCCACAACCATCATTAAAGCTTCCCAGTCCAGTCATATTCTTTCAATGTTCTTTGCTGAGACATTTGAGCGTCTAGTGCACAGTCAGCCACCGCCGAGGTTCCGACGGGCCACTGGTACATCCTGCGGCAACCAGGTCCCAATCCTAGTTTGACTGGACTGAACAGCAAAGCTATTTCTGTTCGGAGTCATTGCTTGTATCCTTGAAGAAGTGTTTTGGAATCTGGATACCACTGTCGTGTTGCTATTTTTCCTTCGAATGACATAGCTCAGATACAATGATGTTACTAATCCCTTCTTGAAAGGGAAGGACCAACGTTGATTGACTTAGTGTCCGTTGCATTCCCTGTGCAGCGCCGGAATCGTCATCCGACCACTTTCCTCCACTTTGCCATCTTCAGGTCTGTTCCAATAAAAGAGTCATCTATTTTTGGTTGCGAGCTAAACTGGCCCCATATTATTTACTCTACCAATTCCAGTGTATCCAATTTTGCGATGCCCACACGAGAAATGAATGTCGTCAGTGTCGCAGGTCTGCATCAAGCTGTTGTATGCATCTAAGCATAACTTTAGCATCAACATTCCCCTAGCTGATCCATAATTCAGCCAGCTGTTGATCGTTACTGAACGGAAATGAAGACACCAAGTAAACACACGTATGCTCCAGGGTATTCCGAGATCCCGGCCAATCACTGCCTGATCCCGCACTCTCACTATCCCTTCCGCATCGCACAGCGATGGTATCGGTTAGACAACAGGATGAAATCTCTGCGATGTCATCGGTCCTTTCAAGGTGATCGTTATAATTATACACGCTGCCTAACACAGATGACATTGAAATCTGCCTTGATCAGTTCCAAGTTACATGTAGAGGTTAGCAATCAGTTCTCTTACAACGTATGACCATTCCTTTCAGACAAACTAGTCTGATTCTCTCGCGTGGCATGCTTGAGAGCTACTAGCCATCTGCATTCTTCTTTTTCTATGCTTGAAGAATTGCCTTGAATTGCTGTGATGACCTAGCACCAGCACTGCTATGGAACTCATTTGGCTGTCCTGGCTGTCTGACTTATTATATGTTGGGTCCGAGTCATGGTGTCATGCAGTTATGGTACGCCACCATTCTTCATTGCGTCGGCAGATAGTTGCTAACTCTCAGAGCAGTACTCTGTTGAAATTCAAATGTCCGGGATGCTGGAGATCACTGAGCAACTGTTTGCGGAGTGATCACACGCCGGTCATAATCAGTCGAGGTACAATGCCTTGAATCGGGATACACTCAAGGCTATCGCTGCAAGATAAAAGCTGAGAGAGGTATGCATCCCCTCATCATCATCTTTTTTATCCTACATCCCACTACTCTCCCGAGTGGGAGCACTGCCGCCTATCGCGAATGATCACGATGTTTATTCCCATTCTAATTGCTTCTCTCGTTTCATTGGTTAATGCTGCATCTGTAGTATCTCGCTCACAGTCCTACCCACTATCTCAGCGTGCTGCACTTGGCCCTCAAACTACGTTAACCATAGGTAATAAGGTCATCGCTCCTGATGGTTTTGAACGCTCGTGAGTCTATTGCCACGACACTCAAAGCCCACTCCTGATTTTTAACAGAGCAACTCTTGTCAATGGCATATTCCCTGGACCCTTGATTACAGCCCAGAAGGTGAACTTCCGTCGACCTCCTTGTCGTGCGCCCGTGCTGACTCCACGACAGGGAGATACCTTTTCCATTGATGTAGTCAATGAGCTCGAGGACGAGACGATGTTCAAGAGTACCAGCGTCGTAAGCAGTATCAATCACCTGCGCTATTATTGATTAACTCTGTTTGCCGCAGCACTGGCACGGTATCTACCAGAATGGAACGAACTATGCCGACGGGACGTCCTTCGTCACACAATGTCCCATTGCGCAGAACCACTCTTTTTTACACACTTTCTCCGCCCCGAACCAGGCAGGCACTTACTGGTATCATAGTCATTATTCCGTCCAATATGTAAGTGTCTCTCGAATCTTGCGCATGTGTGGACTGACCTGTGGAACAGTGTGATGGTCTGAGGGGAGCACTGGTAATCTATGATCCTCAGGACCCTTTGGCATACATGTACGACGTCGATGACGGTGAGCGAACAGTTTGTTCATATTAAACCCTCTGACCATCATGTGTTGCCAGAAAGTACTGTAATCACACTTTCCGACTGGTGAGTTTCAGGTCCATTGGTAATAGTATGCCCGATTAAAGTCCCGTCACCAGGTATCACGTCGTAGCCCCTGTCTTGCGCCACATCATAGGTATCACTGCCAACTCTTCGCTTATCAATGGACTCGGTCGATATGCTGGCGGACCGGCGTCTGATCTCGCTGTGATCAATGTCCAGCAGGGAAAGCGATATCGCATGCGCCTGGTCGCAATGTCGTGCGACCCCAACTTCGAGTTCTCCATTGATGGCCACAACTTAACCATCATCGAAGCAGATGGACAGCTGACCGAACCACTGGTGGTAGATCAGCTTCAGATTCTTGCGGGTCAGCGCTACTCTGTGGTTCTGGTAGCCGATCAGCCGGTGGGTAACTACTGGATGCGCAGTCTTCCTAGTTTGACGGGCGCGTCCTTCGTGGGAGGAGTGAACTCTGCTATTCTGCGCTACACGGGCGCCCCACAGGCTGACCCGATCACGGTCAATACGGCATCGACTTCATTGTTTGAGACCAACTTGCATGCTCTGATCAATCCCGGTGCTCCTGGCATTCCAGAGTATGGGAGAGCAGATATCAACCTTACCCTCGAAGTTACCAACTCTGGCGGAATATTCTCTGTTAATAATGCCACATTTAAACCCCCCAATGTTCCTGTTCTACTCCAAATTCTCAGCGGAGCTCAAGATCCGTCTCAGCTGCTCCCAGAGGGGAGTGTCATTGTTCTAGAGGCGAACAAAGTGGTAGAGTTGACATTGTCAACAACCGGTCTGAGTGGACCCGTACGTCTTTTTCTTTCTTTGGTTGATTATGTGCCTGATATACATTGTACCAGCATCCTATACACCTTCATGGGGTAAGTTCACCGTGAGTTCGATGGCATGCTTCGCTGGTACTGATGATCATTAGCACGCCTTTGATGTTGTACAGAGCGCAGGCAGCAGTACCTTCAATTACGTGAACCCGGTTCGTCGCGATGTGGTAAGCGCTGGGACCAATGGGCAACAAATGGTGATACGATGGGTGACCGACAATTCTGGCCCCTGGTTCTTGCATTGGTATGACATCATTTTATTGAGCTGTCAAGAAGGGTACTAACTTTGGACCAAACAAAAGTCACATTGACTGGCACCTCGATGCGTATGTTTATGAACATCCTCAGGCTCATGAAAGAAATGACTGATTCTTCGCATTCAGCGGTTTTGCCGTGGTAATGGCGGAAAGTCCCTCAGACACCGCTGCACATGTGAACCCCGTGCCACGTAGGTCATACGTGAAGAGATAGTACTTCCATGGCTGAACTGCTTTACAGAAGAATGGGATCAGTTGTGTCCGATCTTTGACTCTCTAACACCCACGCAGTTGGGGGGTGGGGGTCGCTTTTCCTATGATGAAGCAGCTAGTATTACCACTGTCCTTTTCCCACCATCACCCCTCCCTTAAATATAGTATCACGTCATAATCATTTTCGTTTTTAGGGGGCATAATGTTTGCAGGACAATTGGTATCATATTTATCTTTGGTATTTTTGCATTCTGGTACAGCTATAATTAACTCTCTGCCCCTTCATAGTGGGTACTATGAGACTAATGCTATGTTAGCGCCTTTCAGCACTAATTATACGACGGAGGTTTCGCAACGAGTCATGACTTCCGTGCACAGGCAATGCACTAGTGTAATTCTAAAGTTATGAATAGCGCACGCAGTATCGCCTTGGCAAGCAATTAACGTATTCAGCGTCCCGGAAGTGTTGTACAGCCAGGCCCAGCAGTTCACAGCTAGGTCCCTGTAAATGATCGTAGCGCACGACGTGGACTTGACAACAACTTTGGATCAATCGACACATGCTAGTCAAATGACCCACAGGCTCCTCATGAAAATTGAAGGGCTTTGATGGGAATGCAAGGGGTTCCACGCTGCATTCCCCACTTCGTGGGAGTCCGAGATCATGTCAATTGCTGTCCCTCTCAAGTGTGTCCCACGAAGAGTTGCATCTACTATGATCTGTTGCCAAAGAATACATACAACGAATAGAACTCCGAAGGAAAATGAGTATCCTCGTACCGTATCATAATCAGTTATCAAGGAACGCATGTTGGACAGCAGCTGAATCAAACTTTGCTACAGAACTTGGAAGAGACATGCCTGGCGGGTTGTCATCGCTGGACGAACGTGGTTTGCTAGGGTCGAATTCATGTTCGGTCAGTTGAGTGATGTGAACCTCCATCCTCTTCGTGGGATACCGTTGCGGGTCAACATAGGAGGAGCGGCCGCGGCTGCGCCGAGTGAGATAATTGCTGAGTGCGATGGAGGGCTCTTCGTTGGATTGGGAAGAACTTTTGGTGATGGTAATGCGGATGATGACCATGTAGAATGTGATGGAGATGATGGGCATGATCTGGGTGCTAGTGTGAGCACATTTCTAGGGGGCGTAATATGGGATGCGTACCATGTCTAATAGGACATAATGTCCGTGGTTTTTGGCGATGAAACAAATGAGGGCAGCCAGGAGCGATAATGAGTAGAGGACGCCCGCATCAAGAATGACGCGCAAAATAGGCCATATAAGGCTTGTCGCTAAAGCCACATTTGATACTCGCCTACCTATGCTCCAAATTCGATAGGCGAGTAGGGCTACGTGTCCGTCAGTAGCTGCCAAAAAGGATTTTCTGAGCAACTTACATGTGCTCAGGAGGTTCGTGAACAGAGTAGCGGCGAGAAATGAGGTGATCCATGGTCCGGTACCAGGGGCAAAAATGTCCTCTTTATTGACTGTCGCTTGTGAGATGGAGTAGATGCATCCTGCTCCGGTGGCTGGTCTGCGAATAAGAGGATTGATGTCGGGGAATAGACAAAGACGCACCTGCGACAGAGCACCACAGTATACATGGGATGGTAATGATATACCAAGATTGCCAGACCACGTAACACCGGTAAATCTGGGGGACATAAGGAAGGGACGGCCGCATCTCTAGCAAAGAACTCACCACGACACCGTCCCCGACCAATGTCTGTAGCATGTATAGTACGTTCTTGTAAACGAAACTCCATTGCGCGACATCAGAGAAAAATGCGATGGGGCCGCCAAGAAACGTGGAGCGCTGCTGCACCAGACCTTCTTCTATCCGGATGATGTCGATTATCATGTGCTGAGGTTTGTTCGATTAGGGTTCGCTTGTCCACATGGAAATTGCTCACCGCAGTACTAAATAGGAGCAGTGAATGCGCTACAGCGACCATCCTACGGTTGGCGGCACGTTTTATGTTTCGTTGAAACAGAGCCCATAACGTTCCTATAAACATGAGCAGGGAGAATCCTGATGCGAATGTGAGAAAGTATTGATGATTTATAGTTCAATCCTCTGTTTACCATACAGTATCCCCTCTAGCACAGTTGAGATAATCGATGCTGTGTCCAAAGGAATATCACTGGGTTGCGCCATTGTAAATTAGCCCAGCTGTGGAACGGGGGGGAAGGAGGGGCGACGAGAAGATATATCCATGGACGCCGTTCTTATAATTGTACGGGAGTTACTTGATCCTTGACATGAGGGCTTTACTTGGACTCATCTGATCTGTGAGTATCGTCACCTATAATAAGCACCACATATGTGCAGTCGCTGGTAAAGCCTAATGGGACCGAAGAGAGTTTGATGACCGTTTCGCGTAAAGCCGAGGTCGCACGCGGTAATCCGTGGGGGTGAGGATCAAGGTTTCAAACGTTCACCAGTAATTTGGCTTGCGAGGAAGCTCGTTGCAGACACTGAACTTTGACCGTCATCAACTGAAGAACTACTAGTAAGACTTCAGAAATTCTGCCTTGCATATCGGCAGAAACCTGACCTGAAATACAGTGGCAAAGGACAGCTGATGATGAGAATTGAGATCGTGCGATATTGATATGGCAGGATTATGACGCTGACGAGTTGAGGAGCAGGTTGACGGCATCTCGGGTCTGTCCATAAATATCGGGGTCGGAGGATGGAAGCTGATAATCAATGTTTCAGCCCTTTGGTGGGGTCGATATCATTTAAATGTGGCAACTTCTAGCCTGCTGTAAAAACATCCCCGGCCAGAACCCCACAAAACTAAGCGCAATCGCCGATATAGGGTACAGTCCAATAAAAGCACAGCTAGGCAGGGTGATTTCCAAGTCCTTCGTTCACGATCACTGTGATTACAGTCTGCGTACTATTAGCGGATGAGGCCGTTGAACCTGACGCAATTTTTTCGGACAGTGTTTGTAAAGTGCGTTGAAGTACACGAGCGTAAGGTGTTTTCTGCTGCACACGCCTGTTGATGAATCGCCGTGGCATAGCTCGATGCCAATGCTGCAAGTCACTAGTAACTCCGATCCTTGTCCAGGACATCAGCGCGACGTCATTGAGAGAGGTTGATATTTCCATGCTTGTATGAGGTGCCAAGAACCACCAAGATGTCGAATTCAGAACTAGAAGAAACACGAGGAGCAGAGAGGCAGTGAGACACCCTGTCGAATGTTTGTCAATGTAGTCCCTCAAATATGTATATTAGGGAGATGCACGTACTTGTACTTGTACTAGTGACCCCAGTTGCATGATATAAGCTCATTTTGTTGACATAACTCAGTGTGAATGGGATATACGCTGCTAGTGCTGCAGCTCATGATTGGCATATACACGGTGTCCAACTTGAAGTCAAAGACGATTCATGTCACGACGCTACTACTACATTAGGAAATTTTAATACTCAATGACTCCTCGGTCCCTCGGACAACCGCCGATAAAAAGATCTCATACAGAGAGTGAGCGCGGCCATTGAATGTCTGTAACAACTGGCAATGTGTTCCTTGCGCCAGTCACAGGATCTGTCCGCTCTGTTCACAGCACTTCAATGCACGACGATAACGTATAGGACGTACAAAAGGCGACTTCAACGAACATTCTGATCGGAAACACGCATTGAACAAGGGTACAGCTAAGGACATACATATAGACGTGATAAGCACTACGGAGCAAAATCTGATAGCAACAACTTCAGCATGGAATATTCCTCAAGACTGATAGCGACTAGGACTTCTCACCTTCCTCATCAAGCAATGATTCTTCTTCTAAACAAGCTGTAACGTAATCGGATATCACCAATCGACGCCGCTTAGGTCTAAGGTTCACCTGAGAATGTGTATGACGGGGTTGTGTATGAGCACTTACCTCAAGGTACGCTGTATGAGCGTCAGTCGACGCGAGTCATCTCGCTTGTCCAAGATAACATGCGTGAGCTTGGGATCGTCGAGCGCAACGATCTTTCCACCATTCTCCTGGATGCTTCTTGAAATCTGGTCGAACCTTTACATATCGAAGTTTGATATCAGAAAGAACGATACTCGGCGCCACAATGAAGGGAAAGCTCACGTCGTAGAGATTTCCTGTTCATGCTTGGTCTTCACCGGCATGCCGTTTTTCTTCGCATTGTCTGGCGTGTCAAGGTAAAAGAAACTATCACCGATGTTGAGAGTAGGCGGCCTGAAAGACATGAGACCTACAGATGCCTGAATATTGCGGTTGTGTCGTATTCCCTCGCTTGGTCATCTTCCCCCATTGTCGCGTCCTGATGAGGTTGTAACAGGAGAACACACGCATGAAGAAATCCTTACCTCTGGTTGTGAATGAAGGGTGGTACTTGACTGTCAAAATAGCCAATAAGCAGGAGTTATACCATCCACTCAAGTTACGCACGTCATCAAGGGGCTTGACAGCGGGACTGCGGGGCACTTGGAACCACTCATCATCATCATCATCATCATCATTATCTTCCTCTTTGGCATCATTGTTCGAATCGGCATCAGACTCAGCCTCCGTTTCACTGTCTTCTGGTACGACAGGCTTGACATCCACTTGAAACCAGTCCGCAAGCCCAGGATCAATGTCCTCGGCTGCCTCGAGTTTCGGCTCGAAGCCTTCTGGGGTGGTCGGGATTTTCAAGCTCGCGTCTTCCTCTACAGTTCTATCGGTCATGACTTGGTCCTCGTCAGCGTCCATCTGATGGTAATCGTCGGAATCTTGGCGTTCTGGGGTTGCGTGAAAGAAGTATCTAAAACGACTGTGAACCTCTGCAGAGATAACGGGCATTGGGACACTTACTTCTTTTTGAGGGGAACTAGCTCCCCCCGGTGTATGCAATCTGTGACCCACTGAGGCCTGATGATGTCAACATTGCCTTTGTCAACCAGCAGTTTAATGTCGTAAGCTGCGAGGTTGCGATCAGTCCCTCTGGGTAGTTGAAATATGTACATCGGCACTGACGCGTAATCGTGCCACCATAAATGACTGTAATAGGCTGTTGGGATGTAACGACCTGCACGCAGGTACCCCCATTGGCATGGATCCTGTGGCGAACTTAGATCTAATGGATGTGTCAGAGACGATCCAGTCTTACAGTTTCATCAGTTCCTGACGGTCTTGATTGCCTGTTCGTGATTTTGGGTCCGACGACACCACTTATAATCAAGGTCACCATTAGTCAAACACCAGGCAGTAAGCAAGACTCACTGAACTTCATATCCTCAAATAGGTCTGACTCAATCTCGACTGCACGTAGATTAGGTCCTTGGTATTGTGGTAGGACAGTTGCCTGAGATATGCTCAGACAACAATAGCACGAGAACGCTACACACACTCGCCTTCTTTGCCATCGTCTTTCGCTTCTTCTTGGACATGCTACTAGATATTAGCATAAGTCTTGCCGAGAAAATCAGCGATCACCAACCCAGCATCACTTTCCATCTTTCTTTTACGCTCGGAACGCATGCTCTCCAGAACAGCTAAGACAGGTCAGTCCTTTTACCGACAGAATACAAAGGCACGCACCTGATGCAGTCATGCAATCTGCAATGGACAGGTCGTCACGAATTGATAAAGCTCGAGGAAACCTCATTGTAACGCCCAAATGATATTGATCTATTTCACATAGCACATTCAGCGAGGCAACGCGTTCAAAATCATTAGCTCATACCTGAAGTCGTGATCTCAGCTGCCTTAACCTTCAGTATGAACGAGCTGACAATTATATGGTCAGGCTGTGCCAAAGGAACAAAAGTGGGCTGTACTCTTCTGGTTCCAGATACAGGTCGCCTTTGTCTTCGTATGTCCTGTTTGCAGTTTGTAGAAATTCTGGAGGATTTTTTTGATCCCATACTTTCCAAGGCTTCTGTCGGAGCCAGACATAGTCTGCAAATGACAAGCCCGTGCCCACTCTGACGAAGGTGCTGTACCTAATATCCAGGAAGGGTTATACCTTAGACGCTGCATCCACTACGAGACTTACTTCGGTTCTTCGTCACCTTCCGGACGCCGATCATCGAGGACTGCGCAAATGAGTGTCGAGACACCTCCTGAACGCTTTCTAGTACCATAATTTCCAGCTACATGGGGCTTGTATGATAAGTCAACCCAACAAATTAGCAAACTCACCGACTACTAACACGTCCACGGTCTCGCCCATATTGTCCAGAAAGCACTGTGAGCGTGGATGTAACGGGGTGCCTCGACCAATTTACCATATACTCCGGCTTAACTTTGATCCAATCCTTGTTTCTCCCGTTTAAAATGTACTCAGAGTCTGGATGTTTGATCACGAGGCCCTCGCCTCTTGACGCCATGACTTCGTCCATCTTCTGCCGAACATCTTTGGCAGTCTTGCCCTCGAACTCCGCGGTGAATTCAATGCGGCCTGAAATCTCTTTGATGCAGGCGCGCAGGTTGCGTTTGCGAAACTTGAGCGACTTCTGGTGGAGGGACATGCCATTGAGGTAGAGGAGGTCAAAGACCTTATCTGAATTGAAGTGAGCGTTGCTGTAAATCTAGAACAGTAAGCACACACAGCATGGTCGGGGATTGTGCTCCTTCTTTGATTTGTCTGGGAGGTATCATAAGCGCTTGAACAACTGACGGACTGGAAACACGGACCAAGTGCAGCTGTCTTCAAGGTCCCGAATGGCAAGTTACGTTCAGAAACGGGATCCCAGACCAGCATTTCTCCATCGAGAATGATACTGCAACATGACTTCTAATTATAAACGAAGGAAATATCGTGATTAACTCACTCATCGATCCGCTCATCAAATGCAGAGTTGATAAAAGGAGTCAAACTACCCTGTCCGACATGCTGTCCGTACAGGTAAGTGTAATCTTTCCCTTTCCTAAATTGAGGGTCAACTTAGATCATTGGTACAACACGATGCATCCTACCTCGAACAGTAAAAATATTCATTTCCGCGCTTGTGCAGCTGCATGCGCTCGCCATCCAGTTTCTCTTCGATGATGAATTTGCATCCTTGCATTTCCTTCACCGAATCCTCAATCTTATGGGTCGGCCTTTTGCACAGCATGGGCGCAAATGCACGAAACAATTGAATAGATTTATCCTATGTCGCATTAGCTCTGAAATCCTCAATGAATAGGAATGCTATACCTCAGCATTCAACCTCCTTGAAGGATCCCATAACTCCCAAGCAACCTTCTTAAGGTCCGAACAGATGTTGAATAGATCTTGCGCGTCTGGATGAAACACGCCAAATACGGTGGTTTCCTTCACAGAAATAACCATGTCTTGAAAAGTTGATACATGATTGGAGTCATTATGGAAGAGAACAACATACCTTTCAAGATTATACGAACAATCCATCGCTGTTCCTCAGCAGTAGCACGATTGTAAATACGCTGAAGAATTCTGGACTGTATATCCCTGTGCGCTATCGTTAGCCAAAGAGCATATCAAATATCATCGTACGTACTGCTTGCCCATGTTCTTGGACAAGTCATCCAGAATTTCGTTCAAGTCATGGACTGACAGGCTTCCTTCGACGACCGAGGATCGTTTACTCACAACCTCGTATAAAACTGTGGGGAAGTCGCCAGAGCTTTTCTATAGGAAATCTCAACGAATGCGTTCAAATCACGGAATACAATACACAAACGTCTTTTTCGGTCGGCTTCTTCCAGTTGAATAAGCGGATCGCGTCTGGGTCTCTTATGCCGAGTGGTATCAGTTTGATATAGGTCTTGGCGAGGTTCTTCTCCTTCAGGCCATACACAGCGCGCTCACGGTCTTTCTGCTCACATGTTCAGCTTACCCGTATTATTTTCTAAGGTAACAACAAACGTGCCTGGGGAAGGATCAGGCGGATAACGGGATAAAGATCATGCCCAATTTCTTCTCTCCAATGCTGGCGCCACAGACGCGTCAAGACTGTTTTCATTTGTATAGACGAAGACATACGTTGAACCAGACATCCAAAAGTCGTCGTCTTCGTTCAGGTTTTCTTTCTGTCGATAATTTCTCAAACAACTCGGCCAGTACTGAAAAGGGGGCACTGCCATTGTTTTTCGGGGGAGGTGGGTAGACTATAGTTTCTTCATCGTGATTCGGCCTTGGTGAACCTGGAGGCGATGTAGGTGCAGGCGTAGGCTGCATCATCTTGAAAAATCACTAAAAGACAAATGTTGTTCTTGGCTGTAATAGCACTTGTTTGCAAATCCTAGTCTAGTGTCTGCCTTCAGGAATCAGGGGATGGTGGAGGTTCGCAGTCAAAAGTCAAAACGCGTGACTCGAACTAATGGAGTCGTGTTATTTTGTGGCGAAGCTGACAAATAACGATGACGAAATCAGCTGAACAGCGGATGAGCGCTTATGACAGCGGAGAAGCGCGTATACCATTTTGACTTGTGATTGTTGTTTCTTACATATGATTTGTTTATCACGGGCTTCATACTAAATACCTACTTAAGTAGTATACCCTTGTACTGAAGCCCTAGTTCTTTTCCAATCAACC